ACCCATCTATCGTCCATCTTGTCGATTCGCACGAGATCCTATCACCTCGACTAGGCATCCTACGACTACGACCTCCACATCAGAAGACCATCAGCATCATCAACTGCTATTCTCCAACATCAGCAGCTGACGAATCAGAACTAGATGCTTTCTACGAAGATGTGGAGGAGATCGTCCGCAACGAGAAGTCCTTTTACAAGTTTGTTGTGGGCGACTTCAACGCGAATCGGGATGCCATTGGAAAGGGAATATAGGATCGGGAAGTTTGGATATGGGCTCCGGAACGAAAACGGCAACCGTCTTGTTGGGCTTCTCTCCGCCGCACGACTTTTCCATGGAAATTCCATCTTTATGAAGAAGGAACATCGCCGGTGGACATGGGAATCGCCCAACGGAACGACCCACGCGGAGATCGACCACATTCTCACCAACCGAAGGTGGAGCTTACTCGATGTCTCTGTAGTTCCATCCTTCTGTAGTGGCTCCGATCACCGCCTCCTTCGAGCGAAGATACGACTCAGCCGAAGGCTGGAAAAGAAAGTCTGTCATAGTGCCGCGAGAAGGAAGGAAGTCGTTTATGACGGTAACAGGCTGGAAGAGCTCATATCAAGTTGTGACTGGCCCATCGAGGAGGACCCAACGTACGACTACGACCGGCTTCTGAAAGGATTGCGAGCCTGCGGAGAATGCGCCTCAGTGACTTCTGAGAAGAACTTGGACCGCATTTCGAAGACCACCAAGGAATTGCTTGAAAGAAGAAGATCATTGAGGCAGGATCCGAATGCAACTCATCTCGAGCGACTGATTGCCAACACCAGTTGCAGAACAGCTTTGCAAGAGGATCTCAGGAAGTACAGGCAAGCCAAGATACTGGAAGCAGCGGAAAGAAGACGAAGTCTCAAGAAGTGCCGAAGGGACCTCTGCGAATATCACGTACCGCTGGCTGCACTACTGAACGAAGACGGGACTCCGACTTCTTCCCGATACAAGATGGAATCTATCGCGAAGAACTTCTACACCAACCTCTTCCGCTCATCAACACCCGTGCAGATGCCCGTTGTTCCCACTGGAGAAGTACCACCACGAATTCTACCTGCTGAAGTGCGTATCGCGATACAGACCATGAAGACGTCCACGGCTCCAGGACCAGATCATCTTTCCGTCGAACTTCTGCGAGCCGGAGGACACCGTCTACACGAGATTCTAGCGTCGCATTTGACATCTTACCTTCAGAAGGAGAAGATTCCCGACCAGTGGAGAACGTCAAGAACCGTCCTTCTCTTCAAGAAGGGTGAACGGGAGGATCTTCGGAACTATCGTCCAATATGCTTGCTGAGTGTGCTGTACAAGCTTTTCACGAAGATTATCCTCGCTCGCATATCAAGGACACTGGATGAAGCCCAACCCCAAGAACAAGCTGGATTTCGCAAAGGATTCAGCTGCATGGACCACATCCAGACCGTTTCGAGGGTCATAGAAGTCTGCCGAGAGTACCGACTGCCTCTCGTCCTAACCTTTGTCGACTACGAGAAAGCCTTCGACAGCGTCGAAACCAACGCCATCCTGTCTGCGCTAGTCGATCAAGGAGTGGACCCAGCTTACGTGAGGACGTTAGCCGACTGCTACAAGGACTGTACAACGACGATGCAGCTATTCCATCGCCCCCTGACCATACCAATCGGGAAGGGGGTCCGACAAGGCGACACAATCTCGCCGAAGCTGTTCACCGCGGCCTTGCAGTGGGTGATGAAGTCACTGGACTGGGACGAGAGAGGCATACGAGTTGATGGGAGATTCCTGTCCAACCTTCGTTTTGCGGACGACATCGTTCTCTTCTCGAGCAGTATCACCGAAGCAGAGACGATGCTGAAGGAACTAAACGAAGTAGGGAAGAAGATCGGACTGCGAATAAATCGGAAGAAGACTCAGTTCATGAAGAACGCCCTTTGCGAAGATGCAGAAATGGAATTGGAAGGCACCCCGATTATGGAGACGTCTTCCTACGTGTATCTCGGACGTTCGATGAACATGGAGAACGACTTGAGGGAAGAACTTAACAGGAGAAGAAGAGCAGCCTGGGCCGCCTTCGGGCCCCTGAAGGAAGCCACCGACCAACTGACGGACCCGGAGCTTCGTGCCCACCTGTTCGACTCAACCGTTCTCCCGGCGCTCTGTTACGCAGCTGAGACTTGGGCCGACACTGTAGCCACGTCGAAAGCTTTACGGACCACCCACAGAGCGCTCGAGCGCAGTCTTCTGAAGATGACCCGACGCAAGCAACATCTAGTCGGACTTCGCAGCACGGATATGAGAAGAATGTCCCGTCTTCGTGACCCAGCGGAGTACGTCGCGAAAGCCAAACACCGATGGGCCGGTCACATAATGAGAAGAACAGACGACAGATGGACACTAAGAACATCGGAGTGGATTCCTCGCGAAGCCAAACGTCCCCGAGGAAGACCTCCAACGAGATGGGCAGACGTGTTCGTGGAACGGATGGACCAGCTGAGAAATCAGCTGGATACGATTTCTGCACCTGGAACTCGTGGACGCAGCCACCGACGTCAGCCAAGAAGATCGTGGATGTCAGAAGCGAGGGACAGGGAAAAATGGAAACTTCTGAGCTGGGGCCCGCACGTCACGTGAAGCCGGGTCATCTAAGTATCTAAGTAAGTAAGTATTTTATTGGAATAGGGAGATAAACGAATTGAAATGGCATAAAAGTAAAAAACTAGTTCAGCTAGTTGCGGAGGATGTAGTGGTTATATTGGAGAGTTCTAAAGATAAGTCGAGCAATGTGTCAGCAACGAGGGTTTGCTTAGCGCACTATCGCTGCCAGTTTAGTTTTTTGGAGCTTTGCGAAGGATTATGAGAGATTATCAACGCCTGCTAATACGAAATGTAAATGATGCGTGATACCTGGTGCACACAAAAAATCTTTGAAAAAATTGGGTTCCTAGGCAAGCAGAAATTGACACACTCCGATTCTTGCTTGTGAAAGCAAACAAAATTATTCCTCAATTTTCCACGAAGTTCAGTTTCAGGCAAATCTCGCAAGAATCAAAATGCTAGTGCGTTAAGCCACAAATATAATTTATCGCACGGATTGTGTCAAATATGTAGAAAACCATGACAATTTTTGGTCAAAAAGCGCCTTTGCGCATTTCGTATATCTCCTTCTTTTTTTCAAAAATAAGCAGTAGTACAAAGCATTTCATGGTGAAACATCTCCACAATAAATGTGTGCGATTTCGATAGTGGTCATATGAAGGCTACGGCTCAAAGGCTACGCGATCTACCGAATAAATTGAGACTCAGCATATCCAATTTTTTGTGTCTTTGTACATAAAAGAGCACAGGTTAGCTGAATTTGTGACGTGAGGCGAGGAGCATTGCAAGGATGCCTATTGTAAGTGGACAATTATATTGTGAGCCCAGCTGACCTTAGAAAGAGAACAATTTGCAAAGTCCTTCAGAACGGAATTTTTTGAGAGAATTAAGAAAAGCAGTGCGGCCACAGCTGCTGTGCGACCCTGTATCCCTCGCGCAGAGCGGCAAAAGCCAATCCGAGCAAGCTTACGGCAGTCATTCTGATGCTGCGCGAGCTTTTGCACAACTCGCTCCATTGCGAAAACTTGGACGGATCGTCATTTCATTAGATTTTTCGTGGATTTTTCTCAACTTTTCACCTTAGTACACTTTCTGGATTTTGAGTTGTTGGGTCTCGGGAGGTTCACGCGATTTGACCATCGCGATTCAAAGAAACCATTATCCGTCGGAATCCGGCGCTGACCTTAGCTACAGTATATTACTAACGCGACTATAGAAGGCTACCCAGTTGCCTCTTGCCTTTCCTTTGGCAATAAATCTCTTAGAAATCACATCATTAGGTCATCTTGAAACTGTCATGTTGTGTTTACTGTCTGATCTTGCACGGTACTAAAAATTCTCCTCATCTTGGATTCTCTCTCAGTATACCATAGATGCAAATGCTAAGGAACTGATGTTTCTCTAGTTTATGTCATTATCGAGATATCCGAATAGCTTTTTGATACCAATAATAAAAGGGTTTTGATCCATGGAATTAGAAGATCCTCTGCTTTCATTCCTTGCCCAAACTGTCACGTGTATATACATTGTTTAGGGAGATGAATTCATCATTAACAATGACAGTCTTGTTTTAAAATCTTTTTTAACAAAAAATCAGATTTCGTAAATAATACTTCTACGTCATCCATCAACATAATCACTCTTAGCAAGTCCAGGTCGCCGTTCACTACTTGAATGCGGATGGCAAAATGATCACTTATACGACCCAGAGGATAAACAACACATCATATTGAATGCAGGATCACTTTATGATTTGATAAGTAAGATTAATAAGAAGGTAAGCGGCAGCCGAGCAGCATTTTAAGGTCGCGTTAGCTATATAATGTAGCTAAGGTCAGCGCCGGATTCCGACGGATAATGGTTTCTGCGATTCAATCGCTACAAGACAAATATTATGAGTTCATTGCATGTTGATCTTCTTGTATTTCGGTTGTGATAGTTAGTCATAATTATTTAGTTGTCTAGGAAAACTGTCACAACCGAAATGCAAAAAGATCGGCATGCAATGATATTGCTACAGTTGTCTTGTCGCGATCGCACCATTAAATCGCGTGAACTCTGTTCGATGCTTTAGGCAGATGAACTTTCTGTTTAATTTTCACTATTCTGACTTTCCAAGAACATCAACTGTTCAATTGATTTATAACATATTATTTTACCATTATTTGCCCTTGGAAGTGTACAGTGAATATTTACCCTGTAGGGTAACAGCAGTAGAAGCGGTAATGAACCCTGAGATTTGGTATTGATGGTAGTCCTATAGGCACGGAATGAAATTATAACTGTCGTATCCGTTTTCCTCTTTGTCATTTGCAACTGTTCCGTCCCCATAATCTTGTCGCCACATTTCTGTCATTGCGCCTGAGCTACGACCTTGTTCAAATTACCTGCTTTCAGCAATGTCGACCTTAACTCCCGCAGAACAAGAAGAACAAAAGAAGATTGTCGAAACTTTTCAACGGCTACGCGAACAACAGCAAGAGATTGCACAGGAAATCACTCGCATCGAAGAGGAAAAGCGGGAGTTTGGGTACGCCTCGTTTCAACAAATTCTATCCTTGCCAGGTTTTCTTTTTCTAATGAAAGACATTTCAGACGAGTTATTGAGCTTTTGAAAGAATTAGATGGAGAGCAGAAGTGTTTCCGATTGATCAGTGATACTCTTGTCGAATACACAGTTACCGATGTAATACCTGTTTTGGAGAAGAATCTCGCAAATGTAAGCTTATTTTGTTTTCAATTGACCGTTTCGTCATTTCTCTATCTCTTTTGAATTTTTTCTATGATTTTTTCTGCACAACTTCTGAAAGTTATTGTGATGTTCTTGGCTTGCTTCTCCTCATTAACTACATCGTAACCATCACAAATTGCACGTGCTTCTTGATTATATCAAGTTCCTGAGCCCAGTCAAGTACACCCAATAGTTTCTGTGTGCTTGTGATCGCCAAATTTATCTGGGCATTGGCGCATAAAATATATAAGCCCGAGTTTTTTTGAGACCTGTCATAAATGGCGTGGATCCGTAGTCGATCAGGCAGACCTAACCATCCCTTTTCTCTTTTTCTCCTGAATGGGTGTGAAATTCTTCCACCGGTTTGCATGAATTGTAAGACAGTTGTAAGACAGGGAGCTTTCGAAATGTAATATTCGCATAGAATTTCCTGGAGAAATTTTTTCGCGACTAAACACACAAAAGCATTTATTCCCCCCCCCCCCCCCCGACTCCTTCTCACACCGCCTGATTAAGTAGTTTTAAAATGGAGAATATTTTTACTCTTAACGATAGCATCTGTTCCGCACACTTGTTGCAATGCTGATGAAGTCTTGGGCTCTCTCCGGTGTACCAGTTGGGTGCTTACCCGCCGTAATTTGCTTGTTTGAATACCTTAAGACTGTTTTGCTTGCTAACGCGAGGGCATGGGTACCATCTTTGTGAAAGTAATTCAATTCCGACATTCGCAGTCATCTAGCAGTCACATGTGATCTAAGTCGTTACTTTTTATTTTCAATTGAAGGCTGGGCTTCAAGCATGTAATGTTTCTTACTGTTCATGTTCAGTGTAGACTAACAACTTTCATTGTTTTTTTTATGGAATGCATCGAGCGTATTCAGTAAAAAATGAAGATGAAATGGAAATGAATGAGATGTCGAATCATGATGCTCTGCTCAAAATATCCATATTTCAGCTTGGAGTTGTATCTACTGAGCTGAATAAGAGATTAGTCGAGAAAGGCAACGAACTAAATGCCCACAAAGAAAAGCATAATATCCGATTCCTCACCGAGAAGGAGACACAGGAAATAAAGGAGAAGCAACTATTAGCTTTGCAACAACAGCAACAGCGAAAACCAGCACCGTCCTGATCTCTCCGCGCAGAAAAGAAAGTACGTGCTTTCCCGATGTATGAATATTGTTTTGTTTTTGCTTGAGTCTTTGTTTGCGCGAATATTTTGCTGAAATCTAATAAATGTTTGCTTTTATGTCATTCTTTCTTTGTGACTGTTCGTATGAATCGAAAATTCTTTTAACATCTGTTTATATCACTAATGGTCAAGTTTTTGCATTCGCAGATGACATCCGTATGTGATACACTGTTGTCATCGGACGATGAGGATGCAAACAATGATGACATCAAGGCTTCTATAAGTTCTGAAGTGAGTTTGTATTCACGAATCTTCCTTGTAGATGCTCTCTAGATGTTTATCTTTCATTGTTCCCACTTACGAATGCACTTCAACTATCACATAGCTTCGCAGATATTCATAGCGGAATTAGGGCTTCTGGGTTCGCGTAATTGTCGCACATTCTGCGCATATGTATATTTCATTTCGCGCTAGAGAGTTCTGTTGGTTTATTCTTCATTCTCGCCGCCTGCTCCTCCTCTCCATTTTTTCCCAGCAAATTCATATCGAAAAAGATTTGCGAAAAGAAGTGACCAAATAAGTCTCAGTGATTGGCAGTAGATTTCTGCACTAGATTTTGTTCTTTCTTCCAAACGCACGTGGTAAATTATTCAGGATAACGATACTGACAGCGAAGACGAGTCGGAAGGTAGCTCAAGTGAGGAAGTGGAAGGAGAGGAACTGAACGCACTTCGACAGAGCGCTTCCACAGTGAGTTGATACTCATTCTTTACCATCAATTTCCGAAAAAGTCAACAAGCGGTATTGAAGATTGATGAACCGTTGTCTTTGGCCAAGTCTTTTTCGGAACTGGGTCTAAGCTCTTGGCTGATACAGCAACTCAATACGATGCGTATAATGAAGCCCACACCTGTTCAGGTAAATAGCCTGTCTTGGTTGTTGTTTTTGATTTGCCCATGTATAGGCTAACTGCGTACCTCAAGTGCTGAAAGGACAAGATGTGCTTGGCTGCGCAAAGACGGGAACAGGCAAAACTCTTGCATTCGTTCTTCCTATCCTCAATGAAGTCCGTAAATCTTTTTTCTGATATTTTCTCAAACGACTTTATGTAGCACTTCCTCTCTTTTCAGTTGGCCGTAGATCCATATGGAATCTTCGCACTTGTTTTGACACCAACGCGAGAGCTAGCCTCTCAAATTTACGATCAGTTCGTTGCGCTTGGAAAACCAATTGCTCTTAAAGTCTCTCTGATTACGGGTGGCAGGAGTTTGGTATGTTTAGAAGGACATGTTTTATACAAAATAAAGCTTTTTGTTTAGATTGATCAAGCTAGTGAACTTACGGCACGTCCACATGTAGTAGTGGCTACTCCCGGTAGGCTTGCTGATCATATTGAAAGTAATCCTGATGGGCTCGGACAACTATTCAAGTCAGTATCATATTCGTACTGGGCTTCCATATCGCATTTTTGACAGAAATTAACATTCAGAAAAATACAGTTCTTTGTCCTGGATGAAGCAGATCATATGCTTGATGGTCAGTACAGCGAACAGGTATGGTTTGGTGTTTTTTTTTTTTGAACTCTCAAAAAGTGAGTTATGAATTTAGTTGAAAACTATCTTTCTCGCCATTCCCAAGAAACGTCGGACGCTACTCTTTTCTGCGACTATCACGAGTGCCATAACCAAACTTCATCAGGTCTGTTTATGGATAGTCACACGAAAACCTTCCAACAGTTATTGCTGACTAGTACGGAAACGTACTGATCAGCAATAACTGAACGCGATGGCCATGCGAATTAGTTATAAAAAGAAGTAGTCCTATTTATACTTTCGCATATTAGTTAGGTGTCCTATTGCCCACCTCCGTTTACCTGTTCAAAGCTTTTTATTGTTTTTATGTTCACAGCATTTCAGGAACTGTCTTCCTTTTTTTTCCTTTACATTATACTTTACGCATATTGCTACTTCAATGATAAACTATGTGCGTTCTCGATTGTATCTGGTTTAGGTCTCGGTAAAGAAGCCATATTTCTTCGAGGATAAACAGGAGATTGCTACTGTAGAGCGGCTAGAGCAAAAATATGTCTTATGTCCTGTCGCAGTCAAGGATGCTTATCTGGTAAGTGTTGGGAGTTGAGAAGTTGGAGAAAAGTAAATGAAATGTTCTTGCAGGTTTATGTTGTCAAAAATTACTGTGAACGCAATGAGCACAGTTCAGTGATCGTCTTCGCGCAAACATGTAGGGAATGCCAAGCTTTAGCTTACATGTTCGAGGGTTTAGGTTTCAAGGTAAGTACATAACCATAGTGTTACACGACACATTTCAAGTTCTTCTTGTCCAAATTCGACATCAGCCACTTCTTCACATTGTAAATTTTAGGTGGGATCTCTTCACTCACAAATTGAGCAAAGGCTACGCACAGCGGCTTTGAATTCGTTCCGTTCTAAAACACTGCGGGTTTTGATCTGTACGGATGTTGCATCTCGTGGTCTTGACATTCCTCATGTGAGTAATCAACTCTTTGTTTCCCTCTTCACCATTCTTCCTCAAAATCACCTATCAAGGTGGATCTCGTTGTTAATCACAATGTACCAAAGTGCCCGAAAACTTACGTTCATCGTGTGGGAAGGTCGGCTCGAGCAGGAAGGTACGTTTTATTACTTGTGCAAACCAAAGTAAGCACAAGTTTTCCAGATATGGTGCTGCTCTTACTTTCGTTACACAATATGATGTGGTTCTTATCCAGGCAGTTGAAGAATTGATTGGAATGAAACTAGAAGAACTAAAGGTGAAGCATGTTTTTCTAGTATTGAGGAATTAAACGGCTCTTTGAGATAGAGATCTTGTTCCCTGTTTCGAGTTCATCTTTGATTATGAAACTGTTTTAGGTGAGCGATAGAAAAGTAACCCAATACGTCACGAAAGTGATAGTGGCCAAACGTGAAGCAGAACTACGAATGCAGCAGAATCACTTTGGAGAACGCAAGGAGTCAAACTTGAGAAAGGACCTGTTGATGAGCGGTGTTCCGGAGAATGAAGTGGATAAACGGCTCGAAGAAATAAGGAATCCTCGAAAAAAGAAGAAAACGAAGTCAGTCAAAAATGATCCAGATACTGTAAAACGGAAAAAGGTAGTTTGAACTATGCTAAAAAATGAAATTTTATGTTCATAACCTGTACAAAGAAAACAAACAACCAAAATTGAACAAGTGGGGTGGTTAAAATGTACCAATGTTCATAAGTTCAAATCATCGTCGGGATCACTATCATCCAGATCATCTTCCTTGTCAGGTGTATATATAATCTGACCGCCAACACGAACTTTCCGATCAGCCAGTCGCAGACTGACGAGATCTAAATGGCGGAAGTGTCAGTGAGTTCTCGTGAGTTCTTTTTCGCACTCTGACTAATTTCCCAAAGTATTACATTCGCCCTTGACAGAAGCAAGCCGCGCTAAACGCTTCGGCTGATTTTAGCAACACCTACGCGCAGAAAGTTACCGCAAACTCATGAGATTACTTTACGGTCATTTTTCATGCACAAAAACTGTTGGCTGTTCGAGTAAAGGCTATTGCAGGACGAAGGCGCAGAAGCAGTACTGGTTGAGCCGGCGCGAACGCGGCGCGCGTACCTTCACCTTTATGAACGCTTCCTGCGCTCTGTGCCTAAAAGAGCCGCATTCGCGCCCAAAATATTGCGCCTTCGTCATGCAGTAGCCTACACAAATTTTTCGGATAAAAACGAAATTGAGCTCCAAGGAATTTTTAACGCACCTGACTGTTTCGTTACGGAAGTGAAAGGTAGATTGAGATTCTGTTTGGCATCACGTTCTTTCTCCTAAATAACTATTACATACGATGCATCACGGAGAAAAGTACCTCACTCCTAGCTCGGGTTCCATATCCAATATCTCTGTTCTGGGATTATTCAACTGCGCTTGAATCGATTCAGATGGGACATACTTTTTACTGGATATCTTCAAATCTTCTGATATGCTGAATGTCTCCTTCTGAAGAAAGAATATTTGCAGAATGGCTGCTATCATCACGCCAGCAAAACCGACCATATTTGCATGTTTACCATTTTTCTTGTACGTCATGATATCAGCTATGCAAACTCCTTCATGTGTCTCTAGTGTGATAACTGTGTCTGCAACTGATACTAATCTTCTAAATTGTTCATCGGGAACGGAAGACTCGGAGCATATAGTCATCACAGCACATTTTTCTGGAATCTGGCCAGATTTTGCTTTTGGGAAAAATGTAGAGATACAGTGTAAAGGTACTATCATCAGGACATACCTTTTAACCGGAACAGAAAAGCAGATACGCTATCCACTCCGTATAATTCAATAAAAAGTTCTGCACAGTCCAACAAAAAAGCAGATGGAGAAGATGACATAATCTGGCCATGAACTTTCTCCAAAGATGCGCCTCTTTCAAGTTCGACGAATGTGGCACTAAAGATGATGATTGAGTGCACAATTGTCGCTGTATGTCTAAAACATCCATTGCAACGATTTCCCGTTTCACGCTGTTGACACCAGAGCTTTTTTGTGACGAGAGAATTACGACCCATAGACTCAAAATTTTAAAAAATATACACAACCCTCGGAAACTGGGCACTGTTGTGTCCGGCCAAAATAGTTCGTGCATGGGAGAGACAGCAGATGGTAAGAGAAACGAAAAAGCGCTCGAGAGAGATGCCAATACGTCCTTCCGTAGCTACAAAATCTTTGTGTCATTTATTCGGTAGGACTTTAGTAGCCATACGAGATAGTCATTTTAGTATGTATGTCACAGTGCACTTTTGAGCTTTGGTGTACAATAACACGTATCAAGTCACAAATGACAAAAAAATAGATGCTTTGCAGAATTATAAATATGGTTACCTGCGGAATATAGTTCTGAAGTGAAAAAGAATGGTCGTCTTTATTTTGTTCGTGTCTAGTCTGTAGCAAATATTCGATCAAATTATTGGCCCCACCTAATTCGCTTCCAGATACTGTCTGTTTTCTCGCATACCTGTCACATAATGTAGTAAAGCGACGTCTCAATACTTTCTCTCTTCCCGTGATGGTCAACACTAATAAGGACCTTGACGAGCCCAGAAGAGCAAGCGCAAGAGATTCGGCTCGGCACAAGCTATTATCTGAGACAGTAGATCATCGACTATTATAATTTTTGCAGGCTTACCTCTAAACAGAAATACGCCTTCGGGCTTTAGATTCCTCAACGCCATTTTTCCTGTGCAATAACACTTACTGTTGGACGATTTTGATAACTACACCCTTGAAGAGCATGATACAACCAAAATTAGCGGTAACGTCTCCCATCACAAATAAAAACCAGTTCAGATCGACAAATTTATATAGAGTAAAAACATGCAGACAGGGAAGAATACATCATACAATGACTAAACCAGAAAAGACAACCGCAAAACTTTGCCAAAGGGCACCAGCACGTATTCAACAGACATAAAACCGACAGAACTATCGAAATAAATTATGATAAAACTAAAAAGCTTTTGCACAAAGTTTCAATTAGGCTACAAGAAAAAAACCAACAAATTATTCTTTATTGTCCGAAGCTTCTGCCGACGTAGTTGTCGGCGGTGGAGTAGGAGTAGCTGTCTCCGCCGCAGCATTTGTTTCACCCGGAGCGGAAGCCGGTTGTGGAGTTCCAGGTGCAGCTTTTGTAACAGCGGGTGAGCTTTGCGCCGGAGCTGTGGGGGCAGAAAGGTCCATGGGGGATTCTTCGTCAAGTACAGGTGCAGATTTAGCCTCTTCTTCTTTATCTGAAACAAGTAAGACGAAATTTGAGTGCAATATTAATCATATGGTACACATCATTCAGCCTGCATTTTTCGCAGCGCTTGTGTATCAGGTGGTTCTTATTGAATTAAATTTGTTACTTACTAATACAAATATGAATACGAAGTTATTGACAGAAATTGAAAAGTTTTTGATGCGGCGTCAACGCCTTCAGCTCTAGAACACACAGGATTGCATAATCCCTCCTACCAGTGGCGTACCGAGCGCCCGAGCAAAAATTTCGCGACCCCTTCTCGGGGCGCACCCCCCCCCCCCCCGAGAAGGGGTCGCGAAATTTTTGAAAGTTACTCAATTGTGTTATTAAAATGTGCAGAGGACTTGTATTTACTTGTATATAATTAAAATAATTTTCAAAAATTTTTAAAAATTCAAATTAGCTTTGTAAAAAAAGCCGCCACGCCTCCTCTATCTAAAATTTTAAGGTTTTGGGCCCGCGAATTTTGAGAATCGTACCAAAAATTTTTTCGGAGTGCGTGGCTAACGTCACGCGCCTTCATTGAAAAATTTTTTTTGTCGCCCCCCCCCCCCCCCCCCGAGCCGAAATCCTAGGTACGCCACTGCCTCCTACCACTACTTATGCTATGGGTGGAGGCAATAACCCTAACCATTGTCTGCAACTGTGATACAGGAGCACAAAAAGGTGAGACTTTGAAAAAAAAAACGAATTAGGTCATGGAAGAGTGACCTCAAGGTGACTGTCTCAAAAAGAGAGATGAAGCAACAACCTACCTTTCTTTTCTTGTGAACTTTCAGACGGCGAAGGGCCATCGGCAACGTCCATGGAATCACCAGAGATCTGCAATCAGTATTACAGATAGTCGCCGGCGTTACAATAAAAACAACAAAATAACAACACAACATGAAAAACATGAAAACAACACAATATGAAAACACGTTACAACTGAATGACCATTCTGCTTTCCGGATTTAGAGACAAACATACCTTTCCAGGTTGATGCAAGGCAGCAAACTTTGGTTGTATACCAGAAAGCTGTTGTCCAAGTGTGGGAGTCACGAATGGACCCGGTGGAGGCAAAGGAGATTTACCAGCCATGGCATCAGGATCTTTCGATGTCAGTCGCGACAATATTCTATGAGCAAAAGATTAGAGAGGAAAATAAGTCTACAACAACTTTGAACTCACTGCCTCTCAGTCATGGCCAATCTGTGAGTAACAGGACGAAGCTGTGACAGAGTGGCCGGCAGACGAGACACGTCGGCTTTCATGTCAGAGAGTAACTCCTCTAGCTGGTTAAGCACTAAAACTCGTTATCGATTTGAGTAAAAATGTGAGTTCAAAAATTTCTGCGGAATCACCTTTGTGCAAGACGGCGTTGGCATTCCTGTTGCCTGCAGCAGAATCCTTCGCAACATTTGCATGTGAATCGGCAACATTTTCGATATCCGCAAATCGCTGCGCCAACTGTGCCGTGCCGTCGGTGGTAGAATTTTGAAGATTCATGTAAGCAGCACGTCGTAGCTGCTCTTCGATTACAAGAGCTTGCTCCAGTAGCTGCAATATTAGAGATTAATGGTCTGTTGGACATATCCGTTCATATACGTTCAGACGCTTCAGATGAGATTCTCCAAACCTTGTAGCGTCTTTGCAAGAACTTATTCTTAATCTCGAGGAAATTTCCTTTTCCTTGCTCTTGACGGAATGGCTCGTTGATAATGGCAAATCGTGGATCAATTTGTATGTCTTGGTACCTTCCGTATCCATATCTGCACTTGTAAAAATCAGTACTGCTTCTCTTCTGTGAAAAGTCCACAACTCACTGAACAATTCCCGCCAAAAGCCAGTAATCATGGCGTCGATGCCAGATCTCGTACTCGTTCCCTGGCACAGCTGCCTTTTCCTCATTCACCCATAGTGTATGCAGTTCAGTGAAACCACCGTCTAAAATGCTTTGAAGTGCGGAACGTCAGATTTGGGTTAGAACTGCGGCAAGTTTCTTTTCAAAACTTTGCTAACCGGCGATATTAAATTTGAATGGAAGACGTCCTTTTTTGGCGTGCTCATCATGCTCATCTTCCGCGGTGGACGCAGCACTGGAACCCGCTTTTGATTCCGGCGACGTAGTTTCAGTCGCCTCCGTCTGTAAATCGGTCTTTGGTAAACAGAAAAAAGCATCATCATTGCTTACCTTCACCGGCTCTGGATGCTCAGGCACATCATTGCTGTCTTCTTTTTTCTCATCGGGAGCTACACTATGCTCGCGACTGCTTGCCTTCGAAGATGAAGTGGTTTTGACTGGGTTGTTACCAGCAGCTTCCAACACTTTCGTGCGCATCTCAGGCATTGACCACTCACCATTGACTTGTTCAAATTCCTAGAAAACGTTTTTGAGGGTTTTTCAACAACAGAAAGAAAATTTTTTTCTTACCTGAACTTTCTTTCTGATCAAACTCATGATTCCAATGCGCGTCAGAACATGCTGCCTATTTAGTCCCTCTCTTGGAACGCCATCGTTGAAGGTCTCCTGGGTATCTGCACCTGGCTCGCACAGATGGCGCATGAACAGAGATGTGTAGGTCTTGAAAGCTCGCTCAGATTTTCCCTTCAAGTCACGCGTCTGAACAGTATCACGGATGGAATTCCCGAACCATAATCAGTATGAAAGAATGCGTGATGAACTTACCAGCCACTGAGACTGATATGCGTCTTGTGGTGGCATTCCCCATCGCATTACAGCGTTATAGAATGCGCGACGTTGGCGTGGATTGAAACCAAGAACTTCAAGCTGCCCATTCACTTTCGCAAGTAATGGCGGAAGTTTCTCATTGTCTCGTTCACGCTTCTTCTTCCGTTCGCCACCGATTCCATCGAAATCGTCATCGGAATGCTCACCAGACGCCTTCTCTGAGCCGCCATCGTATGATGACAAATCATCGTCTTCATTGTTCTGTTGCTAAAATCGTTAACGCACTTTGGAAGAACTTCAACAAATAGACTGTGAATCAGGTACCTCTTTCTGCCAGTCTTGTCCCATATTCTCACTAGCATAGTTGACTTGCTTTCGAAGACGTTTGCCTTTGCCCAGTTTTTGTGCTTCCATCTCTTGGTCTTGCTCGTAATGATGTCGCAGGAGTTTCTCCCAATAGTCAGGATCTGGATCCTTGTCATTTTCCTTTATTACCTGGAAGCAAATTCCATAAAATTTTATGAAGAAAATCTAGATAATCTTACTTCCATGTCCTCCTCCTCTTCCTCCTCTTTATCGTCAGCTTCTCTTGTCGTGTAGGTGGCAACTTTGAACGAGCTAAGGTATTCATTGGTCCAGTGCTCCTTCTTGTCTCCGTCCTTATCCTCAATTGGCATGCACAAATTGTGAATTTACAAGCACAGTTTTATGTATGTTTGTATCAGTGGGCTTCACTAATGCTACACTCCTTGTCATGAGAAGATTCAAAAGCGATCCGCTGCAGAAAAAGAAAAAAATCGAAAGTTTTGTTCACCTTTGGTTCGTTATCCCTCGTCCTGTCAAGCAGGGCATCTACAGCTGCGTCGTCCCAGACTATTTCATTTTCGTTGGCTTTCTTGCCCTCTCCTCCTTCACCTCCCTCTGTTGGTGCAGGCTCATCGTCTTTGAACAGTTCTTCAGTTCCCCATCTAAAATTCAAGGCCTCCTAGTAGATTCACAAATAATTTTGTGACCGCCTCGCCTACCTAAGCACATCATCCAGTTCTGACTTGCTCATACTTGGGCCTTTCTGCCCTAAGCCAGCTCGGACAACCAAATGAGTCAGAAGCATCTTCTTCTTGGCCACAGAGGTGATTCGCTCTTCAACAGAGTTTCTGGTTACAAATCGGTAGATCATCACTTTGTTTTGTTGTCCGATACGATGTGCTCGGGAGAACGCCTACAACAGATCATATCCTATAAACGAGAAGAGCGCCCGCTTCATGCAAACCTGTATATCGTTGTGAGGATTCCAATCGGAATCGTAGATAATTACAGTATCGGCAGTAGCCAAGTTGATTCCGAGACCTCCAGCACGAGTGGAAAGTAGGAACACGAACTGTTGAGCACCAGGTGCTGGAAAACAAAATTTGATTGACTTTGATCCAAACTAAAGCGGAGTCACCATTGAATCTATCAATAGCATCCTGTCTAGCCTGCCCTGTGATTGAACCATCGATTCGCTCATACTTATATCCTTCCACCTCACAGAAGTCTTCCAAGATATCTAGCATCCTAGATTGGGAAAAAATGTCAAGAGCGTGAGATATACTGGACCGAAATCTTACATGGTCATCTGAGAGAAAATCAGGACGCGATGGCCAGTCTCCTTCAGTTTGCGCATCATTTTTTGCAGCAAAACAAATTTCCCTGCATTTTTGATTAGCTGACTCCCCTCATACCTGAACGATTGCGTTGATATAAATAGATAAATGGATAAAAGAAAGAGACGTACATTCCATTCTTCAGCTTTGGAGCTTCTAGACTAGCTTTGAGAAATAGATAAGGATGATTACAACACTTCTTCAGTTCCATGATGATGTTGATCAGCGACATTTGCGAGCCACCGTTCTTGACATTCAAAGCATCGAAATTGCGCGTAAGGATATTTTTATAGTATTTCCTGAAAAAGTAACAGCTTCAGGCATGATATATAATCACGACTGAACTCACTTCTGCAAAGAACTGAGCTCCACCCGAACAATCAGTTCGCTCTTAGAAGGCATACCAGTCAACACATCAGCTTTGAGACGACGCAACATATGGGGACCAAGAAGAGAGTGCAGCTTTTGGATCTGGTCTTCCTTTGAGATTTCAGCGAACTCAAGTGTGAAGGATTCCAGGTCACTGGAAAGTGAGGTGATGGAAATCTGAGGAGGAATGTTCTGCACGAAAGCACTTACTAGAAGCGATCCGGAGCAAGGAAGTTCAATAAGTGGAACAACTCTTCGAGATTGTTTTGAAGAGGTGTTCCGGTGAGAAGGACGCGATAGTTAATGTTGTACTCTCTGCAAGAATGATCTTAGTTGAAACACTCTGAATGGTCTTCTGTCAAATTACCGAAGATTTTTGAAGAATGTCGACTGATTGTTTTTCAAACGATGAGCTTCATCAACCACCAACGCTTCCCACTCGATCGAAGATAGAATTGCCTAGAGTTAGGTCCAAACATGAACCAAACTTATTGATGCGAAACAGAAACAAACCTTATCCATATTGATACACTCGTAAGAAGTCAGAAGCACATGGAATTTCATGTTCTCCTGTGATCGCATACGCGAAGCTTTCGGACCTCCCTAAAAGCAGCCGTTTATCCTCTATGCAAAATTCTGTACTTCACACAAACCTTCACAGCTCCTTCAACGAAAGAAAATTCATGTTCTCGGATGACCATACGTGAGTCACGATCGCCTACATATGTGACGATGTAAAACTCAGGACACCACTGCTCGGCTTCTCTTTCCCAATTGATGATGGTTGAAAGTGGTGCAGCAATCTGTGAAACGGTTGTTGTATTAGGCCAAGCTGTATAAGTAGAATGAATATGTATAAAAACCGCGCATGCCCTATGAAATGCATAGCTCACCAAGAATGGTCCTTTGGAATGACCTTCCTTCATAAGGGAGTATAAGAACGTCAGCGACTGCACAGTCTTTCCCAGACCCATTTCATCGGCAAGGATAGCATCAGTTCCATTGGACCAACAATGGCGCAACCAGTTGATACCTAAAACAGTTAAACATAGCGAGCGCAACAGATTTTTCACCTAACGAAGACCGTACCTTCCAGCTGATAAGGGTGAAGCGTTCCTCCAGTTTCTGTGATGAAGTCGGGTTGCACTTCGTACTTCTTCCGAATCTATAGCAGAAGGCTTATGCAACGTTATTGGTAATTTTTGGGCCTAACTTACGTCAACGGTTGGCTTCTCGCGCTTCTTCTTTTTGCACATAGGCTCCTCGGTGTTCTCTAGAGGAGGCAGTCCCTTCTTTTCTCGCTGAGCAGCGATCTTCTTTGCTATGTGCTTCGGTATTGGCTCTCCCAACATTTTTTCTCTGCGAACAAGAGGGTCAGAAATCATGCACAGAATACGGAAATTACCTATGTATCCAGTATTTATTGATAGCTTCATCGTAGTACGCGATGTCCATATCATCTCTCTCCCATGTGGCTTGCTCGTAGGCGAGCTCTTTCCACTTGACGAGATAATCGAACTGAGTTTTTCCATACTGCATATGATTGATGATGCGATGCACCTATAATGAAAGCATTAAACATACCAGAGAGTAAATTAAAAGCATATATCCACCTGCATCCATTCCGGTTTTATACCGTACTGATAGAACTTTTCACGAAGTTCGTAAGGGTCGCTATCCTTATGATGCCGCTGAGAAGTTGATTCGTCAAAAATAGGTGGATTCTCAGAATCATATTTGCGCCAATACATGCGCACCAGCTAAAATCAGATAAGCATACGAAAGATCAAAAGTATCCAGGTACTCATGTAGCTCTTCAATTTTTAATTAGTAAGGTGGGAAAAAGTGACTTTACTACAACGAATGTAAAACATCGCTACCTACCGCAGTAAAGTAGACATCCATAAGCGTCTCGCTGACCCATTCACAATGCCAATATGACATATACCTCCATTTGACGAAAAACTCTCTTTCTCGTCGTGGTTCCATTTTACGAGGTGGGTAAAGCATCGCCGCATCCTGTATAGCAACAATGCTTCAGAAGATATAAGAAAGGTTTGTGGCCGGTTACCTTATCCGGTTCCTCTCCTGGTTTCAGCTCAAGCGGATCAGGATATGGAATTTCGATCCATCTCCAGCACAAAATCTTTTCAGGACGTTGTTTTGGTTCAGGTATAGTACACCTGGGACATAGCCATTCTTCTTCGGGTAGCTGTTTCAGCGGTGGGTTGAGACAGTACGCATGGAACGAGCTAGGACAATTGTCGCAGCATAGCAATGATCCTGTACCCTGAAATGGAAGAAAAATTTGCATTAAAACCGTAAGCTGATGTTGTTATGCAGTACGGTACCTTGCATATGCGGCAGTACTCCATATTGACTTTAACCGGCTCTTCCTCTCGCGGTGGGGGTCCATGCTCTTCACAATGAGGACAACTCCAGTCACCCTCAGGTGCATGTTCCATCTCAGGATCGACGCAGACGACGTGATATGCTCGAGGACAGGTATCGCAAAGGATGATTTCTCCACCTTGTCTGCAAACCTCGCAATAGTCCTGATGCTCGATCTGAAATGAAGTTAATTGGTATAGGTATAGTGGGAATTATAATGGAGGAATATCAGAGACTTCCTCCTCATCTCCTTTTGCCTTTTTAGTCCTTCGAGTCATCTGAGCCTTCTCAATCGCTTGCTTCCTCCTGTCGGCGCGTTGTGCAGCACTGAATATAAGATATGCATTCAAGCATAATGGTATATGAAACAGGTAGCTTACCGGCTAGCCCTTCGTTCTTCCTTTTCCTTCTCTTCTTCGTCCAGCTGATGTTCATGCTGCTTTAAGAGAGTTTCGAACTCTTGGTCACTGTCTGCAGCACCTTAATGGTTGTAAATCACTGTTGTTATCGGTAGAAAGGAAATTCCTAATTAGCGAATTTGGAGGTCACTATGAGTAATCTTTCAATCGCTCACCTCCGTCCTCATCTGAGTCATTTCTTCTCTTCTTTCTTGCAGAGATACGAATTTTTATGGGAGCCACCAGCTTGTCTTGTTCCACGGGAGGCTTTGGCCTACACGAAAATACAAGCGTTTGCAGTATGAAACATCAATGCAGATTGTTCAACTTACCGTTTCTCCGCCTTTTTCACAGCTTGCGAGCGACCCTGTGCCGCTAATTCTTCCTGGAACTCACGGTATTTTACTTGAATGAGCGGATAGACCTTCGTGGCGTTGCATTTGGGATTAACTTCGAGGATCGATGGACGTACGCGATTGATGAAGCTCTGAGAAAAGATGAATACGAGTTGAAACTCTGGATCAATTTCCGCCGTTTCTAAACTAACCTTGAGATTAGTTATGGTATTGTAGTCTTCCTCTGTATATTCTATCGTGACGTCCTGAACATCGAGAGCTGCGCACATCTCCGCAGATGTGGATGTGGCTGGATCTGGGTAATCCAACTTTCTCTTTCCTGAACCCTTGTTCTTGCGTCCTCCCTTCTTCTTGCTCTTCTTCGACTTTTCTGCAAATGACTACTCAAAGGTTGAATTTCCTCTCTAACTACGACTATACTGCAGTTTAGCATTTCAGATTACTCATATGTCTACATCCTCTTTGAAGCACTAGGCTATCCAAAGATTCAATGTAAGCATGCTTCAAGGACTTTTAATGATTTGTACGTTATGAAGATTGTGCAGCGCTCTATTCCCCGATGTTCATATCACAAAGTAGCTTTGGGTAAGTTGTGTATTTGTGACTAGGATTTGCAATAACATCCGTCCGGCGCTATTACAGTCTGTGTCAACGATGAGCACCCTTTCCAATCATCTTCAAAGCACCGTCACCCTAAGTTGGGGTCTTGAGCTTTTGGCAGCATATGGTAATGGGGCCCCCTATCCAAGCTTTGTCCAAGCGCGACGCAAAATGACGCTTCGGAAGCGAGAAAATCGCTCCGGAATAACGAAGATGCAGGAGGCCCCCAGAAGGCACCGCCCTCCCCATCCATGCCCGCCCATCCGTGCGCGCCTAGCCAATAACCGTTCCGGAAAGCCGGTTCTCCGGAACCGTGAGGTTTTCGCAGATTCTCGACTTCATATTCGGAATCAAGGACATGAAAAGGCCCCGGAACGAAACATGGAAGTCGAGAATCCGAGTGGACGGTGCTTGGTGCTTGCCAAGCGCAACGCTACAACCACGTGCCGCTTTCATGTTCAGACGCATTTTCACCACTTTTCGGTCAACTTCTTTCCGCGATAGCGGACATTAGGATGCCCACCTCACAGTTACTACAAGCTGAACCTACTATCTACTCTGGGACGGGAGATACACTAATAGAAAGTCAAGTATCAAACAATAGCCCACGAAGCGTACACTAGTTTGAAACCGCGTTAATTGTAAGTGGAGTTTGAGATTTTGCAACAGAGCAGTGAACTTTGGAGCAGAAAAAAAAACTAGAACGGAGGTCTAGAACGGAGGTGTGGTCCAAAGCCAAAACTCTTTGGGTGGAGGAACGAACGCCTCAATTAGGCTCCGCCTTCGCGGACCACTGGTCCCAACACGATGCGCAACAGTAGGACGAAAGGACCAGCAGCCCGCGGAGGCGATGCCTAATTGAGGCGTTCGTTCCTCTACCCAAACTCTTTTGGACCACACCTCCGTTCTAGACCACCGATCATCCAAGGATTTCGAACTGCAAGCTAGAGCGCGCATAAAGGCAGCGTCCAGGGCCGGTATGTATCAATCGCCCATCCGGGTAAGTTACCCGGACAGGTAGTTTCCGCTTCATAGCTCGGTGCTCTGGAGATCTGTGTTCTTCCTTGTTTGTTCATCTATAGGAGGCTCTACTACCCTAATATTGTAGCACAATGAGTAGCAGCACTTTACCTTGTAAGCTGAGATATTTTGTTTTTTGTATGATCCCGAACGGGATCTCCCACTGATCACGCTCACTTTCAAAGTTATTTATATCTGCAAAAACTCAATGAAAACGTCATAGAGTTTTGCTGTCGATCTATTACGACAGTGCTACGCATGTTTTTAGTATGACAGATGAAATGTGCAAGTTTTGAGTTCTTCGATAAAGCCCAACTCGCGAGCACAGGTTCATCGAAGATTTTGTCAACTTGATTTTCCACTTATTTCTTTCACAAACATGCGTAGCACTGTCGTAATAGATCGACAGCAAAACTCTATGACGTTTTCATTGAGTTTTTGCGGATATAAATAACTTTGAAAATGAGCGTGATCAGTGGGAGATCCCGCTCGGGATCATAGAAATAACGAATTATCTCAGCTTATACAGCAAAGTGCTGCTACTCATTGTGCTACAGTATTAGGGTAGTAGAGCCATCGAAAGATGAACAAACATGGAAGAGCACAGATCCCCAAAGCACCGAGCTATGAAGCGGAAACTATCTGTCCGGGTAACTTACCCGGACGGGCGATTGATACATACCAGCCCAGGCCAGTCTGGACACATGGAAATCTCACGTAGATAATAATTTTGGGGCCCTAACTAAGCCACTGCCCAAGCGGCAGCTCAGATAGTGCTATAACGGCTGAGATATTCCCTCGAAACCGGACCCCGCGATCGTACTTCGCATGGATTCATGGCGCAAAGCTTGGGCGCGAATCTGCCATGAATCCATGCGAAACACGATCGCGGGGTCCAGTTTCGAGGGGAATATCTCAGCCGTTAGAGCACTACCTGCGCTGCCGCATGGCAATGCCTCAGTTAGGGCCCCAAAAGTACTTTCCACGTAAAATCCCTATAGGTCCAGATCTGCCTGGACGCTGCCTATGATGAACGCAGTTTTTTCTGTAGGGTCTGACAACGATTTTGCGTACCCAACTTTAGCGGACAGTTCTGCACGTTCAAAAATCAGAACTAAGGACTTCGGAGAAATCTTCGACACTCCCTAAGCTGCATCTTCGACATGACGGGTAAGACTATACAATCATTAGATCGGGATTTTGCGGTGACTGTCTTTGTGCTTAATGCATTTGGTCAAGATGATGGTCGGATAAAAACGCATGCGTCTTTGAATATGATTTTACTGACATTGGTTTTTTTTTTTGTAAAAACCGGTCCGTTCGTCGTTGGTATGAAAGTAAAGAAAGAGATGCTGAGAGATTTCGTCAAAAATGCAAAATCATGTGATATTGTTAAATCAACCCACGTGATCGAAATTTTTTTCTAAGCAAAAAATTCTGATCTACGGTAGATGAATCCGATATCTTAGCATAGGTAAAAGTAAAGTCCTGGCTCACCACCAGTGTACTCCTCTTGTTCTTCGTCCATCCCTTCGGCCATTTCCACATCATCGGGATCATTGGTCATCAGTGAGTCCTCCTCCATGGGCTCTTCTGAAAAAATGATTTTGAGAAAAAGGTGTGGAGATTACCCCTGCAGAGGATGTCAGTGGATTGTCAGCATGAAACTCTCATCGATTTCTTTCTTATGAAAGCGGGATGTGTGGGGGAGTTTTTAGCCCTGGGCGGCCCAAGCGTGAGCTTAGTGAATATCCTTCAAGTACCAGACACGGTATCGATTTTTCCACTCGGCACTGCCCACCTGCCGAATGGGGCCAACAGGGACAGAGAAATTCTTGTAAACATAGGATAATTTTAATGATCAATTGTGATCTACTTACCTTCCATCACTTCTTCTGGATGCTCTGGCTCGGCCATTTTACAAACCCAAAAGGAGTAGTTCTGCAGAGGAAATTTGATAATAAGAATTTTAGTAAAAACAAAGATGACGAACGGTAATCTCGACGGAAAGCTCCAAAAGTAATAGAAGGAAATCGAATTCTTAAATAGTCAAACAAATTCGTGAGGAAAATGATGAAAGAGTCACAGTGCAGCGGTAAGGACACGAACGAAATGCGCGTATGGCATGTCCCGAAGGTGCCGCTGCTGGGCGCCGCATGTCCCATCGGAGCCGACCCCGTTCCTCGGCACGCTGCTGTCTTCCGCGTTCGAACTGACGTCATCGGCGCGAAAACAAAGACTCGAAAAGATGCAGTGAATGCTAGATTCAACTGGAATATTCCTATTCCACAGTCAGTAGTAAAAATGTCGCAATTGATCGATTATACAGAAAAAAACTATTATATTTTTTCTGTAGGGCTTGAAAATTATGCTGTCTATTTAGGATCGATCGCTCAAATTTGAATGACTTGAAACCTATGTCCTTCTTCAGCGTCCACAACTATCAATATGACTATAGAAATAGAAAATGGCTTGTAGCTGATCGTTGGCTATCAAAAACAGTTGAAAGGAAGGATACAGACCGATAGGAAATTTCGGAAATTCAACACCAAGGCAGGTGCGAAGTAAGTATACTCGATAGTCTTTCCAAAAGCAAGACAAGGAAGCTCTAATGAGTAGAGAATCATTCTGAATTAACTTGGGTAATGCTCACATCCTTTAGATTTAGCGACACTATCGAAGGCTACGGTAACCTCTCTCTCATCAGAAATCATACAAAACCTCATCCATTTTTCACTCCGCAAATACTAGAGGAATATAGAGGTCATTACAAGCGAAAGAAAATGGATTCTAACACAGAACACATTCTGAGAGATTTGAAAATCTAAGATTAATCAAAATTTTATTACAGATACGTCCCTCGATGAAGCTAGTTCGATCACGGGGTATTTGCAAAAAATTATATTAGACCGGATGCAAAAGTTCTGTCAATACAGAAAATGAAAAATATAGATAAACAAACATCTCAAACTGTATCCGATACAGAATTTCTTCCTCTTTCCAACTTCTAGATTCTGTAATACGCTGAGAGAGTACTGAGATAATCGCCGGAAATTCCAACCCTTCGTTTTCATCATGTTAACACTTGCTAATTTTCAAAATTTTTACTTGAGAATTTTAGGGGAACTTTGATAGCCAGCACGTAGGGCAAACCTTTTGTTAGCTGAAGCAATGTTTTTCTTTTTCAGTCATTCTTTTAGAGTTTTGCTAAATATTTTCCAAAATTCCTGAGTTTTGGAAGAATTGCATACATAACCCATTATTGAAACACTGCAAAATTATCGAATACTGGGGTTTCAAAATCCGATTACTATTACTAATTACTAACCTTAGAAAGGAAATAAGCTTTTCGCTTCAAAATGAAAATTGTGAAAATTGGGTACATACATCAGTGCGCACCGGTGAAATTGAGAAATACGGCGATTTCCCCAGCAAAGCTCGTATGTCTCACCAAAAACGAGAACTTTTAGAAACAGAAGAAAGAATTGCATCAAATTTCTTGTACCCTGCATGGTACCTGTGCTGCGCACCATTTTATGTTCCACGAGGTTAGAATATACCGAATATGAAATTTGGTTACTCCAAGAAATATGCCGTAGCAATTCAGAAAGAAAGCCACAGGGCTACAAAAATTGCTTGTCGGCAAGTGGTTTGCCTTATGTGCTAGCTATCAAAGCTCCCAGTCTCAGCCGCTTTTCTTAATTTGTTCTGTGATCTAAAATTATTTTCTTCTTTATTGACTTCAACAGTAACTATTCTTGCACATTTAGGCTATTTTGATAGCTGTTCCTTGCTATTCGGTCGAACGTGCTCGAAAAGCCGGGGGGGGGGGGTTGCGAACTTGTTTCTATCAATTAGAGGACAACTACGAGTGAAATTCTTCGATATGTGAGATTGGGGCTGCTGGAGCGACGAAAATGGAATCGCTGTCTGTCTAGTTTGCTCCCTCTGGACAGGAATCATAAACATCGGAATTTCTGCGAAATTTGAGAGATCGCCACCGTCGAGTAGCGTGTTTTGTTCTTGTTTCTGTTCTATCGCGGTTTCTCAGAACATCGAATGTCATATAGCAACGCTACATGAAAAATTACCTCTACGAACTGTAAGTATCACATCTTCCTGAACATATTTTTGCACCTTTTCAGCAGAGATGGGGTAGTATTGTTTTAGGTGGTTATAAAATGTTCATCGAACGTGTAACCATACTGCTCAGTTTGAGCAGAATATCGGAAACATGACGAGGAATGTCACGCAGATGACGAACATTACGAGGAACATAACTTATTTGACAAATGCTTTGTTTGTAAGTGTCGTTCTGATCAATATCATTTTTGTCATCTTCTCGATTCCATAGGTTTTGCTTGCGTAGATATACCGTTTTACTTGAGTGGATGCGAAAATGCCGTGACACAAGCCCACTGCAGACTCTTCTCTATTCAACAAATACGCTAAAATAAAAAAATGTTTTACACTGGGTTGCATTATTTTAAGGTTAGTTAGACTTTAGCAAGTCATTTTATCCAAAAATGACTTGCATTCGTTTTGGCCCCAAAAATGCCCATACATAACTCCCAGATAAGGAAGGTAGGTTTGGAATCAGCATTTTATGCCCTTTAATATGGTATACAACTCATTTAGAAAGCCTACTTCGACCAAACAAGCTTCCTTGTGAGTCCCTAGCAACTAAATCTGTACGATCTGGTAGAGTAATGATCTATTTTTAGCGTTTTTTAGAGTCCCAAAAAGCTTGGAGAAGGAGTAATGGGTCCTGTCACTACGTACAGTCTTTTTCCGGAGCAGGCGAAGCAATCCAGTAGAGCAGCGCGCCCTCACCGCCGTTGGGTCAGCGAGATGGATCAGATTGAAGAGACGCAGACTGCAAGCGGCGCGAATTGTTGCGGAGCGGACTCCCGCCAGTCCCATTTCCGCCTGAGTCCAAGCTTACTATACGGTTCAGACAGTACGAAATATTAGGTTGTAAAGAAAGTTCCCGAGCACTTGCGAAATTTTTGTTCAAACTGCTGTAACTTCAAGCAGATTGATCCTTTTTGAAAGCTGCAAACTTCGCTGCAAATTCAATGTTGTCTATAAGTTATGCTCAATTTGTTGGGTCCTCAGCGCTTCATTTCGGGTCATCAGCATGCGCAGTAAGGAAAAAAGTCGACTTAGAATTCGGCTTGTTAGAGTTAGAATTTCTCAGGCACGAAAAGAGCTAGAGAGCTCATATCTGGTAGATATGTAGAACTCCGCTGGGGCTATCAAAAGACTGTCTCAGAATTTTAAAGCACAGCTTGTGAAAAAATTTTTCTCGAAAAAATCAAAAAATCGGCCAATTTTGCACCTTAAAAATGCCCCAGTTTTTGAGTAAATGAGTTTAAAGTTTTCCTTTTTTCCACAGAATAAATAAAATCTTTGATTGCTGCAAGTATTGTTGGGGTAATGTCTTGCACATCTTTTGTTCCTTTCATCGAGGCATGACGACCCTTACAAAATCGACGTCGACAGCGAAAAAGGTTCGATCAAAGATAAGTTTGAGAGCTTGTAATTTTTATCTGCGTATTGTAAAATTCGAGCACAGCTGCGATTTTGAAGTAAACAGCCTCCTTATTCAGAGTGACTAACCCCTGAATGGTTTTCTTTGTTCACGGCGAAAAAATGGCAACAAAAACAAAAAAAAAGTGAAATTTTCATCGTTGCAAGACTTCCTTTTTTGTTGTGTAGATCAAAAACGGCTTGATATCGACAAAAACTAAATGGGTGTCTAGAAAGCTTAGGCTTTTTTCTACAGAACCATTTAAGATACGTCGTTATGATTCAATCAAGTGCGAAATAAATGAGTCTGAAAACGAATTTCCAAGACTGTACGGGAACTTCCTTTACAACCTAATATTAGCTGGGCATTCTTTGGCTGATAGAAGGTATAAAATCTTTTTCACCAATGTCTAAACGTTGATTTCCCCCGCCTCTGGAGCCGTATCTTTTCCCGAATTCTAATCCGGCGCTGTCGTAGCTTTATGAACAAGTCCTCACTCGGATGATAATCTCTCGTTTACAACAGAAGATAGCTCCAGATAAATACGGGAGAGTGATAAATACCGTCCCTGGAGAGTCTTCGAGAAAAACTGTGAGGAACCTTTGCTGATTTTGTTGCGTAAGTATGATCGGCTCCCAGATTCGTGTGGAGGCGGGTTGCGACTTCCCTGATCTTCAGGATAAACTTGTTAAACCTCCACGTTATAGCATTGTATTTCGTACTCTTTCGTTAAGCTTATCCTTAAAATCAGGAAAGTCCGCAATCCGCCTCCACACGAATGTGAGAGCCAATCTTATGTACAGGAGCACTGAAGATGACGCATCCGGAATCACATCCCAAGTCAGCACAAGCGTTTCCTGCTAAGCCGCATTGTCCCTTTAAACCTCACCTAGACAAGTGTATAAGCAGCCACAAATAAAATTCTCCGAATTGCAAACTTTGATAACGACATATTTTGATGTATCCCGTCAAAACATCCTCTTCCAGAATATTTCGACTCAATCATTCTCAATCTTTCCTGCACTCTGAGCTGTTCAATATAACTATGACGGCAACAACCACAACCACGACAACAGCGGCCACGACCACAACCACAACAACAGCGGCCACGACCACAACCACAACAACAACAAGTGCAATAGGTAGAGAAGCTGTAACCACAGCACCGAAAGAGCAACATCCGCATTAACCAATTCAGCTACCTTCTCTGGTATAAGCTTAGAAGGAACCGGCACAACAATAGCCAATAATTCGACATCAACAGAGACAGTCCTATCAGTTGAAATCACAACGGCTTCAACAACAACACTTCTTAACACTAGTTCCTCAAGGTTTGCTTCTTCTGATTACACTAAACCCTTGGATAATTCTCACCTTTCAGAATTGCATCTGCGACGACGTTCGCGAAATTCTATAATGATTCGGTTTTCATGGGTAAGTCATTCAGTGTCAGATCATACTTAGCGAGCATTCAAATCAAGAAGTTTGAAGACTACGCAGCAGCTGGGGTTGCTTGGGGGTTAAGAACGTAGAGAATTGACTTACCTAATTATGTACTCTTTTGCTATCCGGAGTGAGCCCTACTCGAGCGGTTTGAATCGCGAGATTCGAGCCGCCCGAGTCGCGATCACTGCAAATGAGACAGAGGGTAGGTCAGTGTGCTGCTCGGTTTCAAAGCCATGCTCTCGCAGCGCTAATAGTCTGCGCTGCATGCGCGCGCTCAGAGTATTGCCAAAAAGACCAAAGAAAATATGCAGGGGGATACGAGTCCCAGCACGGTTTCCTTAGACCATAACCAGAGTAAAACTTGATGAGCGGAAGCGCTTCGTGCCAAATTCGGCCTGATCCGGAGGTTTAGTCTCAGCGAAAACTGCTCATGTATAGTAGTTCAACTCAGTTTAGGTGGAAATTAGACTGGCGCGATACCGCTTCGCAACGATTCGCGCCGCTTTGCAGTCTGCTTCTCTTCATTTCAATTGGTATTGCTGAGCCAGTGGTGGTGCGAACGCGCTGCTCCACTTTCCTACTTCGGGTTAAAAAGATTATAAGCGAGGGTGCAGCGAGTTTTATTGATGTAAGAATTTCAAGCGCCGCGCTCGCACAAGCTTCGCATCATATACCGATAGCCTTCGTTACGGAATAGCCTTTACAAAACTGCATGCAGGCTATTACCCAATGCTGATCGCCATTCGTATTTCTTGCAGAAGTATCGAACGCCTCCGTTGGCAAACTGCTTCTGTTGTATTTCATATTCTACGTCTTGTTTACCATACTAATGTGCATAGCCATATGTGCTCTCAGATGTCACTACAGGTAAGTGTCCAACCTTGATGACAAAATGTTTCCAAAAGGCTAGTACAGGAGCAAGTTGCTTGACGAGCTGGATAATGTGAGACAGGATAACGAACACGACCGAGTATATTGTGGGTTTAATTCAAAATTTACTTGAACCCTTCCATAGAAAGACAAATCAAGCTTCCAAATTTACGCACTGATTTCTAAGAGGCATCCAATCAGTTCCGATGAAATGCTCTTGAAGGCAGAATCTTCTCGCGCTCTCAATAAAGAAGGCGAAAGCCGTTGTTTCAGACGTAGAAGCGGGATCAGGAGCACGTCGAGTCGTTCCTCCACCACTTTCGCCTCCACTTACGGAACAGCAAGTCTACTATCCCTTAGGTCAGATGCTTGCTGATGAAGCAAGGCGTGCCGCCCTGTAGAGATCATCAGGAGACTGTACTTTTTGTTTTATATCAGTGCGTAATGTTCAACAACAGATAAATAAAGTGTTGTTCGTTATTTCTTTGTAAATGTTGACTATGATACGTATTCCAGAGAAAGAAGACAGAAAAACCAGTTCTACAGGGAGTTTCAATCTGAGTGCCACGGTCGGCGCGGCCCGGGTCTTTGCGAGCCACCTCGCTTGACAATCGTCGCCTTCGTCTTTCGTCTCGGGGCATCTTCCCAAGCTCGTCAGACATTGATGCTCAAGGATACAGTATTTCCCAGGCCTCAAATGTGGGAAAATACCGTATCGCTGAGGGCGAACGCGGTGAGAGATCAAGCGATACCTCGCGAGGATCAGCCGAGCCGATTGTGACACTCAGATCGGAATCCCCTATACCACTCAAAGACGGCTCCCTATTATGACCACAGATCTACTGCATCTGAAGCGCATTTTTTGTGCTTTTATGAAGTCTTGGCATCCAGTCTATCACTTGAATAAACGGTGTCGAAAATGATGCGTATATGGTAAACAAAAGTTGACAAAGCGCGAAGTTAAGCAGTTTTCCTTTCTCTCGTAAAGGTTCTGACGAAGTAAACAGTTATCATGAAAAGTGTAATCGTCTTGAATGCTACGGATTGTGACGGAGATTTCTCCTGTGAGTTTGCCAACATTACAAGGTTGCCAAAATTGCAGGATTAGTACTACTAGAGGGAGCTGTTCTTGGGGCCGATAGAAACAGATGCTTCTTCTTAGGTTATTTAATTTTGTGTAGAATTTAGTAATGAAAGGTCGTCACCCAAAAATATCGTATCCTGAAGACAAATGGAGCAGGGCTTCATTTTTGCGGATGACTAGTCATAGGCAAAGCTGTATGCCTGCAATCTGACTGAAAATGATGGAACCTTCTCACAAAGAGGAAGGTTCCATGGTCTATTCATGTAATTTGACTGCTATAACAAATGCTGTTGATATTCGCTTCTAAGTGCGAATACTATATTAATGGCAGTGGCTCGGGAAAATCTCGACTGGGGGCTTCACAACCACCTGGCCTTCTGGACCAGCTGAGTCAGATACTGTGCTTGAAATGTCAAAAAAGTGTTTTTTGTTTACCGGCCTTGCAGATTGCTGGAGAGGCGGAGCGAGGGATTCCCGCAATAACCAGCAAGTGACTGCAGGATACTGTTACTCCATCTATTTTGGCGGCAGCTGGCTGATCAGCCCAGGCAATCAATACGCTATAGTTGACGGTAATCCCTCGCCCCGCCTCTCCAGCAATCTCCAAGGTCGGGAAACGCCGAAGAAGCATTTTTTAACTTTTCGAACGCAGTTCCTCACTCAGCTGGTCCAGAAGCTCGTGTAGTTGTGGAGATCCCCCACTCGCGATTTTCCCGAGCCATTGTCTATAATAACCATATTAGTTGTCTAAAAAATCATGAATTATTATTTGTTTGCTCTATACCTCGAGCACACCTTATAAATGCAAAAGGGACAATTACTGCTTGATAAAAAGCAAGCTTTATAAGCTGATTAATGCTTTCGCCTCGAATTTGAAAAGTTTTAATTGCCAAAAAATTGGAAAAAACGGGACGTTATCTAAAAATTTCTCACAGTCGCGCAGGTCTATACTTTTAACATCAAACATTTGTAAATACAATTGTTGTGGCGGCGTAACAGGAGGCAAAGTCATGCCGCATGCATCCGCAAGGTGGTTGAGGTCGCCAGCATTGTGAAGAGTATCTAGCAAAGATCAAGCAAGAAAACCTCACAAAGTTTAGGTGCTCGTAACTTTGCTCAGTAAAGTGCCTTCGAAGTTTGCGAAGCGTATTTGGAACCAGCAATTCATTGATTTTACGGATATGCTGCTGTCAGTGATGTCATATTCCTTGGGCCAGCCTAGCTCGTTTTCATAAATACGGAGAAACTGAAATCCAATCTACCAGGTTGGGAATTCAAAGTTTTTCACATTACTCATCACATTACAAGAAAGACTCGCAATTTCACATTTTCAATTTCGACGTTATTTTTTGAAAACTCGATTTCCAATTATTTTATTATCAACCGGCTGGCTGATACTCGGCAGCATCGCTGCCTCGTAAATCTTTCATTTTATTCTGCAGAAAAATTGCCATTTTGCACAAATTAGTTGTTCGATTTATAGCCTGCACAGAGAGAAGATGTAAGAGCATAATTTCGGCTTTGTCATTTCATTCTGATTCAACATTCTAAGCAATAGACATTAAGCAAACTGCAAAAAATCAACAAATCGATAGAAGCAATCTGCATGTCCCGGACTAGGACTTATTAACACATACCACATACTAGCTGGCTTACCCTGGATCCGCTCGGCTCTGCAGAAAAACTACGATAAAGGTCCCATCCCTTTTCCCTACAAACTTCCCCTATGCCCACTTCTACATGTCAATCCCCCTTTCCCGTTGTGTTATAGTGTGGACCCCGGCCAGGTTCCCATAGGTACTTCCGCAGCGCGCACGCAGCGCGCGCCCTTCTCAATGCCTCTCGCCTCACTCATGAGCAGTAGAGCATATTTATGCTCACAAAGAAGAAAAATGTAAAGTGGAAACCTCTAGATTCACTTCGAAAGAGACGTATGCAAGAAAGAAACGCAGGCAACCTTCATGAGTACCTCAAATTCAATCAATGGATGCATATTCCGAACATGTACTGATGGATAGGTTGTAATAAGTATACATAAAGAAATTAAAGAACAACAGCATTCTCAAAACATTTCTCTTCGTAGACTTAGAAACTAGAGTGGTCAACGATTTCAAAAAAGTGGACATTTTAGTAAACAAATGCCTATTGGCTTCTCGGAAGGCTCAATTTTGACTTGAAACACTGTCTACACCTTACACATCAAACCGAAAGGGACTCTTATTTTATACAAGAAGCTTTTGAAAGAATATCATCTTAATGTCCAATCAAATCTGAATTTTTCATAGAAAAAAGGGAAAACACAAGACTACTACTACAGATTGAAGCTCTTAGGTCTATTAGAGCACGTGAAATCTCGTCACCGGTGATCGCGAATTGTTAATACCTAAAATAGAGAGAATATAGTACACCAAAAACAAAAAAAGGAGAGGAAGGAGGATTTCCATCAGAAGCTAGGACAGGAGACGCGCTGAAGGCGTGCGTTGCGGGTGCGTCGCGCAGGTACCTATGGGAAGCTGGCCCGGGTCCACACTATAGTAATCAGCGTGCTCACTTACCCCTTATGTCAATTCCCAGCCACGTAGCTTAAACTTTGCCAAAAATCGATAAGATCGATAGAGGATATGTCCAAACAGTAATACTGTATTTGTAATCAGCGTGCTTAGCTACCTCCCTCCCGGTGCCAACTCCCAGCCGAGTAGCTTGAACTTTGCAAAAATCTATAAAAATCGGTAGACTCGACATCGATCAGTGGCTTACCGAGGGGGCGGGAACCGAGAATGAGCCGAAGAACCTGAGGGCCGGTCGCGAAATTTTTGAAAATTACCTATATGAGCTATAGAAATGTGCAAGTGACTTGTTTATACTTGTAATCAATTAAAAGAGTTTTTAAAATTTTTTAAAAATTCATTTTAGCTTTACAAAAAAATTTCTTTGGGGAAGTGGCTGACGTCACGCCCCCTTCTCTGGAAATTCGGAGTTACGGGCTCGCGAAAATTTTACGAAGCAAGAGGATCTCTTGTACATGCGCTTGAAGAGCAAAGAAGTATTAACCGGGCAAAATATCCATATTATTTGAGCATTTTCCTTCAGAAAGGACAAAAAAGGCTTCATGACCTCTGGAGGTCATTGCACACTCTACATTACATGTAGAAAGGCAGACATATTGAAGGGTGCCTCAATTACTGGACGGAACCCCCCCCCCCCCCCGGCCCCATAACTTCTTCTACAGAACCGTTCCGCAGCCAGGAACGGCAGTTTGGAATGAGCGTTTTAAGCGCTTCACGATGATATACAGGATGTCCCTAAAGTATTATGTATACACTGATTGATCGTTAATAATTCTCCTCCCAAGAAGACTTTGCCTACCTTCAGGTACCATTTTGTAGAGTTGGCTTCAACTTAGATTTGCAGTATGGAGCCTATCGCTGGTTGTTCTTTATCACTGCAGGATTACGGTGGAAACCTCTAGCTCACATCGTCATGCTGATTTATCGTGCTTCCAAAAGGTTCCGAAAAAAAATCTGAAAACTGGTATACCAGTGTTTTCACGCGCGCTGAATTTATTACTCAGTTCTACGAGCTTGTCAAGCGTTTCAAGTGGTGTAATCACGATTCTAGGGAGCACTGCAAAACAGCTTAACGCAGTTACCTGGCATGACTTATGAAGGGAGCGTTACAATAAAGTGTAAACTTCACATTTCGTTTTAGCGTTCGAATGGTCTAGTATAAGGGTTTTCAGGTTGTTTGGTTTGTTTACTGAGGCGCAATAGGGCCTTCAATGGGCAACCTGAACTTGAAGTTTCTACCGTAATCCTACAGTAATGAAGAGCAGCCGGCGATTCGCTTTCTATGAATCTAAGTTGGAGCCAGCTCTACAAAAGAGTGCTTGAAGGTAGACAAAAGACTGCTTGGGAATAAAAATATTAACGATCAAACAGTCTATACATACTTTTGGGACACCCTGTATACCCCATTCGAATTTGTCGAGCTAACTTTGGATCCTCTCCCCGTCAGATCATTTCCATACATCTTGGAAAGTATTACTAGGGCCCGTATGCATGTACGTCCCCGCTGGGGAGGGGAAGTTGGATCCCCAGGGGAACGGTCCCCTCCCCTGAACCCCGTCATGACAGAGGGGAGGGGAGCGATCCCCTCCCCTGCACTTCAGCGAGGATGGTGTGTACGGTTTCCGAGGTATTGATCCAACGAACTCCAGTGCATACGGGGTTCGCGTGGGGGAGGGGATTCTTTTCTCCTCTCCACTCGATCCCCGTATGCACGAGTATTCAACAACGCGGGGGAAGGGATCGACATCTCCTAAACGGAGTAGGAGTTCGATGGTGTAGGTCATGCCAAAGAAGCGACTAATCTGGTTTCAATCAGTTATTACAAAGCATTTCGTTCAAATTGATGAAAGATATTCCATGGTAGCCGGGTTCCTCTTTCAGCGACCTGTAGCTTGCAGTTTTGTCTCTCTCTTCTATATTCGCTTCTCGTGAAGAAACCGGGGCATATATCTGCCAGTTTCGAATCTGTAGGAGTTTCTAAACATTCTCGAGATTTGCGCATTTTTTATATGACATGCTAGTTATATCCATGAAGACTGGTACATTACATTGTAACTACCATATTATATGATATGATGTCTTTATCTTGTTATCCTAACGTAAGCTGCTTTGAAAAAAATAAAAATTAGCAGATTTGCCCATTTCTGAGTAGAGATCCTCGGGGGAGTGATCCCCTCCTCAGCGTTCCCCTCGTGCATAGCAGGGATGGCCGCTGGGGTCATTCCCCTGAGGTGAAGGATGATATGTCGCTAATAGCTACAGCGTTCATGGAGAGCTGGCACGATTTGCAGCTTCTGTTATGCCTAGAAATGCTGGTTAGTTTTCCCCTCCTCTTTTTTTCGGCAGCATAAAGTCTTCTAACCGTCCCCTGCAGAGAGATCTGACTTCTATCGTTGAACACCTTTACGCTAAAATGGGCAGCATGAGCGAAAGTGAGCAGCATCATGACAACAGCAGGACTATATTGGGCCTAGAAAATATAATTTTTGGTGTGCCGAGTGCATTCACGCAGATGCGCATTCCGCAAGCCTAAATCATTGCCGATGATGAAAATTGAAGATAAGCATTCGTCAAAAGATGAGAATACAAAAAATCGAATGAAAGCGAAAGAAAAGTGATGTCCTCGCTCGATCCCCTTGTGCATAAAGGGGTTCCCTTCCCCTTCTCCTAGGGAATCCCTTCGCCGATATTGTCTGTGCTTGCATACGAGGGTTCGCCTGGGGAAAGGAGGGGAGCCCCAGCGGGAATTTCAATAGTAAAACGCACATCCCCTCCCCGCGGGGATGTATGTGCATACGGGCCTAGGTTTCCTTGTTAGAACATGTTAATTTCACGGAAATTCAGTGTTAAACTTCCATCAATTTTTGATTGAAAGTCTTGGCCTGAGTTGTTTATATTGAAGATTTATAAGATTTTTGATCACTTTGCAAGTTTGGACCAAACTGCGTAGCCTGCAACGCTTCAAGTCCTTGAAAAGGTAAATATTCTGTGAAAGTTGCGAGGATAACATTTTGAGAGCCCCTTATTGTCGTAAACATTCACAGTAAGCAAGTAATGTGTTTCAGATTCATTGAAATATGTGAAAATTTTTAGCTAACAGCTTCCGTAAGTTTAACTTATATGATCAATGAATGCACTTTGGAAGTGCTGATTTCAATATTGTTTTTATCCAAAGAATTCTCTCCGGAAAGCTTTGGAGATTTGTCCATCCTACTACGTTTTCTGGATCTTTGCCCATTCTCGTAGGCAACGTTCGCGCTCTCAGTTTTCTCCTGCCGATACATAGCAGTATGGCTTAGGTACTTGGTACCACGGTCAGTACTTGGTGACCATGGTAATTTGTGGGACACACATCACTAAATGCGTCTTAAAACGCTGACTGCAATTCTGCTTTTGCTTTTTGCTAAGCGAGATCTGAAATAAGTTATAGACGTAGTAAACCCCCATTCGTCTCAGGTGACCTGAGATTAGTCATTCAGAAGAACTTCTTCGGGTGAACCTAATATCACCCACCTTCCCGTGTTTTAGGATAGTCAGTTCAACAGTCAGAAAACTGTCTGGTCAAGTGTCACAGTCATTTCACCAGAATACCACTTATCCGAGGCTGAATTTTAGAGTGACCCGAGAGAGATAGTGTGCAAAAGAGAAAAATCAGACAATTTTCCCGTAAGTTGCTCGTGAGTAACTTGCGCGAAAATTCAGTCGACGTACTGCTGCGGTGCAAAACTCTCGAAATTGCTCAATTTCGGCGGCCTAAATGGGAGAAGATCAATGAACAGCTGATTGCGGCGAGAAAAGTAAGAGAGCAGGATTTCTTGGATTTCTTCTTTTTTCAAGCTTGCTTACGTTCTGCCTTCAGGCTCCCGCCAGAGTGCCGAAGCCATGCCAGCGCTACGCCAGCGCCGAGCTAGCGTTTCGATCGATACACGTGTATTTCGTTGAGGCGGGGTCCTGGCTGAGATAGCCCCGCCCCAACGAATTACACGTGTATCGATCGAAACGCTGGCTCGGCGCTGGCGTAGCGCTGGCATGGCTTCGGCACTATGGCGGAAGCCTCAAGGACTGCTTCCGACGACAAGGATTTCAATTTGCTCTGTGTTTCAAAATTTTCGTTTTTCGTGATATTCTCGTCAAAATAGGGTAGTTTTGTTTTATCCATCCATTCATTTGCTTGGCATAATCTTTGATAGCAGTCGTCATCGATTTTTCTTGATAGCGGCCGCTATCAAAGATCGTCCGTGGTGGCGCAAAAGTCTGTCACTTGCCGGCTTCGAACCGTATTCTTACGCGTTATTCTTACGCCTACTCACATAGCCGTTCGACCAAACCTGCTCAAACGGTTAGTTTTTGGGAGCGTACAAGGTCACTATGTCTAGAAAGCGATCCGCATCCAAGTCAGTAGTTCATCGGATGCCGGACTGAGGCGGTCTACGTTCAAGGTAGGCCCGCCCTCAGCCGAGTTGCTGAACAGGAGTTTACTACAGGCCATAAATTATTTTCCGCAAATTTTTTGCACATTAAAGCAAAGTCAAAATCATTGACAACTGAGCTTTTTGAGAATAATACAAGTGAAACAGGTTATCCAAGCTTAAAGTAATTGCGTTTTTGGAAGTTGTTCCGAGGAGCGAAGTAAGAATTATGGGCGATGTTCATAAATTGCTTATCTGAAACAGTGCAAAATTTTTATGGGAGGAAATCGCTTAGCAGACGGTGAAAGCAGATTTGAGATCAGTGTTTTAAGACGCATTTAACACGTTGACGACAGTGCCGCGCAATGGTGCGCGGCAGGCAGTCTGTCCCTGTGGACGACGCCGCGCAATGGTGCGCGGCGGCCTTAATTTCAATACTATCTGTCCAATCCTCTCAGTTTTTGTTCATATAACCAACATAGGCTCAGATGTATCTCATGTATTAGCCCCGCCCCTTTTTGGCAAACTCCGCCCACTTCTATACCCCTCACAGAGACCCTTTTCGTTCATAAAAAGCATGGATGAGGCCGTAGATAAACGCAAAGACCTCAAGTAACTTTTATACGGGCTCCGCCCACCGTCAGGCAAACTCCGCCCCCTGATTGGCAAGCTCCGCCCACTTTCAAAAAATGCCGGAATTTGCACGAATTCATTGATTTTGAGCGATTTCCAGCATTTTTGAAAAGTGGGAGGGGCTTGCCAAAAGTGGGCGGAGCTTCCCCGCCCACTTGCATTTTTGTATCTCACGCATAGATGCATGCATACATATATGCAGCCGGTTGTGAAACCGGAAACGGTTCGTCCACAGGGACAGACCTTCAGAAAATGGCTCGTCGTCAACGTGTTAATGATATGTGTGCCATTACGAAGGGTCACAGTACCACGTATTTTTTCCTTGTCCTTATTATCCCAGTGCTCTATTCAGCTTCCTCTGGAACCTTTGACATACGAACAAAAGTGTGTTCTGGAGAGTCAATGAGACAAAACTTCTGAAGACCACTTTATTACAAAGTTAAACGAGTACATATTTTGACAAGCCTTTTGAGACATTTAGGCTTGTTTTTAAGTAATGAAGGTATAGTATGGCATTTTGGAAAACATTTCGCATAGAAAGCAGCGCCAGTCAGAATCCAAGCGGATTTGCCGAGAAAAATTCTGCTGGAAAAGGATTGTATTCTCTGACCTGAAACATATACTGAAAAATGACCCTCTTAAATGAATAATAGAGCTCACCAAGGCCCAGCTTCGAGTTTGGGAGCTTGTTTGTGAGCCGACTCTAAAAATTTCTGTTAGTTCTGCATCATATATGGTTGAAGTTAATCGTATATAATGAATGAGGTAGACGTAAGCACATTTTTTCCAAGTTGATGTGAACCGAATAATCAGCGATGTTACAATATGCTCAGCTCATACGTTCAACAAGGTTTGGCCTCCCCTCAAACCGGATTTCGCATTCTATGGAGAAAACCCTTTGAAGGAAGTGCCCGGGCAGAATGGAGGTTTGGGGATTCCAGTGCCATGCGTAAGGTTGACCCCTTTCAGACACAACATCGCGCAAGTGCGACGTCACACCGCTCGACCTAAAGCAAGAAAAACGATTGGGAAGTGGGGAAACTTACGCCTTGGGGGGGGGGGGTTCTCCGACTGTCCGAGTTCCTGGTATGCGGCAGAGTACGCATGCCGGGGTAGGGGACTATATGTCGCCGAAATGGGCGGTCCCCGCGGTTATTCGCGAGAAATATGCGCCCTAGTATACCCAGATAATCGCCGGGGCAGGCGGCCATGCGAATTTTGAGCAAGCGGGCACCTGAGAAGTTCGCTGATTTCATGCGGTCCGCTGGCAGAAATTTGAAAGAATGTTGGCCAATTTCTAGAGAAAGTTCGGAGAAGTTTCGTGGTTTTTCTGTAGATTAATTGCGGCGCAGTGGCCGCATTCTCGCGGACTTTCCGCGAGAATATGCAAAAATATTGGGGGCCGCACGGTTGTCCTTTTTGAAAGACTGCACAGCCCGTAAGTATCTTCCGCTGGAAGAATGTACGTCAAACTCGAGTAATCAAACCATCGATGACACCTCTGCCTCATAGAGTCTCATCTTTACTCGGCGTATGCCCGAAACTGGTTAAAAGAGTCCTAGCGCTTGCTGAAAGTTTAGCCAGCGCTCGCTGAAAGAAATTACTTGCCGATTGCTTGCAGAAAATGCTGTATTGTTGCCCGTTGGCAGAATATGCGACCGTAAAGGAAGTGCCGCCCGCTGAAGGTTTGGCCACGCCCTGAAATTCTGCTGACCGCCTGCAGAAAAGCTCGAGTTTGCGGACCGCCTGCCCCCGGCGATTATCTAACAAGGGAACCGTGTCGAGTCGAAGTGGCCTTTCCAGATGAGACCCATACTGCTTTAACGAGCATTAATCGGTGATTCCAAATCTGGTTTACAAATCTGCCAAGCGCCTCTGGACGCCGATTTATGCTCGTTTTTCAGGTCGAAAATCTGAACGCAAAACTGAAGCAAAATCGCCCAAATTTGCTTAAATGGCCCAGTGTCAAGTGTCAGAGCTGTTTATGCAATGGATACATTTTATTCAATATGCTAATACTTAACATTGCTTTATCTGAGCGCTGGAAAGATTGTATCAATCAATTTTACCTAAATTCTGCATTCATTTTTCGTTCCGAAGAACGGTCATAACTCGGCGTCCAGAGGCCCTTGGCAGATTTGGAATGCAGATTTGGAATCACCGCTTAATACCCTTCAAAGCAGTGTGGGTCTCATCTGGAAAGGCCACTTCGACTCGACACGGTTCCCTTGTAAGTATGCGCGGACATACGTTCCTGCAGGAAATCCGCGCGGAACTCTTCCACATTCGGCGACATATAATCCTCCACCCCGCATGCCGCCGCAGTTAAAATCGTAGGGTCCCGCAGCGACTCTGCGTCTCTGCCTTGGCAGGAACTGTCGAATTTTGAACTATATGGCTTTGGAGAACGCCAGCGTTGCAGATAACCCCCGGTAAGTGAATATCCTAAAAATCTTTTGCCCGGACACTGCCTTTGAGTCGAAATAGCCAATTGAAGTATGATACATATCAACAGATGCGGCACAAAGGCTGACACTTTGTGCAAACAGTCAACATTTTCCCTACAAAATTTTCTGGAGCGACAATCAACGAGCAGCGAAACAAAACCGTGCTGAACAATCTTTTTTGCTGCTCAAAGTTAAATGGTTAGTAGATTCAACGTTAACGCGGTGAAATTTGCGCTTGAAAACTGCCGCCATGGGTGAAGGTATTTGTCCAATTTTACCACGCACACTAGGCACCGTACTATCATAACTTACAATAACGGGCTAAGGCTTGTTTACGTTTGTCTGTGTGTGTGAATCTCTGTCTGTCACGAAATTCATAGAGCGAGTTTCAGTAAAGGTCTCGAGCTAGAATTTTGATGTTAGCACCCTATCAGCATTTAGATAAAGTATGCAAAATCTCAAGTCCATTCGATAATTGGAACCTGTGATATTGTGCGCCAAACGGATCCACGCGGCATTTCGCGCGCCAAAGTGGGCCTGTAATTTGACTTTTTCCAAAGTCATGGTTTCGTTTAGCCGTGTTTAATTAAATCCGCAAACCATGAACTTTAGCCCAAAAAGTGAGCAAAACGCTAACTTTACGCAAGATTGGCGCCAAAAAAGGAATAATTGCATAGACGGTCGATTTGTCAAGGTTTTACCTGGGAATGTGAGAAAGTTTTTGCGCAGAAATGTAACTCATGGTTGTCATCATCTTTATGGCGACTATCAAGTCATTATAACCTCAGTAACTGATTCAAAATCGCATTTAATCTTTTGGAGAATACTTTCTTACCCTCACAGTCACCGATGTTACATGAAAAAGCTTTTAGAATGAGTAGTTGTTTACATTTCATTCGTGGTGATCGGCATCGCGAGGTAAGTTTCAAAGTCATCCTTTTGGGACTACGAGAAAGGCATGTGGATAGTAGAGCCAGTGCGAGCCTCTGCGAAGCAGAGGTGACGCACTGGGGTGGAGGACATTAGGTCGCCGAAAGAGGGCGGTCCCCGCGGTCATTTGCGACAAATACGCACCCTTGTACATACGCGGACATGCGTTCCTGCAGGGAATCCGCGCGGGACTCTTCCAAATTCGGCGACCTAATGTCCTCCACCCGACGCACTGGTATCATAACTTATAATAACGGGCTAAGGGTTGTTTACGTTTGTGTGTGTGTCTGTGTGTGTGAATCTCTGTCTGTCACGAAATTCGTAGGAAGAGTTCCAGCCAACCTATTTAGCCCAAATTTTGCATAGTACATCCTAGCAGCAGGAAAGTCCATTGTGCAAAAGCACAAGCGGATCCGATAAGTGGATCCCTTAGAAATTGCGCGTGAAACGGGTCCACTTAACTTCTGGCCAGCAAAATTGGGTCCGTATATAAACTTTTTGCAAAGTCGCGGATATGTTTGACAAGCTACTATACAAGCCATAGACTTTAGCCCAAAAAATTCGACTAAAGTTGGTTACTTTCCGAAGATGGCGCCAAAAAGAATTAGTTGCGTAAATGCTCAGTTTCCCAAGATTTTAACTGATCATTTGAGACGATTTTTGCACAGAGATGTAGCCCACGATAATTAATGTCGTTATGGCGACTACCAATCCATAAAAAGTCCACAAACCTACACAAATTTGCATTTATTGTTTCAAGAGAAGTTTCATCCACGTGGAAATACCGATCTCATGCAAAAAAGCTCTGGGAATGAGTGGCTGTTTACAAATCATTCGTGATAAGCTGCATAACGCGGTGAGTTTCAATGTCACTATTATGCGGGAATGAGTAAGGCATACAGAAAGTAGGGCCAGTGCGAGCCTCTGCGGAGCAGAGTTGACGCACTGGTCAAATATAAGACGCACTAGGGAGTGAACAAGAGAGGGTGTCGATGGAGACTACATGCATAAAATGGTTTGATAAATCACTCTACTACATTCAAGCCCGCGAAACTAAACCATTTTAATTCAGCTACACGAAAATTTTTTGTCTTGAAGTTGAGGGTGCTCGGAAACTCTCCATGGAAAATGGTCATTTTGACACGTCGAACTTCGCAGTACGATAGAGAAAACGCTCCGTCTTTTCGATCTAGGATATAAGGAAACGAAGCAGTGATAGGGTGGACGCATTGCGGGAGTAAAAGACGACAGACGGGCTCAAAGGCACCTTCCCGGCAAGATTTATTTTCCAGTTTTCACCTTTTCGGAGCCTTTTCGCCATGAGGATTCCATACACGTGCTTTTCAGCGCATGAGAATGGCAAAAATGAGCTTGCGTAAGGAGTGCGAAAGTGCGTAACACTTTCGAAGTTTTCACTGAATGCGGACCTAAAAAGCCTTGGAAAAAAAGCTCATTCTTGCCATTTTTAAGCGCTGAAAAGTCCAGATATGGGTTCCTCATGGTGGGAAGGCTTCGAATAGGTGAAAGACTGGACAGCGAATTTTTGCTTGGACGCCGCCTTTAGGAACATTGTAGTGTACCTTGCCAGGCAAAATGCACGAGGAAGGCTACCAACGAGAGAGACAGACGTCAAAACGGTATATCAGCTGAAAATAAGGTGAGTGCGACTCAAAACTCGTGCACATGTCAACAACCAGCAGGAAGATCGTGGATATCGTAAGCATAGACAAAATATAGGAAATATATGCGATCTGCAATTTAACTCGATATCCATGATCTGGATATTGCATACATTGGCATACTGATATTGGGTCTGCACACAAACTAAAGGCAGGCCAGTGCAGGGCTCGGCACAGGTGGCTTGCAAAGCAAGCTGGATATCGTTTTTGGGAGAAAAAGCAAAGGGGATATCGTTTTTGCGGAAGAGCATAGCACTGTCTTTCGATCTGCTGCCGGCACGCTGCCGGCGTGCCGCCAGCAAATAAGCAAAGGGTTTGTTTACAGCGAAGTGAAGATGAAATGGCACCAAAATAGGTGTGTAGATGGGCAAAGGGGAGTTGGGACTATGTATGAAAAATTATGAGAAGATTATGTGAACTAAGGGCATGGTAAACTTTTTTCGGGGTTAGGTGGCTTTCAAGCCATCTGGATAGCCACCTGAGGTGGCTTAGTGCAAACAAAATCATATAATTCCTATTCTTCACATAACTTTTTCAAATTTTTTATATAGAATTAATCTACATCTAATGTTCTACAAAACAGCTCTTGTACCTTCCCAAACCCTCTCCTCCTCACCTAGTTATAGCCCTCCAAATTATCTGGATGGAAGCGGCAAAGCTGCTCCAAGCTCGCGGTTGTGCGCGGCGGACACAGCATGCCGCCAACTCGGAGAATACAAACAATTACTGGTTCTTATTGCCTATTTATTGTCTATCTTGTGTTCTGTTTCATTCTTTTTGTTTTCATGTTTGATTTGTTCGTTAGCGTTTCAAGGGGGATGTCGTACTCTAGTGGCGAAGTCGAGGGGACTTCGTTTTTTGCATTTTCAACTAGCCACCTCGTGCCGAGCCCTGGGCCACTGTGTTAAGGTGGGTCCGCCTTTTTTGTGTCACTTCTCTTCTGCCATCCTCCCACCCTCGCTTCTCTGCTCACTGCCTCTACACCCAACAGACTATCCTGACATCACCACCATTGTTATTTCGAACAGCACTTGCGGTCCAGGTGTCTATGCAGTACAACCAAGAGCTTGTTTTCATTGTTTACAACGGACATCGTCTTGTCGCGGATTGGGCCCCCAGCACCCAACGTCAGTGCTACTGTGGATCTCCTGCATCGGCGGTAGGAGCCAAGGGTCCCATCCGAGAGAAGTTGCAACATAAGTTGTGGTGGCGTTACCTGTAAGAATGCAATTGCGCCTGCCACAATACCACGTCATGCACACACAGAGGCCCTTGCCACCAGCCAGCCTGCTTAGCATTTGACTTGACACCTGCGATTCGACACATACTCCCAGCTAGATGGTTGGGGCTTGTATTTACAACCAAGGCACTTAACTACAAGAGTATCGTGCCAGCCTTTTGACAGGTCTACCCCGTTAGGCGTGATTATAAGATACACATAAACATTACTGACATAAGATATCCCCGTAGCCACAGCCGAGCTGTGCTCACCGCATCAATACAAAACATCAACACGTGTAAAATGCCCACTATTTATCCACAACAATTTCCTAAAATCAAACACAAGGGTGGAGCACAACCAGCCAGATGTTAACGGTCGGCAATATCGGAAACCCCCGTGGCGGTGTCGCCGGCATGTGCCAGGCGAGAGCGCTCACGGGGTCCTCGTCTGCGGGGTTGCCTGTCCTCCATGGCGTGTTGAATGAAGACGAAACTGGGACCCGTAACTTGGGGACGGCGCTGCATCGATCGACTGGAGTGAAGACGAAACTGGGACCCAACCGCTCACCGGGTAACGACATTGACGACTGATTTGAAAGCTGCGGCAGAAGCGGTGGGAAGGTGGGAGCAGAGCGAGGACAGCGTTGTAGGACCCCTTTGCAGCGCGGAGGCGAACTCTTTTGAAGGAAGTGGCGAATCCGCGACAGTTTAATTCTAGCATCCTACTATCCTTCTATTCCACTCAACAATCTCTGTTACTTCTCTCAATTTACCTCGGACAACGCTAGGTGTTAGCTACTTCCATTCCATTGTGCTTTTGTTGCGGATACTATCTTTTCCCATAGTTGATTCAGAATCAAAGGCGATGAACATGAATGGAAAGCTTAGAGGACCGACGCTGTGCCGGCACACGAAGAAGAAATGAAAGCGCGAGAGCCCTTATTTGGGTTTATACAGCTTTCATACGTAATCGCGCCGCACCTTTGCCGCTAAGTTAATGTACATCATAAACGAAAGTTCATGACAATTAATCCATCACGGTCACACACTTCTATAAGCACCACCGCTCATCACAAGCATCGCTACCACCACCATCACCTCTGCGGCAATGCAAAACCATGACTTTTACTCTATGGGACATCGCGTCGATGCATGACAGAAATCGCAATCATTTCTTTCTTAGTAAAGTGCCAGGAAACTTACGGTGTTGTATGGATTTCGGACTTCAACTCCCAGTCATACGGATCAGAAAATCTGCAAAGACTAAGATTCCTGTAGAGCTAAAGCTAATAGTTCCAGTAGTTCAAGAAAGTTTTAGTTCCTTCATTGATTAACATTCTTAGCTTTCTAGAGCTTCTTTAGCATTGTAAGCTTTATTCGTAGTGCTAAGAAATGAGCTTTGATAAGTGTGACTCAAGATGTTTGGATGAGTATCTGTCTAGCTTTCAAGGCACTTCTCGAAGAATATCACATCATTTTCGATTTTTTTTTCAAGTTTGAAAACATGGAATGGCATTGCTTTTGCATGGCCGCACATTCGATTTTTCGCTAAGGTATTTTACAACTTTCCATGCTAGGCATTGGGCATGCCTTACGCGATTCCGATCGCTGCGTGATTACTCCACAGAACATGTGTTCCTAACCCGTCGCGCTCAAGTATTTGAGAGAGTGATCGCCGCATTAGTGCCAGTTTGTTCGACGAATGGCGTGCCATCGCGAGCATTTTTTTGACAAGACATGCCTCTAGTGGCGATATCGCCACGATATCTCCGAAAATGAGAGAAATCGCGTCGCAGACTCTCCACCAGCAACGCATGATATGTCGCGAGCCACCTTTCTCCGAAAAAACTTCGCAACCTTTTTTTTCTCAAATCACGGCTGTTGCGCACCAAGACTAGTACTAAATTGTCTTCTGCTTCTGCTCTTATGTCATCCGCGTTCATTCGGTGTGAAGTATGAGTTACGAGTTTGCGAAAGGTGTGCCCAGAATGAGCGACATGCAATTAATCTCGAAGCAGTTGGACTACGAGGCATTCGATGCCCCAGCGATGAGAATCGCTAACGATAAAGTCGCCAAATATGACCGATGCCTTAGGGTAATTGCGTTTTCTTCGAGGCTTTCGTTATGGATATGTCATTATTATGTCAGCTGATCGAAATTTCCCAACTCAAGCCGTAAACGGAATCATCGCGATATTAATATTAGGTTGTCAAGAAAATAATGTCCGTTTTTATTTGCTTGCTTTAACAAAGCAACCAGACTCAACCCAACAAAGGATAATGGGTACTGTGCGATAGAGCAAAGCAAGCTCTACAAGATGGCGCTCATGTCTTTGCGCCATGCTCGATCCACGGAGAGTTCGAACTCAAAATCTAAAGATTTCCAAAAGCCCAAAAAATCGAAAAAAAAATCAGATCTTCATCCAAATAATTTATACGGACCTCCCACACGCTCGCATCAATACTATCGATATCTGATATCCATATGTGCAATTGCCGTATTTTTTCCTTGACTAGAAACTGAGAAAACGAAAATTTCACTGTTTTTCTCAAAGCAATGCTGAGCCGTTTTTGCATATGTAGTCCTATACTACAAGCCTAGATAAGTATAACTGTAGATTTTCAGCCCATTCCAAGCGGTAGTTTTCGAAAAATAACGAATTCGGATTTTTTCGTTTCAGTTTCAGTGCTAAAATCGACATTTCTCGAAAAGTACCGCTCGAAATAGGCTGAAAACCTACAGTTATGCTTACCTAGGCTTGTAGTATAGAAATACATATGCAAAAACGGCTCAGCATTGCTTTGAGAAAATCAGGGAAATTTTCGTTTTCTCAGTTTCTAGTCAAGGAAAAAATACGGCAATCGCACATATGGATATTAGATATCGATAGTATTTATGTGAGCGAGTGGGAGGTCCGTAGAAATTATTTGGACGAAGATCTGATTTTTTCGATTTTTTGGGCCTTTGGAAATCTTTAGATTTTGAGTTCGAACTCTCCGTGGATCGAGCATGGCGCAAAGACATGAGCGCCATCTTGTAGAGCTTGCTTTGCTCTATCGCACAGTACCCATTATCCTTTGTTGGGTTGAGTCTGGTTGCTTTGTTAAAGTAAGCAAATAAAAACGGACATTATTTTCTTGACAACCTAATAGTATATAACAGCTGAGGATGAAAAAATTCAAATGTAAATGTAGATCGAAATTTATCCGAATACCAACCGCATGCTGTGCCTATTTTATCTGACTGTTTTCTATGCGCGCGTTCTGAGTGGGAAGCGCGAATAGATTGATCTGGATCTCATTTGGACTGAATCAGTTGGCAGCATGCAATCTGCGTGGACCTTTTATCTTTCAGGCTGGGTTCATACTGATTCCCATGTTCCGGAACTGTTCCCGCACAGTTCCCGCCCTGCGCTGATAATGTTCCGGAATTGTGCTGCATGCGTTGCAATCGCCCCGCACGCGTTTTGAAAGGCGGGAGTTGGAGAATTTCGACCGTTTCCAGCGGTTTTTCGTCCAGATTCCTCCCTGGCCTTATTCCTCAACCCCGTTTCCTTTTTTGATCAGCAGAACTTCGCACTCGAAACGGGGTTGAAGAATGAGCGCTTTTCTGCACTGCGTATCCAACAAAATGTCTGTTCTTGTGTATGTCCATTCTCGCTTCGTTTTCTTTGCTCAAATCTATTCCCTTTGTTTCAGGAGTTTCTGCTACGTATTCCACAGGCATATGTCTCGAATTAGGACATGCGAACAATCTAAAATTCCGAAAATGGGAACTTTGCTCTTTTCTGATGCATTTCGTCATTGGGCATTATCAACCCCTTTCCTTCTATGTTGCTTCTCCGTTTTCTCTTCTACTCCGCTTCCCCCAGTGATGAGAAAATCTGCGAATTTAAAGCGGAGTTGAAGAGAAAGGCTGTTCTCTTTCATGTGCATGTTCCAGATAAGTAGAGAAAACAACGTTCCTCCCTCCCGATTCAAGTTCATAGCTTTTCTCATCATAAGGAGAAGCGGGGTAGAGGACTAAGGGCGAAATGAGAGGAATCTCGAAGAAAAACCATTGAAAACGGCCAAAATTCTCCAACTCCCGCCGTTCAAAACGTGTGCGGGGGGTTGCAGCGCATGCAGCACAGTTCCGGAACAGTTCCAGCACAGTGCGGGAAATGTGCGGGAACAGCTCCGGAACATGGGAATCAGTATGAACCCAGCCTTACTACCACCTTATTCGCCACGCCACAGCCCGACAATTGCGGTGTATGACTTGGAAAAGCCCTGTATGAGCGATCAAAGTAGCTACGCATGGCTTTTGCTTTGTGGAGGCATGGTTGCAACAAGATGAACACCTGATTGACAGAATCCGTACACTCGAAGGTAGTGTCATAGCTGCGATAGCTGCAAGCAGACCGCACTGTGGAAGTATCCCTACCGACCCTCAAAAGATCGGATTTGGTTTGCGGCCCCAGATTACGAGCAATAGTGACACCATCTAGAATTACAAGATAAAGCAGAACATGTCACTAATGAGTACCTTATTCGTCCAGCTTTCATTGTCTGCATCAAGAGTTCGTAGATTAACAAATAATTTGGGCGCAAGTAATAGTTCAGTGTGCTAAACGAAATTTGAAGACATTTGTAAGATTCTGTGCATAATCCCTTTTGAACCTTTGCAAAGAACCGATGTAACACACTGACCTGAGATGCTCTAATATAAAAACAAATTCCATAGGGCAATTAGATAATAGTTCCTCTTTATCAACATTTTTCTTTATTTCAAGGATTGCTGCTCTGTCTCTAAAAATTACACTTTGATTAGGTAACGCGAAGATCAATCATGACTTATAATAAAGCGCGTGTCTGTCTGTGTGTGTGTGCTTATGTCTGTTTGTCACGAAATTCATGGAGCGTTTTGTAGGCAAGGTCTTGAGCTGTAATTTTAGTCATAGCACCCTACCAGCATGTAGGTAAAAAGTGCAAAAGCACAAGCTGATCCGATATTTGGGACCTTTAAAAACTGCGCGTCAAACGAGCCCACGCGGCTTTTGGCACGCAAAACTAGGTCATCAATCCGACTTTTTGCGAAGTCATGATTTGCCTGACAAGTACAACTGCGCCTCATAAATTCTAGCCCAAAAGTGCTCAAAAAGTTTGCTTTTCTGCGACAACAGCGCCAAGAAGTGATGATCGCTTAGACAGTCGATTTGGCAAGGTTTTTCCTTCAGACTTGGAAAGATTTTTGCACGGAAATTTAGCTCAAAGTGACTATTATCCTTATGACGACTACCAAGCCAAAACAATTTCAGTAATCTAATCAAATTCGCAAGTGTTCCTTTGCGACAAGTTTTTTTCTCTTAAAATTACCGATCTTACGTGGAGATGATTCAAGAATACACAGTTGTTTATTATCCTCGCTGGCTCATCAAGGACAATTTTCGTTTTCCTTTGTTAACTACAAGCGTTCAACAGCGTCGAACCCAATGCCATCCTGTCAGCCTTAGGCCCCGGGCAGACTTCACGCGATTTGATCGTCGCGACTGAATCGCGAGGAGACAACTGTTACAACATCATTTCATGCCGATCAACTTGCATTTTGGTTGTGATACTTTTCCAGCCCGAAATTTTTGAATGTGAAATGAAAATGAATGGAAATGTCGGCGATTAAGTCGCGACGATCAAATCGCGTGAAGTCTGACCGGGGCCTTAGTCGATTAGGAGTAAAGCTAGCTTACTTGAGGACATCAGCCGATAAGTACAAAGACTGTACAACAACATCAGCCGATAAGTACAAAGACTGTACAACAACTATTCCATCGTCCCCTGACCATCCCATTGGGAAGGAGATTTGACAAGGCCTCTCGCTGAAGCTTCAACGTGTCTTGCAGTGAGCGACAGAAACACTGATCTGGAACGAAAGAAGCGCACGAGTTGATGGGGGACTCCTGTCGAAATTTTGTTTTGCGGATGACATCGTTCTCTTTTCGAGCAGTATCACTGAAGCAAAGATGATGCGAAGGAACTATAAGGAAGGGAAGAAGATCGGACTGCAGTTGAATCGCAAAAATGATTGAGTTCATGAATGACTCTGCGAAAATGAGGAGATGAAAAGGGAAAGACTCCATCATGGAGACTTTTGCTTTTCTTATGTGCATCTTAATCTTGTGATTAACATGGAGAACGATTTGAGGAAGTAAACAGGAGAAGAAGAGCAGTCTGGCTTCGGGTCTTCAAAGGAAGCCACCGATTAGCTGGTAAACCTAGAGCTTCGAGCCCACTTGTTCGACTCAACCGTTCTTCCAATGCGCTGTTAAACAGCCGTGATTTGACCGACAGTGCAGACGTCGAAAACTGTACGAACCATACACAAAGTTCTTGAGCGCCTTTGAAAATGACCCAAGACAAGCAACATCTCGTTCGATTTGCAGTACGGATAAGAAGAAGTTCATCAACGGGGTAACGAAACTGATGCGCCGATGGGCCGGTTGCATGTCTATTCGGTTATTTTTGAATCTTGGCATGATAAACGCTTGTCAATGTAATTTTCAGAGGCAAAGACAAAGACGAGGTGACAAAGAGAGGCAAGTAACTTTATTGACTGAAGTCAACGTTTAGACGTTCAAGGCCTTCTTGGGACTCTGGGTAGAATGGGCGGAAATGCAGGGCCTCCCACAAAGAGGCGTTCATGTCACAAGTTCTAAAGCGCTTTTACTTCTGAAGCAGAATGCAATGTCGCTTGAGCGGCACTTTATCAGGACGCGCGCTACTGACTACTTCGTCGATGTTGTCATATCTGCGCGGACACCCTGCCTTCGAACTTCTGAGTCGGTAATGACGCTCTATTTATTTTGAATGTATACGATTCCGCAAGTCTCCTACCTCGCCTTTGACCATGGTAAAGGCCCTCTGAGCTCAATGAGCATATACATAAGGCACCACAAATCATCATGTCGACCTTGTTCTCCTTTCTCGTGCGTGTTCACCGAGCAGTAACGCAGTGTTCCTCTGAGATGTACAAATAAGAGTCTCCGTGTAAATACAACTTATGCGACGGAAAATGTTGCGCTCTTTACTTGTATATGTAACTGGATAGATTTTGGGCGCTGTCACACAAACTTGTATGTTCCTTACCTGAAGTGAGCCTTTTGTCTTGGTCTACGCATCTTTGGCGGATCTTTGTAAGATGTAACAATGTATTCCCTAGCTAGACCAAAGTCAAAAATGTGAATGAACCGAAAGAACGGTGTGCCCACGGGTCCTACGGCCATATTGGCAGGCTTCAAATCTCGGTGTATGAAACCGTACTGAAAAGAGAGACATTGTTGGAAACAAACAAAAAAATATAAGAAGAGATTATTCGGGACTAGCTGGCTTACCCGGCTCCGCCGTATGTTCCGAATAGAAAATTCCATTTCTTAACCGCCCTGTGCCAACTCCCAGCCCCGTAGCTCAAATTTTGCAAAAAATCGATAAAATCGATATCGATCGATGACGAAAAGTAGCCTATGACACGCGCCGGGGCCCGAAGTGTATGTGTGCCAAGTTTGGTCCGGATCGGTTCAGAAATGGAATCTTCTATTCGGAACATACGTACAGACAGACATACATACAGACAGACAGACAGACATACATACATACAAACAGACATTCAGCTTTATATATAAGATTGAAGCACGTACATCGTGGAGTTGTTTTATGGCGTACAGAGCATTTATTCCCACACGAACTTGCGTCGAGATGCTACAGATTTTCCCATAATATCTGGATTATTTAGCTGGAGTGAGTATAAACTACTTATGGTAATTTTAATTTTGTACTTCAATATTTTGTTAAGACTTGGTCCGAGTAAGCTCATCACTATGTACGAGTATCCAGGCTTCTTTCCTGAGGCTAGCAGCTGGGGTACGAAAGGGCAGTCTTCAAGCCTCCGCAGCACCTAAAGTCGTTAATGTAGTTTTTTTGTAAACTACAAGTGTGGTTTCTGTTTCGCAAAAGCCCGCAAAGGTACCACCGCATCGCATGCCTCTCAGACCTTGCTGCCTTACGCGGTTTTTCTAAGTCAATCCTTATTGCTTCTGTACCAAAGCGTCAAAGACTGCTAATGGTCCGAGTTGCGTGGTAACCATGACTGGGGTGTTGTTTGGGAGCAGACCACAGACTGCAGTATACGCAGTCGACAAACCTAATCGATTTCAAATTTGAGTGGACTTTACCTTCGCTTCCAGCTTCAAGACACTGCCCTTTCCTTTGCGAGTTTCTATCTTGAATGCGGCCTGAAAATAAACACAATCGACTCTAAGCACTACAAATGTTGCATCCCATGTAACCAGTTCTACAATACTGGTGCACCTGCTCGTTCAAGTGATTCTACTTTCTCCCATATTTTAGAATTCCATCTGGGAAGAAAGATATTTCATAATGTTTGCAGTTAGGAACAGTTTACCATCGATAGGAGTTCTGGCACCGCCAATAGCTGCTTTTGAAAGCTGATGAAAAATCTTGCTTTTGGAGAGGCTGGGGAAGGTTTTTCTGACGAACCTTTAAGCAAGAATTATGGTGATGAGTCCCATCAAAATAGTCTGAACAATTAGTATTAGGCTACATTTGACTGTAAGATCATGATAAAGAGAATCAGAGAGTTACCGAGTGCTGCAAAAGGAGCCTTACTCTAAGGATAGCTCAATACTAAGTTGTTCAGACTAATTTGATGCAATTCTTCACCATAATTCTCGCTTAAAGGTTCATCAGAAAAGAGCCTCCGCCTCTCCAAAAGCAGGATTTCTCATCAGCATAGATTTTTGAAATTATTTTGAAATAGCACCTAATAGCAGCTAATGGCGGTGCCTGCTTTCGAAGACTATGGTGAATGCTCCTCAGTACAGCCCAAGTTGAATCCAGTTCTCTGATACGGTGTCGTAATGACAATTTCTAGTAGCGTTGTAGGATGAAGCTGGTGAATCCACTAGCTCGACCAACTGCTCAGATAATCGCCGGGGCAGGCGGCTATGCGATTTATGGGCAGGCGGGCACCGGAAGTTCGCTGTTTTCTTGCGGTCCGCTTGCAGATATTTAGAAGAATTTTGGCAAAATTTTAGACGAATGCTGGAGAACAATTGCGCCTTTTATGGACTACTCAGATAATCGTCGGGGGCAGGCGGGCACCGGAAAAATAGATTGCTGATCTCTTGCACCCCGCTCGCGGATTTTTGGAAAGCAATCAGGACTTTTCGGAAGACCGCTTGCTGAGTTCTCGATTCCTCAGAAATTCAGCAATATATCTGCAAAAGGTAAGAGCGAAAAAAATTTCAACAGGCGGTCTCTCAAAAATCCGCTAACTCAGCAAGTGGTCTTCCGAAAAGTCCTGATTGCTTTGCAAAAAATCCGCGAGCGGGGTGCGAGAAATCAGCGATCTATTTTTCCGGTGCCCGCCTGCCCCCAGCAATTGTCTGAGTAGTTGCGGCGCAGTGGCCGCAATCTCGCGCACTTTGCGCGAGAATATGCAAAATTATTGGGGGCCGCACGGTTGTCCTTTTTGAGGGACCGCACAGCCCTGAGTACCTTCCGCTGAAAGAAAGTATCGCGGGTAATTGAACCGTCGATGGCATCTCTGTTATGTAGAGTGTTACCTTTGCTCGGCGGTTCGAAACTGGGTGAAAAGAGTCCGAGCATCTGCTGAAAGTTTGGCCCGCGCTCGCTGAAAGAGATCATTTGATGAGTGCTTGCAGAAAATTTTGTATTGCTGCCCGCTGGCAGAACACGGAAGTACTGCGCTGAAGGTTTGGCCACGCCCTAAAATTTTGCTGACCGCTTGCAGAAAAGCGCGAGTTTGCGGACCGCCTCCAACCTGAGCAGCTTTGTTTGCGAACCGAAATTTTTGCCACGGTGTTGCTACTCTTGTAAGTCTCCTGATTTCACTTAAGGTGCATTCCAAGTTTTCTTATACCTGCTTTTTTTAACCATCCATCGTAGATTAGGTATACTATTCCTCTTGGTATGTTTCCCGCGACATCCACTGTGAGGGCTCTTGCTGTTGGAATGACGGTAACGCCTACGGTTCATCACAGCATTCTGTTTCTATTATCGAGCTGCATGTGCACGACCAGCACTCGCTGCTTGAAGCGCAGCTGATTGGATAAATGTACGATCTAGACTTGAAATTGCGAAGGATTCGTTCGTAACATTTCCGAAAAAAATTTTTGGTGTGCTTTCTGTTTTTTTCGCGAGAAAAAATTTTTTATAAGATTAAATGATTTTCAAAAATTTCAAAAATTGTTTTAATTACTCACAACTATAGACAAGTCACTGGCACATTTTTATAACTCATATAATTAACTTTCGAAAATTTCGCGACCCATTCTCGGGGATCCCCCTCGGTGGGACTGTGTCGTAGAAACTTTCAGGTGCAGAGATGTTGCTCCTAGACATCTGCAGACGATCTTCTTGATATGCGTACCCCACCACCTCCGTTTAGGCCCAGGCGTTTGGGCTCCGAGCTTCAAGTGCTCGGAGCTTAAACACATTCACGACACGGCTATTTTATCGATTTCTGCCGTTTCGGACATTGATATCAACTTCCTCGTGTCTTTTTTCGACTGCCGATGGTTCGTATGACCCGAAAAAAAATTGTCTTCTAATTAGGTTTACCCTGGAGGTCTCCAAACATATGCGGGGATCTCATATACTTCCATCGTAATTCTGCAGTGCCTACTAGTACAAACCCATCGGTGGGTCGTATTGTCGTGAATGTGTTAAGGCACGCTGTTCCGACTTTGAGCTACATGTGCTTCTTGCCATCAGAATCACACTGTCTGCGTATCAGCTGCCCATAGCTGATGAAGTATGGAGTCTTTGACTATCACATCCATGACAGTTGTGAAGAGGAGAGTCGCGGTACAGATCTTTAGTTGCTGAGGAGGTTTATTTGGTTCTGATCGCCCTTCTGCTATCTATATAGTGCATTCCTCATCTTCATCCACTCCACGTTTACTGGCAACATGTCTTTTCGCAGTGTCCACCATACGATTTTAGGTGGCACCTTCAACGCCTTCTCCATGTCGATGCTAGCCATGAAACTACAGCCTGTCCGGACCCCTTCCAGACCTGTTGGATGTTGTCTATACTTGTCGTCTTGTCTCCTTGGTGACAATCGGCCTTTGCCCATGTACGGTTCAGCTACATTGGAAGACTATTTGTGGCTAAGTTGTGCTAACGCATGCCATCCTGCGCCTACTCCTTCTGACTTCTCTGGTTTCGGCAACATTCTCTCGTTTAAGTCTTCTTTGATGCTGCAGAAGTGTTTAGGTCTTCTGCAGCATTTGCTCTTCGTCTCGCTATCCGGCGATTTCCTTTGCCTTAGCTACTATGCAGTTTGTTGTATAATACCTTCATCACATATGCTTCTTTTACCCCTAACGCTCTGCTTCATGGCATGCTCCGCTTCCAGATAATTCTGATAAGCATCCCCTATTCTTGACTTTTACCATATTCTATTCGACTTACTGCTTCGTTCCTCCAGCAATTTTGTCGAACCCTGTGTATCATGTGCAGAAACCCTCCGACTATCTGACTGCTTTCTGCTATTCAAGATATCGTATCCCGATCTTTTTTAGCCTTTGGGTAGCCATTGCCGCCTAGCGGCAATGTGATCCGGAGTACGTCTACGCAGGAGTACGTGACGAAGTGACTGTTGTTCTTGAGCAAGTACCTGTTTGCTAACACATTGTAAGCATTGTAATTGTAAGCAGTATCTCTGCGTCATCCAAATGTTCACTCAAATGTGTACAAGTGAGGTGATAATTCTATATATAAAAAACAGAAAACTGTGTTTGTTTCTCTGTGCACATCCCATAGTGTCATGAAGGATGAGCGGTGAAGCTCATTTTGATGTGCCGGTCATCAAGATATGATTAAAACGATAGGAACCTAACCCAAGGGAGTCGAAATCAAGAGAAGATTAAATTTCGCTACATGAGAGATCAAGTACGATGGACTGGCTCAAGAACGGGGTGGAACCCGGGATGACAGCTTGTGTTCTAACAAGCTTCATTTTTTTTCTAAAAACGTACATTAGCTAAAGATTGGAATGGAAACAAGATCAGCTTACCAAAGACCTATCCTCAACATTGACAACTTTGAAGACTGCTCCGAATCCTCCTTCGCCCAATTTCTGTACTATTTTCCACTCTTTCGCAACTATGCTGCCTTTTCTCAATCTGTTATCTTGCCCGAAGACTGAAAATAGCAGGTAACTTATAGATCTAATAAATTCTCACGGATTTTGCAAACCCCTTGGGACATTTTTGTTCGATTGAATCACTACAAACGTTGTACAGAAAATTGGAATTTCCATTCTCTATTACCAGGGCCCGGCACGCGTTGGTTTGAAGCGTTTCTGGAAACGAAGTCCCCCATGACTTCGCGAAAATTTACGAAGTCCCTCTTGACGTAAAAATCAGTAGGGAAACCCTTAATTAGTCAAAATAACATTAAAAAAGCGAAAAAAGCGCATTTTGAGGTAACTAATACAACAAAAAAAGCAAAAAGAAAACATTTCGAGTTGATTAAAGGCTCTGTCATTGAGTAGTGTACCATTTTAGCGCTCAGAATGTCGAGAACCTCCTAGGCCAACCAAATCTGTGGCCTCAACTATCTGGCAGTGCATTTTTCGCCACATAGTTCAAAGGACACCGCGTGTGATTGGAGCGCAATATTTATCAAAGCGTATAGATTTGCACTACTTTTGGCTCAAAAGAAGAGGAGAGGCAATAGTTTGATTCGCTCTCTTCACTATATAATAGATTTTTGTGCGTTTTAATCGTCCAAATCAAAAAGGTCCAAAACTTATGTGAACTCTCCGAAATTTATGCTCCGAACCAACCCAGTTGGTTCGGTGGTTGGTCTAGAAACCAACAAATCCGGAACGGATATTCAGACACATAAGTTTTGAGAACTTTTTACATAACATAGTTTGGAGTAATATTGTATACTCATAGCCCAAATTCGGAGCCATGTGATTGTTTGTGCGCTGTAAACAAGCCATTTGTTTGTTTGAGTCTTGCATTTGAAATTCGAGCGCTTGCGAAAGAACACGTTCAACTCGTGAAACCTGACATGTTCGTCGTGTTTTTTGGCGCTTCCTCCAGGACCTCATAAAAACGATGTCCCCGTTGCTTCTAACTCCAAAAACGAAGTCCAGTTTGACCCCAAACCATCGGTGCCGGGCCCTGTCTATTACTCAAAGGTTTATATCAGGGCCATCTGCAATGTTGTCTATACCTGTGCTTTTTGTGGGTTTTATAGCTCAGATATTTTCATTTTTTTCAACAAAAAGGGGGAGATTATAATAGTTGGTGAGGGGCGGACGTAAGTAAGACAGGAGGCACGATCGGCGCAGGTTTTTCGCGAATTCGTGGCGCAACGCGACGCCAAGCAGTACGAAAGCCAGACTCCCGGCGCAATGTTACTTACTTATGACATCGAGTCATTTATCTGACCCCATCCTCACCCTTTTTTTGACCACGGATATTTCTCAGTGGAGGGTTTTGTGGGGCACAAAATTCGAGCGCGGCATGCTCGGAAAGCGCTCATCGTGCGCGGTGTGCCTCCTGACGTGGAGAGCCTAGCGCAGTTAGGCAGCATCTTACCGAATCAAGGTGGTGCTAGTGTTCACCTACTCTGTTGAAGGCTCTTTAAATGGTCTTGTTTAAATCCGACTCGATTCATCTCCCTCTATCCCAAAAGATTGAGGGGGATAAATCGAGTCGGATTTAAACAAACCTCTAAAGAGCCTCCAGGCTCAAAGTAGCTCGCAGGGAGCGACTGGCCGCTGTCAACTCGCCGGTTTCTCCTTTTTGTTTCAACACGTTGAGTTTTGCGCAAATTTAAAAGCCATTTAGGGTTAAAGGAGATGGAGAGATTCATAATTGCAAAAGTTCCAACATCCCAACCTTGTTGAGACTCTGACTTTGGCCTCGGGCGTAGTTTACGAGATTTCATCGCCTCGTGATTCTCCCAACAAGACAACTGTTACGTCCATTGCATGCCGATCCTTCTGCATTTCAGTTCAATCGTGACTGACTATAACAACCGAAATGCAAGATGATCGGTATGCAATGGATTCGTAACTGTTGTCTTGTCGGGAAAATCTCGCGGTGAGGTAATCGCGTGAACTATGCCCACCCTTGGGTAAGTAATGCAGAGATGAGAAGCTAAATAGTGTAGTAGCACACCTTTAACACATTGACGACCGCTTGACACACATGATGTGTCAAGACTTGAATTTTATTAGAATGACTATTATCATGACTTATAATAACGGGCTAAGGGTGTTTACGTGTTCTTGTGTGGGTGTCTGTCTGTCAGTAACGAAATTCACAGAACGAGTCGCAGACAAGGTTTCAAGCCGCAATTTTTTGCACAACACGCACTGCCTAGATTCACCATGCCAAAGCACGAGCAGATCCATTGAGTAGGTCCCTCAAAAAACGCAGCACAAACGGAGCCACTTAAGGCCTGGCGCGCAATATCGGGTCCTTATCACCACTTATTGCAAAGTCGTGATTTTGTTTGGCACGTAAATGTGCAAACCATTATCTTTCGCCCAAAAAAATGATAGAAGTCTATTGCTCCACGAAAAAGGCGCCAAAACGAATTATTTGCGTAAATGTCAATTTGCCAAGTTTTTACCTGAGCATTTGAGAAGATTTTTGCACATGGATGTAGCTGGTCGTAGATATTATCCTTATGGCGACTACCAAGTCATGAAAAAACTCAAAAGTATAATATTTCTGCTTTTGTTCTTCATCGTTCAAAGTTTCATCCACGCAAAATACCGATCTCACATGAAAAAGCTTAAGGAATGAGTAGTTGTTTACGAATCATTCGTGAAGGCGGGCATTGCGCGGTAGGTTTCAATGCCATGTTATGCAGGAATGAGTGTGGCATAAGATAGAAGAGCCAGTGCGAGCCTCTGCGAAGCAGAAGTGACGCACTGGTTCTGGAATAAACTCACTCCATGAGCTTTCTTTCGCATTGAATCTAGGGATGACCTCTACCTACCTTTTTCGTCAGCCTTTCGGAACTACTGTAGGTGTACTGTAGATGGTAGCATGCGTAGTTGTAGTTGAAAAATGTGGGCTGGTCCGTAAAAGGCCTTGATCCCAGAAGGCAGACAACTAAGAATCTGCATGGTCGTCAACGTGTTAATCTCCGCCTCAAATTCGCCAAATTTGAGATTGCCAGCTGCTACTACTCATCGCCCGTAACATTGTTGGCGAAGGAGATCACTTAGCGCTTATTAGCAACTGTGCTTTACATAGTTACTGATCGATGTCAAGGCGCTTGCTCAATCGATAAGCATCCAACGTGTAGTCGCCAAAACTAGCAATATCCAGCCGCTGCTGCTGCAGTCGCCGGTCACCATGTTGGCCACTCTATCCGTTGGATGCGTACTGATGGCACATGTGGTACCCTTTAATTTAACGGGATTGGCGGCTGGAAGGCGACAGCTCGCGACCGCGACGCAAACTGCGTCTCTCCCGCCGCTGTGCTTTCTTCATTCTCTAGCCTTGATTAGGCCTCAAAGCTTCCCCTTCCAGCCGCCAATCTTGTTGAATCAAAGGGTGATTTATCAGCGATCATTGCGCACGGAAGGGACACTGTAAATCTTTAGATCTTAGGCAGGGCAGATGGCAAGAAGACGTAGGCATCAAAAACTGAAGTGGATGCACAGCAACCCACATTTCATATGATGCAACCTTCCTCCGCATTCACTGAACCTAAATGAGAAGTGGGCACCCCTACAAGCTCTTACCAGCTTAGTAGTGCTGTTTACATCAATACAATAGTACCGTCTTCCATTTGCTTACCATTCATATCTCGGTGGAAGCATGAAAAGAGAAGGAGATGGCTCCAGAAGCAATCAAAACCAGAATGGCGCGCTTCATAGGCAGAAGCCGAACTTCCGCGAGCTCGCTATCAGACAAGCGTTTCTTTTCTTCTACCAAGCAACTTCCAAATTTCGAGTCTTTGCCTGCTAGTTGTAAAACAATGGTCACATTTTTTTGCAAGGAAAAGTGACCGTTTCTGGTTTTTATTTCGTTTTTCCCATTTACGTAAATCCTGCGCCCATGTCAAGGAAACACAACATGAGCAGAGCGGTCCAGCAAGATTGGCAGTCAGGCCGGAATGCGATCAAAGCAAAATCAATACGACTGCATTATTTAACGACTGCAAGGGCAGGCTTTCGAACGCAAATCATTACAAGCGTAGGAGGAATACAGAAATGTCTTTTGTCTAAGAAAAATGGTTATTGTGGTTGTAACCATCTGGATTCAAACTGCGATAGCTCATTGTCAGAATCGCTAGCCGTGCCCACAATGCTATGTACCTGGTTTCTTATGTGGAACGTAATTGGGAGCCTTATTTAGGCCACCCAAACCGCACTTCATATGATTCAGTGACCGGGATATTTGTCTTGAAATATTCTAGACACTTTTCACCGAACGCGGGTTTGCTTTGGCTCGCTTAGTAATATTACGATCTGGGCGAGAGTTCAGACTGAATTTCTCGCAATTTGAGCTTGGGCATTAGCTTATGTTAGTTTGTCTCAATGACATCCACAGTGCATCAACTTGCCAGCAGAGTACGCTGATATTTGCAAGGTCTTGAATAAGCGCCTCAATAGTTCCTTTCCGTAGAAAGTCTAGCGTTTGCTATCCTGAGCTAGGAACAACAATTTCTCTGCGACGCATAGGAGCCTCTACAAATAAGGTGCGATTGTTGACGAGCGGAATTCTAGAGTTTCGTGTTGTAACTATTGGCCCCATTTTGCGTTAACGTGACCGTAGGGGTGCTGACAGATCTTCCTCAAATGTCTTACAAGATTACGATCCCACCCACTTGAATATTGGAAGTGACTGAGCTAAGCATAGGATCTTGTTATGTATCATGCTCTTGTGTGCGCAAAAACCGCAGTCAAATCGGTCGTCACGATTTTATAAATGAACTAGCTGGCTTACCCGGCTCCGCCGTATCCGGACCAAACTTGGCACACATACACTTCGGGCCCCGGCGGGTGTCACAGTCCACTTTTCGTTATCGATCGATGTCGATTTTACCGATTTTTATCGATTTTTTTGCAGAATTCACCTACAGGGCTAGGAGTTGGCACAGGGGGGGAAGTGAGCATGGGGATTCCGAATACAATATTGGTTTTCAGGATTATCGATTACTTTTATCGATTTTATCGATTTTTTGAAAATTCGAGCTAGGGGGCTGGAATTTGGCACAGGGGTGTAATAGCATGCTGATCACTCCCCTTGGGGATGATCAGCATGCTCGATTACCCCCCTGTGCCAACTCCCAACCCCCTAGCTCAAACTTTGCAAAAAAATCGATAAAATCGATAAAAGTAATCGATAATCCCGAAAACCAATATTGTATTCGGAATCCCCATGCTCGATTACCCCCCTATGCGAAGTCCCAGCCCCGTAGCTCAAACTTTGCAAAAAAATCGATAAAATCGATAAAAGTAATCGATAATCCTGAAAACCAATATTGTATTCGGAATCCCCATGCTCGATTACCCCCCTGTGCCAACTCCCAGCCCCGTAGCTCAAACTTTGCAAAAAAATCAATAAAATCGATAAAAGTAATCGATAATCCTGAAAACCAATATTGTATTCGGAATCCCCATGCTCGATTACCCCCCTGTGCCAACTCCCAGCCCCGTAGGTGAACTCAGCAAAAAAATCGATAAAAATCGATAAAATCGATATCGATCGATGACGAAGAGTAGCCTATGACACCCGCCGGGGCCCGTAGTGTATGTGTGCCAAGTTTGGTCCGAATCGGTTCAGAAATGGAATTTTCTATTCGGAACATACGTACAGACAGACAGACAGACATACATACATACATACATACAAACAGACATTCAGCTTTATATATAAGACTATACTTATTTCTTATTGACCTGGAAAGCAAAACCAGCACCACTACCATGTATCCACAAAGTGCTTTAACAAATTTAATTTCAAGTTTTCTCGTTAGATGAAAACAGTTGTTGCAAAACTCGGGTATCATTTGAAACACCTTTTTTTTTCTCTTTCATTCGGCATATAACTTACTGTCACCCCATGAGTACTGATTATAAAATGACCGATTTGAAAGAAGATATCCTTTGACTACGCCAAGAACAGAAACGAGGCAACATTGCTTGTGATGCGAATGCTTCAATACAGCTCTTATTCAATTATGCATTTTATTGATATACATTTTCTGAAAGCGAAGAACAACGCGGTGCTGACATTCGCATTGTTCTAGCTGGTCATCTGCCGAAGTCAAGGGGGTTTTTTGGAACTCCGTAGCTAAGAAATCATCTGCACCCCCCTTCACCAACTACTTTAGACAGTGGAACCCACACCCATATATTCTTTCAAAGCAGAGGATGAGATGGTTCCGATGAGCCTTTTATCGCTCTCGCTAAATGTTAGAAATTTTCAGATTTGATCTTAATCAAATTTCAACGTAGTTTATGGAAACATGGTATCATACACTCTTCTGCCCTTTTCACTGCATAACATATCATCCGACTTTGAGGCACTACCTTTTCAGATCACCTTTCTAAAAGTGTTTCCGTGCTGAATGGTAGGCAGAATCGCAGGGCAATGACCTCGACGCGACGTGAAAAATTTGTGATTGGCATTCCTATCCAGATCGTTTATTTTGTGCAAATTTTCTCAGTATTCTTCAAATCTCATTAAAGGGTAACATTAGTATAAGACTAAAGCCAAATTTTTCCTGCAAGATTCTTGACTCTGGGACCATCATTTCGATACCACTTCCTGTCTCATGCTTCTAAGTTTGGCAATCTCGTGTTGACGTTCAAGCATGTGCTTTGGAAATGCGGTAACACAACAAAGGCAAACGCAGCGTTACACTCTTGGACAGGATTCGTTTGCCTTTACAAGCAGTGAACTGGCCGCCCCCATTGCCTCTGACGAATCATGCCCAACATGTTCCTCTTCTTTTTCTTTATTCCAGGTAATGGGTAATGTTTCAAAAGTTTTTGTGTCGTCATTTCTTTCATATAGTACTCCAAAAATACAATAGGGAGTACTGTAAGAATAGGTTCCTCTTATACAGAATTATCTATACAGCCCTCCTCCTCCTTTTATTAGGTCGTAACATAAGTCTTGCTGACTTGATACCAAAAAAATCTCATAACCTTCTCATTTCCTTATCTCCGAATCGAGAATCGAGTGGAGGTGTAACTTTCCGGTATAAGCATGTCATACGTAAAAAATCCAATTTTTGAATTTTTTAAACTTTTCTGAATTAATTTTGGCAAATTTTCAACTTGCGTCAATGAAGAGTCTTCCAAACTGCCTTCAAAATGTTACTAACGTCCCCGGATATTCACAAAAAAAAAATTCGAAACCCTCAATGTAAAAAAAAGGTTTTTTTGAGGAGAAAGAAAAAGATAGAAATTTGAGTGCCGTCACAAAATTGCCTTTATATTTCTGTAATCCGTATCTGTAAACGCAGAAATTACGCCAATAGATATTCCTCTATCTGTTGTGCATATGTGCCAAATGTTGGACCTTGTTAGAGTTGTTTTAAAGTTTTCTAGAAGAAAATGTAAAAAGTGCCACAACACTTATGTTACAACCTCATATGACCGCCTTCGTTAAAATTTTCTAGAAAAAAATCATTTTCCCATGCGATTATGTCAAGACGAAAAAAGTTTTCATGCATTTTGAACTAATCCCTCCTTTGTCAAAACCTTTAAAATTCTTATGGCTAAACATATATCGAAGCTCTCCACCTTTGTTTTTTTTACAAGCAATTTTGATATTCTATTTTTATAAACACTATTGAGGCTTATTTGGCGTTTCATTTTCGCTGTAATTCTAACGGTATTTTTTGAGTTATCCCCTCATCAAATAATTCTTATGCATTGGAAGAAAAAGCTTCAAAATTACTTTACTCATGTGCGAAGAGCAGCATTTTCAGTGGCAGCAGCACAAATAAATCTTGGTCAGTTCTCCTTAAATCCTTCCCCTGAAGGTGGATTCAATCTTGGCTTAAGCCAAGGTGGGAACATTCTCGGATTTGGTGGCCATCGTGCTCTGGGTGTTTCTGGAAATCCAGCTGGAGTTGGAGTGAGCGGTAAGTGCACTATTTTAACCTTGAATAATGCAAAAATTGCGTTGACCTCTACAGGAACCGACAATGTGATCATTGCCAACGAAAGGATCGGCGTTGATTCCGGTCTCGGCGTGAGACAAGGTCGAGGGATTGACCTGGGTAGTATGCTTCAGTTCGGGAATAATCCGAGTCCAATGCAACCAGGAGGTCCATTGGGAGGCTTGTTGGCCAATGTGAAGAACTTCTTTGACAGTTTGAGTGAGTTTCAATGCGAAAAATTCTAAGAATTTGTTTTCCAAGTTAGCAATTTGTCCCTTCCCTTCCCCTCCACGCCTTTACTATGGGTGAATATGCAAAATTTCAAATATGGCCTTGAAAAGCCGTGGGCTTCTCCAAGATCATCCTTGCATAATCTCTTGTTTACCTTGTTTAGTTCCACAGCCTGTTTTCCAACCTCCAATGCCTCCACCCCGACGCCGACCAAGGCCAAGACCAGCAACAAGACCTCGACGGCCACCTCCTCCTCCACCTGAAGAAGATTACTGGGAGGGACCAGAGAATGCCGTCCCACGGGGACCGCCTGGTATCCCACAGCCGGGACAGGGATCTTGGCCGAGATCAGCCGCACCACTACCTGAGCACCCAATATGGCAAATTCCTTCACAAGGACAAAGTCAAGTGAGACAGATAGAGTAAGTAAGTCGATTACAAGTGATGAAGTTCTTATTTAGGGAATGACTTCGCCCCAAGGACCTACACCGATTTCTCGAAACCAGAGGATATCAACAGAAGGAGGGGTGGGACCAGGTAAATCAGATCATCCCAGTCATTTAATTCTAGCTCAAAAGACCGGTCAGTTCTCCATCCCAAACACTGTATAAGCAATTTGTATTTTTGAAAAAGAGGTCCTCTCAACGGATTCTTTTATATCTTACTCCTTTGCTTGCTACATAGCCCCTTTCCTTTTAAATTTGAAAAAAAAATGGTTTACGTAGCGCATATTCGGAACGCTAAAATCTGCAAAGGCTGAACTAATTTCCTCTAAATGTCACTTTCTTAATGAATCTGAATGTCAGTTAAATTTTTGATAGAGTTTTTACATGCCAAGAAATACAGTTGTTGAAGAAAATTGAGACGAAGCTTCGCCTCACCCATCAAAATTGTTCAAGAACTTCAAAAACTCATAATAAATTTATAATGATTGATGTACCATTTAAATAATCCTACTTTATCAGAATTTTTTGGAGAAACGAAAATTTTCAAGAGTTTTTGAAGCAAAAACAAACTGGGGCTCAGGGTTTCTACAATGCCAGGGGAATTTAAAATCAAATAGCTTTTCTAATTATGTAAAAATTAAAAAAAAACAAGTCAGCTGGACAATTTTGTGACCCGTGCAGACCATAATCAAAAAACACTTCTACCGCATCCGTTTCGAACGGATATGAACTTCCCCAAACAACACCTGAATTTTGAAATTTTTTAGAGTGGTTATGAAATAATCTTGGTACTTGCGGCGTTTGTGTAATGTTCTTTGTAAGTCATGGACTATTCAAAACTGACTTCCGCGCCCAAATATGGCAGTCTTACATTCTTGCTCACAAAAAACCATAAAGTGCAGAAGACAATTTTTGCTATTGCTCGCTAGTTGAAAGAAGCGTGTAGTCCCCTACCAAAGCACGCCTAGGTGTCCACTTTATAAAACGAAGTTTGAGAAGTAAAAAAGGAGTGTTGCAATTGTTAGCCATATTCAACATAAATATACTCTCTCCAAACAAGTCATTTGCACATTTTTATAACCCATGTATTAAGTTCCAAAAATTTCGCAACCCACTCTCGGGGGGGGGGGCAACATGTTGTATCTTATATATAAAGCTGAATATCTGTTTGTATGTATGTCTGTATGTCTGTCTGTACGTATGTATGTCTGTATGTCTGTCTGTACGTATGTTCCGAATAGAAAATTCCATTTCTGAACCGATCGGGACCAAACTTAGCACACATACACTTCGGGCCCCGGCGGGTGTCATAGGCTACTTTTCGTCATCGATCCATATCGATTTTATCGATTTTTTGCAAAATTTTTGAGCTACGGGGCTGGGAGTTGGCACAGGGGGGTAATCGAGCATGCTGATCACCCCCGTGGGGGTGATCAGCATGCTCGATTACACCCCCCCCCCCTGCCAAATTCCAGCCCCCTAGCTCAAATTTTGCAAAAAATCGATAAAATCGACACCGACCGATAACGAAAAGTGGACTGTGACACCCGCCGGGGCCCGAAGTGTATGTGTGCCAAGTTTGGTCCCGATCGGTTAAGAAATGGAACTTTCTATTCGGAACATACGGCGGAGCCGGGTAAGCCAGCTAGTTTGCGATAAAACAGACGTGAAGCGCTAGTGTTTGACTAAAAGCAGCTTCCTTGTTTGCCCAACTGATCCAATCTCACTGACATTTCGAATCTACTGTACTCCTGCACTGCAATTTGCAACCGAACTCTTCTGGTGCTTTGTTTGTTCACATTCAACGCTGAAAAAGCAGATTGTCATGTCAGATGCGAGCTTTACATCAGTCTTAACTAGCGTTTACAATTCTCACAGTTCACATTTGTCTCTTGCATTCAGAGCTTTCTTTTCGCACTTTCCCTTTGTTCACGGCAGCGGTGTTCATTTCGGCGAACAGCCTTTATCAACGTCCAGTCATGCAGGCAACATTTCACCTGTCACCTTGCGCAATTTTCTTCTCAATCACGTTTTGTAATGACGTCTGCGATCGTGAAGTGTTGTTACTGAATGACTCAGTGTTTTCGTTGTTGTTTTCGTTTCACATGGAAACGCAGGTTTAGAACCAGTTCGTATTAGCAAATATGATACAAGATGCTTGAAGCGTTGGCTGCCTTTTTCATATATCGTTCGATTCGTTGGTCGCATGGATCACACGTCACTGCAGAGCACGCGCCGCGAGGTAAACGCTTGCCACAGTATAAGTTAGCCATTGAACAAGTCTTGCTCTTGCGAGAACTCAGCCGCGCCGCGCGTGGTCCGGAACGTTTGAGCAGTCCATGCGGTCGACGAATCGATGGAACAGACATGGACAACGACACAAAATAGTGCAAGGCGGTTTCCGATCTATGAACTCATTTCAGCTGTGTGTCCCCATACCCCAAAACGCTCGAATCACTTGCGCTAAACAAAAAAAAAATGAAAATTCAGTATAGTACATAAAGGCACCGTCCAATCAAACTGAGGATAGTGAGCTAGATAACAAAGAAGCACCTAATTACGTAACCAAAGCGAGAAAATCGCTCCAGAAGGAAAAAGCAGGCTGGGTAGCCCGCCCCGCCCATCAACGTTGTTTGAAGTCAACGAGTCCGAAAGTGGGCCTCAGGGTAGGTAGAAGTGTCGAAAATCTGGTAACAATTTAGGATCAGTTTACTGCAATTTCGGGTACACTGAAATCCACTATTGCACTTTATCTTCAATCCACCCACGTTAATGCGTGCCTGGAGAGCCTTGCCCTTCTATGTACCATCTGAAGCAATTTTCTCGTTCCAAAATTCATCTTTGGCAGCGGGGTAAAAGATGATGTTTAAGATGTTTACTTAGATAGGGGCTTTCCTATTAAACATCTGCAAAATCTCACTATCTTCAGTTCGAATGGACCACGCTTATAAGCAAAGTCTGATCAAACATAGAACAATGGTAGGGAACGCTGATGGCGAACTTTTCAAATAATCCCCAACTTCTTTTTTGTGCAAAATTTGGACTCTTTCTTGGGATAGGTACTTTCTGTCTACAATCTCAACAGCTTGGCTGGATATGCTTATTTACGTCCTTGTCTTCCACTGTTTGCTGTTTCGGACCACGTCATTTTCTCGAACAACCCATCGCATAATTCTAAAATGGAAGATTCAGATTGCGCTTACAATCAGAACCATGCCTAGGAGAATTGTCAATAAACCATTAACAGTAGGAGCAATTACCACTTTGATAGCTCTCATATAACAGACTTAGAAAAACATTCAGAACCAGAACGACGAATTTCCGTGCAAGATCTTGCTCTGGGATTGTGTAAATGCTAATTTCATCCTGACATGGATTTCGTGGATTGAAATGTAGATAAAAGCCTTCTCTTCATCGTGAAAGTCGATGAGTTCGCGGCCATTGCTCGCGCATTGAGCTTTCTCAGTTTTCTTCAAACGCTTTTCTTTGCTACCGGATGTTAGCTTTTGATTATCTGGAGCGATGTTGAAATATACAGGGTTGTTCTATGGTTTGAGGCCTCGTGGCATTCTGCGTTGCAGGGGCCGTACGCTCACCGACCTTCACGATCGAGCAAAGCCCTGTAGATTTCCTAGAAATTAACGAAGTGATAAAAAGAGTAAATGCCGGCTATTAAAACTATCTATTTATTTCGGCATTAGTTTGAAAATAATTTATAGGCGATTCACAGCACGCAAAGACTGCGGACGTATCGGCGTCTCTCTGATCTAGTGCTCTTTCGTTTCTCTTAGCATCTGCCGTCTCCTCCATACATAAACTATAGTTCATTTATAAAATCGTGACGACGGATTCTACTGCGGACTTTGCGCCCACAGGATCATAAAACGCTCATATAAGAAGGCATCACCTCAACATTCAGCTTACAAGTTGTTAGTCACTTCCAGTGTTCAAATATTATCATACGCAAGCAAAAAAACTATTCCACTGGAGATGAAAATCAAGAAAATGCGATTTCCGGAGGTGGCGTTCGTGTCGCGCGCGGTCGCATCATCGTCACGACTTTTCAAATGCCTCATATATTGGTGGGACGCAACGGTGCCCAGTCTCTGCTTGTCTCGAATCGACGATAATACATATTGTGCGCCACTTCAGCTTCCAAACAGAAAAGGTAAAAAAACAGCAAAACAATGAAGTCAAAATTTCAATTCAAAAAGACGAATAATTGGGCTCATAACAATAGTCTACCCCAGATCTGAAAGGATGTCTGTACCGTGCCCTTGCAAGCTGAGCTTTATTTACCCAAACAAACAGTTTGATTTTATATCCTACGATTTTCAGTTTCATGAAACATTACATCTTCCATATAAGATTGAACGTTTCAGATGGTTTCTTGCCTCGACCATGGGAAACCGAAGAAAGCAGTGGACCTGTCGATGGTAGTGCTACTCCAATGCGACCTACGACTTCTCCAAATAGCGAGTTTCCCACGCTTCTTCCTGAACGTTCAGCAACCCCACCGCTGATCCCTGAAGCCATAGAAGCACCAGATGCACTCGAAACAAAAGGTAGCGCACACTACCTGAAGGACGAAGGCGCAGAACCAGCATTAGTTGAGCGGTTGCAACGCGATGCGCGCGTATGCAGTACCTTCACCGTTGTAAATCCTGCACCTCATGCGCTCTGCGGCTAATAAAGGCGCTTTCGCCCACAAAGATGTTGCGCCTTCATCATGCAGCAGCCCACAACTACCTGAACATTTCTATTATTTTGAGACCTTCAAAAACCTCCTTCTGTGTTTTCTTAGTGCTCCTAAACAACCGCAATTTAGATCGACCACGACAACTTCCTGGCATGGTAGAGATGTCTCATCACCCATCATAACGGTAGCAAAATGACGATGTTCTGTGAACAGTGAAGTCTGTACAAATCTTTGTTTGTTAGAACGGGAATGGAGCACATAACGAATACTTTACAAAAGACTGTGAGATTGAACAATAAACTCATATAACAACATTATACCACGACAATCCAGAAATACAGTTTTGATAACAAAAGTCAGAACAACGACAGATCTAATCATGTCTTGCTCATAGATACAGCACAGTAGACAATAAGCACAGTTTAGAAACTGAACTAGAGATCCATTGCTCTCCCCTTCATATAAGATTCCAATTCAGCATCCAGTTCAGCTACGGACTTTTGCGGCCTGCGTTCTCTTCGCCCAGCTCCTCCGCGTCCCACACGTCCTCTTCTTGGCTTATCATCGCCGAGACGGTCCAAAAATGAAGACGAAACAGCACCGGCCGAATTCCTTCTTGAACAACAAAAATAAGCGAGCGGCCATGATAAAAGGAAACGTAAAATGCACCTGAACCTCTTTTGTATTCCGCGGGAACCTTTGAGTGGAAGTTTGCTAAGGCGGCTTTCGATACCATTGGCCACAGCCGTTCCACCATCGACTATCAGCATTTTGATCAGTTTACCTGTAGAACAGAGATATTTAACTGCTGCCAAAACCTATGGGGGTTTTTTCGGTGAATTAGGTTGTCAACCAAAGCCCTGACAATGAGAATCAAGGAAAGAAAGGATTTTGTGTGTAATGTAACTGTCAAAACCCTCAACTAGTAAATGAAATCACAATTACAGCTAAATGGACATACCATCAAGAGAGACTCCTCGGAAATCCTCAAACATCTGAAGGGCGTCCTTTTTCTTCAGGTATACGTCACCAGTGCCAAGAGATATGCCTTCTTCGTTGAAATGGATAGCAGCACTTTCGATGTTATATGGAGCGAAAAGTTCCTGAAATGTGATAGGCTTGATGAGCGAAAGTACTTACGAGCGTGAGAGGTTATTCCTTCGATGCCCATCAGCCTTTACCATCACAGCGGATTAAGGGAAGACGTCAGCCTGCCACAGAAATGCGCCTTGAACCGAAGTTCGCCATCACCGAGCAAGCTGCGATTGATATCCAAAAAACACCGATGTTAAGCTGGCTTAGTATGAGCTTCGCTAGTCCGAGTGGAGCGTTGCGGATGGCCGTCGAAGGAACGGTCGAGGCACCTCTAGGTCTGCTGAGACGACGTTCGGTCCAAGATTGGACAGATTCACGCGCACTTTCTTGTTTGGGTTGCCCGCGGCACTCAATTTACCGATCGCTCCTCGTGCACGGAAAGCCCCAGTATCATCCTGGAACTTGTCGTGCTTCCATTTTCCTGCAGGAGTTCGCTGAAATGAGACCATTGGGATTAGGTTCAACTCAATCAATTTCTTTGCTATACATATCACCAGGGTTTGGTATTCATTATGATTTTCGAGCTCGCAAGACATCGCAGATAGTCAAGATTTATGTAATCGCAGCAGAGACAAGAGCATGAATAAGCATCAGAGATGGAACCTACTTCTCCGTAAAATGCGCTGAGAATGGAGAGAAAAATGTCTACTCTAAGGCCTTGGAGAGAGCTCACGCAATTTCATCCCCTCTCCCAACAAAATAAACAGTTACGAGTCCACTGGATGTCGATCATCTTACATTTCGGTTGTTAGTCACGATTGGTCGTGTTGGAGAACTATCACAACCGAGATACAAGAAGATCGGCATGCAATAGACTCGTAACTGTTTGTCTTGTTGGGAGGCTCGCGGCAATAAAATCGCGTGAACTCCGCCCGCGGCCTAAGAGGACGTTACAGGAAATAAGCTAGTTGTAAAAAACAGTGAATTGCCATCGCTAAAAAACGTTACTCCCTACTCTAGCAGCTATATCTAACAAGGGAAGGATAACTGGTGACCGTGGTTTTTTGGCATATATTATTCAGAATGCCTGCCTTGGAAAGTTGATCTAGAAACGTTATCTGCAGAACGCTATTCTGAGAGAATAAGCGCTCGTAAAAGCGAACGCAAAAATGTTCGCACCAACTGAGATCAAACCGTTCTCCATTGTGCAATGACCGACAGCGCTTACCGCTAAACCATTCGAGAGAGGAACGAATTTTAACAAAGTGCTTGTCGAGTTTACAAAGAGCTCCAAACATGTGATCTCCATTATATAATGGAATGCAGAAAACATAAGACGATTCATCAGAAAGATATTTGAGATTTCTATGCTTTGCTATTGTTCCTACTTGTTATAAAGCATTCGAGAAAACAAACATTTTCCGGAATCTTTGACTTGGACATCGCGCTACTACAATTGTTTTGAAAGGCACACTATCACATTTGAAAAAGTGTCCAATGATGCATAGAATGGCAAGCGAACACAAACTTACATCAGAAAATCTCCCAAAATTCCTGGCTCCACTAGTTTTCACTGCACCAGACGGTTTGTTGACGACATCGCTACGAAAACCACCGACGAGTCTTCCCGATTTCGACTTCTAAAGTGAACGATAGAGCAGCCTATCCCACAGCAGTTTCAAACTCACTTTATTCTTGCTGATAATCTCTTCAAGGGACATGTTGATGGCGGACATTGCGAATCTGTAATGTCACTTTCACAGTGCATTTTGCATAATGACGCAATCACATGTTGAACAAAGACGAAACGCGACAAAAACGGAAACGCACAGCATAGGAATGAGCTTGCGATCAATTGCCCCGCATTTTCGTTCGACGCACGCGCCGCGCCGCGCGGGGCCTTAGCGCGGGAAATTGATTGGATTCAAAAAGTCGAAGTCTCCAAGCAGGGGTGAAAGGGAAGGCGCAATCTCCAGATTTGGTGGCCTTCAAAACTCTTCGATACTAGGGTAATACGGCGCCAAGGTAGGAGGGGAGGGGCGGGAGGGGGGCAGACTCATGACTCAATGCCATAAGTAGAATTCTGTAAAATCTGGAAAGATCGACTTTACACTGTTTGCATTTTGCGCGCATTGTTGCCTTCCGCGTGCCCCCTTCCCTCCGAATGGACTCTCAGCTATACAGAGCCTTTTCAAAAGAACATAATTGGCACTGTTACCATTATTAATGGACTAAATCTTTGAATTTGCGGTCGAGATTCCTGAGTAGGTTTCGCGATGCGTGTTTCAAATGACAGTCAGGCTACCAGAATTATTATTGCACAAAAATTACCTTAGAACTTTTCGTTTACACCTAAAAACTGGCGCTTGGTCCCAGGGATCATTGGGAGACCATACAAAAACCTGGAAAAACCGGCCTACACAGCATTACCTCTGTTTAATTTGTTTATGGTAAGCATGGGGGATGCGTGGGGAGGAGCAGAGCGTGAAATCAAGACCGCAGGACCTTCAGAATAGGAGCTTTGTCTAATAAGAGAAGGGTACTGACATAAGCTGGCGAAAGTAGACGAGATGTATATTGTTAGACCGTCTTTGAATGTCCAAATCTATTTCTTCTTTTGCGGAGCAACTTTCAGAAAGAAGTTATGAGCGTTCGAATGTGCAAATCTGTAAACTTTGAAGGCACCGTCCACCCTAGGCTGAGGTGTTGAGCTTTTGGCAGCATATAACAGTACTCAGACAGTTGGAGTGGGCAGCGCGCGCGCAGCCACACGGTGGCGCAACACCCAGTGCGAGGGTGGCGGGACATTGGATGCCGCGCCGCTGGTGTTGGCCCGCGGATGGCTGCATTTTTTCAGTTTTTCATTGCGCTGTATACCACAGGTCTTGGTAATGAATTCCACGCTTCATACGCCAAAAAATATGAATTCGTATTTGAATCCAAAAATTCAGGTCCTGCATCTTTTTGCAATGCTCCGAAGGCTAACGCTTGGAAGCAAAAAACAACTTCCACTTCTGCGACTATTCATAAACTAAGATGTAATATCTAACCTCTTAAATGATGAGGCAGCCTGACCACTGCGTCGTACACTGTGCGGGTATAGCTTGTGCTTACAGCATGTGATAATTGCAGGCGCGCGGGCCGCACGGGTAGAGTATAAAGACACGCGCGCGGCGTGCTACAAAATTAGGCGCGCGGGTGGCGAGATCGAACATAAACGTAGCGCGCGGGTCGCGGTGTTGGCCATTGATACGCGCGCCGCACGCACCAAATGTCCAGGATGGCACGCGTTTGGCGTAGTTGCGGACACGCCCACAAATAAGGCACGCGCTTTGCCGCATTGACCATAAACGCGCGTGCGCCGCACGCTCCAACTATCTGAGTACGCGCGCCGCACGCACCAAATGTCCAGGATGGCACGCGTTTGGCGTAGTTGCGGACACGCCCACAAATAAGGCACGCGCTTTGCCGCATTGACCATAAACGCGCGTGCGCCGCACGCTCCAACTATCTGAGTAGGGCCTCCTATCAAACCGATGCCCAAGTCGCGGCGCATAATGTCGCTTCGGAAGCAAGAAAATCGCTCGGAATAGCGAAGATGCACGAGGACCCCCATCCAAGCCCGCCCATTTGTGCGCGCTCATCCAATCACCGTTCTGGAAAGCCGGCCTGTAGGTTCTCCGGAGTGGGGATTGTCGGGGTTTTCGCGGATTCTCGACTTCATATTTGGAATCAGGGACATGAGAAGGCCCTGAAACGACAATAACCTGAAAGTCGAGAATCTGGGTGGACGGTGCCTTCAAATGGCCTAAAGTTAGCGGAAAGTTGTACGAAAACATCTGAAAGTCGGTGATGGATTTTGTATCAAGTATAGTGTCTGCAAAGAAAAACAAAACCGGTGGAAATTCGCATAGGTGTTTTTTAGAGCTTTTCGATAATCTTAAACCACTTAATGGTTGACGAGTTACATTCATAGTCTCATATTTCCTTCCGAAAGTTGTTCCGCAAAATAGAAAAGCAGATGTACATAGAATCAGCTTTCAAAGACGCATCTAGTGATGTAGACATCGTCTTTAAAGCCACTTTGTTTTGGTACTCTTCCCTGGTGAGCTTCGCTTCCCCCCCCCCCCCTCCCACCCAGCAGGACCTTCATGCTTGCAGCCTTTAGAGACAAATCAGCAACCCCAAACGCTGCAAACCAGTCGATGCATCATAGCTGCGGTGTCGAGCCCGCAGCTGATGTGAGTGCAGTCAGCCCATAACAGGCAATTGAAGGCAGTGGATCGGCAAAACTTGACAACCCAGGATTTTAACGCAGTAGGTTTCTTATCGTCCAAGTATGAAAACAATGCAATCCCGGTTGCACAGCATGCCTTCCCTGTTGAGAAAATCGCTCTCACATTTACACGCGCAAGTCAGTCTTACATGCACCCGGAAGAGTTGGCAACTTCCTTCTCACCATTGGAGGCTGCCCGCCGCAATGCTTTAATCATTGGGTCCCGCACGATTCAGCGCCATCAGCCTTGCTCCACTCGTCCAGTCTTGAAGGGAAGGGGTTGAAAAACGCTCGTTTTCGCCCTCTAAAGTGGATTTTCGTGATCAGCTTATTGAATAACCCAGGTAAGTTAAAATTTGACTAGGTTGAGATTTGCCGAGCCACTGCCTTCAATGGCTGGGCTAACTCTGGTCACAATTCCATCTACGACATCCAAGACATATTTGAATTAAATGCCAGTGATGAGCTGCTGACACATTGGGCTAGGGAACTTCCTGTTAAAGACAGTACCCAGACAAATTGGAGGTTTTGGGATTTCAGTACCATGCGAAAGTGCCCCCCTCTCAGATACAGCATCGCGCAAGTACGAGGCCATAATGTTGGACCTAAGCAAGAGAAACGATCGGGAAGTGGGAAACTTACGCCTTGGGGAGGATTCTCGGACCTGTCTGAATTCCTGCTATTCGACAGAGTACGCATGCAGCCACAGTCAAAACCTTAGGCACCCGCCATACTTACCCCTCTCAATCCGCTTGATCCGCTTAATCCGCTTGATCCGCTTAATCCGCTTGCTCCGCTTCTTGCAAGACGCGTGCAAAACGCGCGCACACAGCAGTCTGTCATTTGGCGTCACGTACAGCGAATTTGCCTAACCACCGAGATTGCTTTTTACCCTACGCGGCGCCAAATGACAGACTGCTGAGTGCGCGCGTTTTACACGCGTCTTGCAAGAAGCGGAGCAAGCGGATCAAGCGGATTAAGCGGATCAAGAGGATCAAGTATGGCGGGTGCCTTAGGGTCCCACAGTCCCGATTCTGCGTCTCAGCCTTGGCGGCGTTGGATTTCAAATTGTAAGGGCTTGGAAGCAGGGTCAAGCGTGTTGATGCGATTCGAGACCCCCATTTACGACCCCTCCCCGCCCCATCTTTCCCCCCCCCCTCCCATATACTTCCTTACTTACCTCCTCTGCCCACATTCCTCGCGGAAACCTGTTAAACGAATGTCAATCTCAAAAAACATCTGCGTAACATCTGAACTTCAGTGAGGTTTCGGAAGCAGAATTTCTAAGCCAATAGGTGCACCGCATGTGTAGCGCACATACACACCATCAATAGTGTTTGAGATTCTGCAAGTTTTTTTTAAAATTTTCAGGCATACTTCAGGCCAGCAAATTCGGTTCCCGTAGGTGAAACAAATTTTTGCACGGAGAAGAAAATGACATTCTTGAACAACAAAAGATGTTTTCGACTAAGAAGCTTACTTCCTACCTCTTCCACATTTTTCCCGCGAAAAAAACCGCTTGAGCGCCGTCCAGAACGACGTCAAAACATGCATGAGCACGGTAGTTTGAGAATTCGTAACTAAGGCCAGGAAAAGACTGAGAGGCTGTGTCCAGACTATCAATCAACAGAAAAAGTTTCAGCCTTTGAGGAGCAGTGAGCTCGAAAAAATTTAGATGCGATCCTAAAAAGCAAAAACTGGGATTTTTGAGCTTAAAATTTTGCAACTCATCGGAGAAATTATGAAACGGCCTGAAAATTTTAGGATATAAAGTAGGAAGATGGCCTCGTATTACAGCAAAATTGCAGCCAACAAGCTTCAATAGCTCCGGAAAAATCTAGATGCGACCCAGATACGACCCCCCTTTTGTCATTTTTTGCCACCATACATAAATCATAAGAAAATCCGAAGGCCATAAAGTAGGACCAAATTTTGCACAAGTGTAGTAGAGCACCTCTTAAGTACAGATAAATTGTAAGGGCCGTATGAAAAGCATTACAAACAGATTTACAAATTATTGATAATTAGCGTTGATAGAGATATGCGCTTTTGTCGAGCGTGCGAGTCTTCAGTGAGCCTTCGGAAGCAGGATGTCTACACCAATCAGTACATCCAACATCTTTATCACACATACATGTCTTTAATTTGACCCCCTAAAAGTGTTTATTTTTTAATTTTAGTCATGCCAGCAGGGTTCGATCCCCGTTTGCGACAATATTTTGTGGGAGAAATAGTGATTCCCATAAAAAAAATGAACTAAGTCATAATCTTTCAAAAGTGCAGCAAATGAAGCGAATTTCTACGTTTGCAAGTGTTTTCAAACTATTGTTTACGTTTTTATTTGATACATTGGACACGGCATTCCATGAATTTATTGTTAAGAACATGTAATAATTATTTGCCATCCGATTTCCTTCCATGCTTACGGTTATTTAAACCAAACTACCTCCTTCTACGACCCCCCTCCTCACCGTAGGTACCCGCTTACGATCCCCCGTTGCGACAGTCGCATCACACGCTTGACCCTGCTTGGAAGACACATGTTCTCGCCGTTTTCGCGCCTTCTTATGTGGACCTTCGGGTTCGGCGTCGCAGATGACCCTCGGTAATTGATTTCTAAAAATCGAGATTTGCCCAGACACTGCCGTGAACTACGGCGTCCGCAAGGCGCGTTGGCGGTTTCTTACAGAAGAAGTCCGCGAGGATAGGGCTTTTAGTGCTCTAGTTTCTTTATGACTCCGACAAGTGTTTTGTCGCAATTAAGCTACTGGCATGAAGTATCTTGATACCACTCCGTTGTAAGAATGTTCTTCTTGTCAGGTGACAACAGTGAAATTTGAATTTGAAAAACATCTTTTAAACTCATTAAAGAGAGTTTCAATAAATTAATAAATAGGGTTTTTTTGAACTGAAGAGAAGGCAAGGCTCCACGTCTACCACTTGCAAATCAGGCACATTTTCCATTTTCACGGTGAACAGCTCAGCCATGAGCTTGTCTGACAGTTAAAATGCAAGTTTATTGGGAGTTATTCGGTTATGTATCTTTTTGCTATTCTTTAACAATTCACTTTGACTTTATCCATTTTTTTGTCCTTTCCGTTGGCCGCCAGTATCTTCCTCTTCTTCTGAACCGGACTCTGGAAAAAAAACAGAAAAGTCATTTTAGAAATTGCAGTGCGAAGGCTCACGGTACCTGCTACTTTGGACTCAGTGCTAGTACCAGATTTAGAGCTCTTCCCAGTGGTTGTTATATTTGATCTCGGAAATGTGGAAGGAGTTCCGGTGGTCGTAGCTGTCGTCCAAACAGACGATGACTCCGTCATTGTCGACTTTCCAAATGTATCCTAGAATCAGATTAAGTGGAATCTGTTAATCACAATAGATTATTTGTCACATACTCGGACGTTCTTCAAAGTCTCTTTCATTTCCTCGTTAGTTTTTTGCATCTCCTCATAAGTTTTTGTTAGTTTCTCCAGTACTTCCAAGGTCAGCCCTTGCATCTCTGGAACTTCATCGCTTCATGGGAGACACTCAAACACATTTGCGAAACCCACGATGCACTTCGTCAAACATCTTATTGCCTACTTGTGACTCCCATCCTTTCTCATCACTTCTGTAAGGGATAAAACTCCTCATATGAAAATAATTTTGACGAATTTTCATGCTCTGACCTCTGCCTAACCGATGACGCTTCTAAGGTTTGATTGCTGTCAGGTTGCAGACCTTTCCTGAATGAGTTCTTATTAAGAACAAAGGTTATAGGTTGAAGTAGTATAGATGAGTCATCGCACGTAGAAACTGGACGCAGTTGCGTCTGTCAAGGCAGTGAGTGTTTGGAAGAGATAGCAGGCGGTAAGAGAGGTGGAAGCGCGGTAAAACCGAGAGACGCCGACATCGACCGTAGTGGCGCATGTTTCTGCGTGCATTGACTGGCTTATAATAGCTGATTTTGTCTGCAATTTCGGCCATCTTGTATTTTGCAATGCGAGAACTGCGCAATTGAAAACTTTGAATTTTCTCTACCAAATCATTCCAAACTCAAGATCTGATCATTTATGGTCCTGGTTAAGAAATGAAGCAATAAAATACGCAATTCCCAATCTCGCAGAAGCGAAGCTTTCCAACAGCAACGCCAAAGTACATCAATCAAGAAACCCGAGATCATGAAGAGAAGACCATGAACAATGAAGCTAAATTAGACGAATATACATACGCTACTGCTTCTTGTCGATGCAAGCGATGTTTGCAGATGGCATCTTTCCATTGATCCAGTGTGAATTCCAACGGTGTCAAAGTATGAGTCTCGTTCGCACTCTGAAACATAATACCAAACCACCTCAGTTGCTTCCCGCAGATTCCTGACACAAGTCAGTCAAATGTCCTTACTTTGAAGTGTAATATAATGCGTTTCTCGTCATACATGACGGCGACCTAAATTGCTCGGTTAACTTGATATTTAAAACCTGCAAAGCGACAATCCTTTCCGCTACTCTGTTTGAAAAATGTGGAGATACGATGAAATTAAGAATTTAGAGTATTCCAGTTTGCTCGAACTCAATGAGTCCGATACCTTCTGCTTTTGAAAATTCCGAGGTCTCGACCATGACTCAGCAGATTATGACTCAGTTACCGTAGCGCGAACAAGGTTACCGTACTAGTCTACAATACCACTATCACTTTCATTCCAAATAAAGGTGAAGCTTAACTTTAGTCGAAGCGCAAAGGGGCATTCAATACGGTTAAATCTCAAGATACTGTACTACAAAAGGTTGCTGGCAGCCTCATGGTTTTCAAAGTTACGCGAGTAAGCTCTTTTGATCGCAAACTAAGGGTCTCCTAACCTATTAGTGAACGCAGGATTTCTTGAATCCCACAGTTGCTTGAATGGAGAAGGACATCTCACAACAAGACGGAGGCAGCAGGCAGCTTCAATGTCAGACCTGCCATCTCTTGCTAGCATTGTATTGAGTGCTTCAATTTCTAACAGCCCCCATTATAGTCTGCCGTATTAAAATGGCGTGGGATGGGCCTGGTCGAACTGCAATGTACAGCCGGCAGGATGTCAAGGGCGTGAAGGAGGATTTGAAAGTCAGTCGGTATATAACAGTTTCTTTTAGCACTCATGATCACTTTAGCGGCACTTCCACCGCTCATAAAAGCAAAAGTTGCAAATGACTGTACTATGGATAATCAATTGACTATAATCAATTGGATAATCAGGTGATGATCGGAGAGCACGCGCGCGGAAGAAACGCCGACTGCGACGCGGGCGCGAGCGGCCTTAATTAGGTCACAAAATTCCGCCTTCCAGCCACCAGGCCAGTTGAATCAAAGCTTACATTACAATGGTATATGCAATCCTTTCCCACTGCGGAGATGTTTTGGGGTACAGCTTCAACATGCTCATCGGAAAGCGGATAGCGGATGGATGATGAGATGCACATCGTTTATGCTTTATCATCAATTGGCTCTAAGCCAGAGAGAAGAAGAAGTATGTTCGTTGGCTGGCCTCAGACGTCGCTAACTATTATGGAGAAGTTGTGAGTACGATGATCGAAGGATAAGTAAATATAAGGGCTTCTAGGTCACTGCAACGCTTTAATTAAATAGTTTATAAATATATACACTGTGAGGCTAGCATCCAATGTCCGATGAGCACCAAGAACAAAATCTACTATTTCGTTTAAGACGAGCCTTTGCAAGATCAACTTGGAACTCTGGATTTGGAGCAATGCCAACTTTCTTCTTAACGAACAATTTAAGAATTCCTTTATCGAGTACAGCGTAAAACTTTCGTGCTATATTGATGACCCGCCGTTTTCTTCGCTTTATGCTAACCATACCCTAAATTAATACTACTTCTGGAGCAACTTCAAAGCTCACGCTACCTCCAGTCGTGTTGGAACTTCCGTACACTTCTCAACGGGCCAATCAGCCATAGAGGTGACCGAAGAACTTTTCAATCGAGTAGCTATTCGCTTCATTCAAGCGCACACAGCTTGCTGGCAAGTAAAACGTGAGAATGAACTTTCTTCCAGTTGCATTGCGTGATTACGTTTTGTCATTGCTCCACTTATCATATTTCTCGAAAATACAGAGAGTGTCAGGATCAAGGGGTAGCTGGACCCTTGCCTGAAGGTGTAGCGGTGTTACGGTGTGTCAAACATAGTGATTATATGTTTATTACTAAAGATACAAAAACTAAACAATAGAGGTAGGGGGAAGGGAAGGTGTGTGTGTGTTTTAGATGGTCTCCAGTCCTCTCTTATATGCAGGTCCGCCTTACAACAATAACAGCGGTTAGGGCGGGGTAAGACATTGCATAATAAGTGATGTGATGTTACTCAATATTACCCAATGTTATGCAATCTGATGAAATGATCTCATGACATCTCCGATCACAGAAAGCTCGTTTTCGAGCGTCTTAACAGACTGGTTGAGATACTGATGGTGGTTGTCGTTGAGCGTGTCGTTCAGCTAGCGTTTTGAACATAGTGGAGGTGGGATTAGGTGAGCTGTTGGCGCAGCTACGATCTTTTCCTCTCCTCCGGGTGGTTTAGATAGCTCGTCCTCGAGCAGGAAAAATAATGGCCAGGTTGAAAGAGATTAGTAAAAGTCATTACCGACTCATTAACCGCATACTGCTCCGAAGGACGCGACATGTGGTGTGATTTCCTTCAACCCATCGTGTTCGCATACAACACTAGCCTTAATGACACTACAGGATACAGCCCATACTTCGTCGCTTACGGACGTCACCCTATCACATGGAGTGATATTATTCATCAACTTCCATCTCCTATTTCCTACGCCTCGGACAGCTTCACTGATCAACTCACAACAGCTTTGCAAACTACAATCACAAACGTTGAAAACCAGATCGCAAACAAAACAGCATTATACAAAGCACGGTATGATTTTCAGCATAAGGTGTTCACAAAACAAGTTTCTGTTGGAGACCTCGTACTCTTACACGATGAAAGGATACGCCCCAAATTTACCATTCCATAAAAAGGCCCCTTTCTAGTAACAAAGTTAATCGTCCCAATGTTACCATTCAAAGTTTAATTGGCCCCAAATCTACTCAAACTGTACATATCGATAGACTTAAGATCTATTGTCCCCGCTCTTCATCGGCTAGTGTTTCCGAACCAACCTCAACCACTCCACCACCTCACATAATGGAAACATCAGAAGACGATGAGCAACCTCTTAACCGTCCTACAAGTTTAGAACCTCACAGATAGGATCTTGAAACTGACAGCACAGACTCTGAAGAACTCTAATTGTGGAAAGTTCACTTTTCCACTAACATTTGGTATGTTTCAAACCTTTTTACCATTTTTCCGCGCATCGTTGCTTCAACAATCAAAACTTCTTTGAGCCGACGACCCCAAGAAGTTAAACAAACTTTCTCACTAGTAAGCAGTCCTAACAAACAACTACAATCACCATTAAAGCATAAACTCAGACGATTCACCGGAACTTCCGCAGGACAAGCAGAACTTGCAGCGTTTCCGCAGCACTTTCTTAACCATTGAGAAAGTGCACGCTCCAAAATGCGAGGTTTCCGCAGGAAATTGACGTCACAGCGATCGTAAACCTGAACTTCCGCAGCACTTTCCATAAAGCGCTGCGAAAGTGCAGTGAGGCTCGTAAGGTTTCCGCAGCACTTTGGCCTGCCAGCATTTCCGCAGGATTTTGAGAGCGCATGCACTTGCGATTGTGAAATAGCATCTTTGCCGCAATCAATGGCGTTGGCATCTCTTTCTCTTCTCTTCTTCTGTTTTTTCTCCTGTTTCCTCAATATTCCTCAATATTAACTTATCCTTCTTCTAATTAGTACTCTTGCAGGAAGCGCATCTGAATAATCATCATCAAGCTGCTGGAAACTGGAAAGGACTCAGAGGAGGGGCTTTGTCGAAGCACGACGCTCCCGTACAGGTGTGTCTGTTCCCTTTGCTTTGTTCAAAAGTATTATTTTTAACAAACAATCAAATGATGGAAGCTAAAATAAATAGTGATTTTCGAATAATCCTCGATCAAACAATTTGAAATCTGTAAACAGTAATTTTCGAATAAACTTTGAAAAAATTGGAAAAAATTTGGTAGAAATCAGGTTGATATATGTATGATTGATGCAAGTTTCCTAAAGTTCGTCTCTGATTACAGTAACTTTTTCCTGAAACGCTCTTATTAAACACAATAAAAACTGTTGCAAACAGCAACAGCTCTGGCTAAACAACACATACTCTTGCTTTACTATGACCATTAGAGTAAGATTTCTTAGTTCGAAGACGGCTAAAAAATCCTCTAATTGTAAGAAACCTCCGGTTTTGAGAAGCGTGTACTTTCAGATGCACTGGGTGGCGCTAATTATGTTCGTTGGCAGTGCAGTAAAGTTTGGCTCTTACGAAATTTTTGCGAGGATGGCAGAAATGAAATCGATAGTATCCCTTTTCCCGACATTTTAGAGGGAGCAAATATTTGGCTTTGATATTTTTCAATTTTTCAAAAACAGTAAATAGAGCAAAGGGCAAGAATTATGAGATTTGATCTTTTATCTTCGAGGGCTCTAAACTTCAAGATAAAAAAGGTGTACAGAAGCAGCAGCATCCATAGGCAACTAAAAGATACGCCTTTTGAGATATCATGAAAAGTTTCTAAGAAAATTCTGTTTTGAGAACCAGCGTTTCAAAGAAGACGCATCAATCATGATTCCTAAGATAATATTAGGTCGTTTCAGTGTTCGTCGGTTTTTCAAAAAATCATAACTTCCTTTCTTTTCAATAGAATTTTTCAAAACTATTTCTATTTGAAAGAGGAAACCATGCTGTTACTGCGGCCCTCTTGCATGGATCAGTATGGAAAAACCGAGATTTAGAAGCAATTGAAGAGATTTCATGATTAGCATTTTTCAAGCAGGGTCACGGAAAATTGTGAATATATTTTTATCTGATAGAGGAAATTACATTATAGTGGCACCTTTGCCATCAATCAGTACGAGATGTTCATAAGTTAGAAGCGAGGAAAGAGGATTGACCAGGTTTAGCGATTTTCAAGGCTCAAAAATTCTAAAAACGTCACAGCGAAAACCAGAGTGGCGGTCAAGAATAACGATAGCTCTGCCAGCCGCTAGCTGCCAGCTGCTCGCGCGCGCAGAACGGCCCGTCCTCACTCGTTTATGAAATCGAGAAAAATGATTTAAACCTCACTTCTTTTCATTAAACTCGTTTCACGCCTTAATCATTGAAGCTTACATATGTCAGATACTGAATTGAGCTCAAAACATTTCCATCGGGTATTTATGACGATGTGATTGCTGAATATTTCCATCCTTATAAAATAGCAGAAGCCTTAGCATAAAGCTAACATGAAGAAAAACAACGCTTCGGCATATACAGCTACAAAATGTAGTGCCTGCGTGAGCTCGTCGTGTGCTACCTGTATACCGTTTATTGACACCCGGCCACTCATGGTGCCACTATTGCCCGCTATCGTTATTCTTGACATATACCCCGAAAACCATCATAACTTTTGATAGGGGCATTTGTTCGGCACGAATTTAGTATAACTAGGAAGAGGAGATCACAAGACATATGTTTATGTTAGTTCGGTTTTTTGTGACGTTTTTGGAATTTGGCGAGCTCGCATAAAGCACCAGGGTCTGAGTAATCATCTTCCTGCATTTTTAACTCTGCGACTTTTGCTTAGTAGAACGCATTTAAGTCATATTTGGAACGTAATTCCTCTGATCCAAAAAAAATTTCACAGGCAAATCCAGGCAGATAGTAGGGAATAATGATTTTTCGAAAATTAGTGCGAACGAAATTCTGAAACTACCTAATATATCAAAAAAAAATGAAAGAGGAATAATTGGTCTCGAATCTCCCAAAATGGTCTACAAGTTTTTGGTGAATTATATATTTCAATATTTTTTAAATCCAAGGTGAAGTTGTATTTCTCGTCTCTTTCTGCTACAGAATTGAGGAATTACAATTGGAATCGCAAAATTCAACCATTTCTGTTATTTTTGGAGGGAGTGGCTACACGTCCACGGACCCAAAAAATTTCCTCTTCTTCCCCTCCCCGCCCTCTTCCCGAGATGGGTTTCTCGCACCCCTACTGATTTTCATGTCTCTATACATCTCTTCTCTTTGCTCTCGCTGTTTTTCGATGCTTTTCTCCCTCACATATACCATGTTTTTTCACAATACCTCACACTTCGCAAGATAATGTTTTCCTTCTAATCCAAATATTGTGAAAATAACCTAATGCTAATAATTTGAAATAATTACCGAAATACTTTGAAACTATTACTTTCTGAATAACAATCTTATATATAAAGCTGAATGTCTGTCTGTATGTATGTCTGTATGTCTGTCTGTACGTATGTGCGGAATAGAAATTTTTATTTCTGAACCGATCGGGACCAAACTTGGCACACATATACTTCGGGGCAGGGAGCGTGTCATAGGCTACTTTTCGTTATCGATCGATATCGATTTTATCGATTTTTTGCAAAATTTGAGCTAGGGGGCTGGGATTTTGCACAGGGGGGTAATCGAACATGCTGATCACCCCCGTGGGGGTGATCAGCATGTTCGATTACCCCCCCTGTGCAAAATTCCAGCCCCGGGTGAAATCGACATCGATCGATAACGAAAAGTGGACTATGACATGCTCCCTGCCCCGAAGTGTATGTGTGCAAAGTTTGGCCCCGGGCGGAGCCGGGTTTGCCATCTAGTTTTTTAATAATCCCTGATTATACTAGAAATAATTTGGTAGAGATGTGCCAAAGGGGGGAGGGGATAATGGGTTTGGTCTGGTTTCCTACCTACCCCTTCCCGATTGTTCCAAAACTGTCACTGTTTAAGTTTTGTGACCCACTCTATGAAATTTGACCAATTTGTTTGAGTTAATCGAATGAATGGGTCATACGTAAGCAGAACGGGTCTGACTTATTTGTTTTTATCATTTTTTGACTCTATTTACTTTCTGGATTTCAAATCTATAAATGAAGTACATGGATTAATCGAAAGGTCCGATTACGTCAACTTTTTTCAGTCATTCTCCTTTCACGGAGAAAGAAGCGGAAGTTGGTTTTAGCTGCGCAGACAAAACCAAAATGAAACCCGTCAAAAGAAACGTGCGATTTTTCCACAGGACGCACCATTCCCTCAAAGCACATTTTATTATCTCCCTTGTAAATGAGACTGTTAATTTGTCTTAACTTAATCTATCTCAGTAACTAAGTTCTCGCCATCTAATCTAATTTCACTTGTTTCACTGCATAATTTTGAGTTCCCATTTCACTGCTTTCATTGCCATGTCATCTTTGAAATAATCACTACTTCTATTCCGATACCAAGTTTTTTTTTGCGTCGACCACACTGTTCTATCTGCTATTTTTATTTACATATCGCCTATTGTATCGTTTGGTATTTCTTCCTAATATCTGCCGATTTATCTGCGATTTACCCATGTTCGTCTATGTATATTTGAAATGTTTCCATATTCTATGCATGCATTCATACACTATATACTTCCTTATTCTTCCTTCTTCGACTCTCGATCTTGTTGATCTGTGTCTGGCCTCAACTGCAATAATCAAACTCCCTCTGACTGTCTACTGTTCCCATATAATGCCTTTGCATAGAAAAATAAACTGTGCCATTTATTTTCTAATAAATACCTCGTTGTTGCTGTCCTATTTATCATCGTGATAAGAATTTTTACATTAAGGGAAGGCTCACTTAAAAGTGGAAGTATCACAAAAGCTTGATATGGAAGAAACGGATCGCGAATCAAAAGCGAAAACCGCAAAGTGCTGCGGAAATCCTGCGAAAGCGCTGCGGAAACCCTGCACCCTGAGATTGCAGGGTTTCCGCAGCGCTTTCGCAGGATTTCCGCCGGGTCACCTGCGGAAACCCTGCGAAAGCGCTGCGGAAGTTCCGGCCAGTTGTCTGAGAAGGATAAAGGATTCGGCGTCTTCAATACCTCTGAGGGCATGCGCCGAACGCACACACTAACTTCATAATCGAAGGGGCAATTGTATGCGTGCGAGCCTATTACAGTGACTTGCGGAGGCCAGCCGTTTCCAAGTCAGTGCTTTTATCCTCCCAGATTACTCTGGTACCAATTTACCGGCCCCGGGGGGAAGAGGGCTTGGTTGGCCCAGGGGCGGGGATCGAACCTGTGTCCGATCTGGTCATAGCGGCGCCTCATACCACTACGCCACTCGTCCCCCACAATCACCATTAACTTTAACAATACAAAATTTCGTCCTAGTCTCACACTAGTGAACTGTACTAATATAAACTAACCCCTTCATAATTCAAAAGTAGCATAACTTCGCCTGTAACTTAATGCTGTACAAAATTTAACAATCAATTTATTTTTATTTCAATTCTATTGTAATAAGCAAACCTACCTCCTTATGTTACTACATAATCGCTGTATTTTTATCTTGCAAATTTCAACTTAATCATTATGTTAACAAATATTTGCACATTAACGCTCAAGCTTTTCTATAGGAATGGAGATGTCAGGATATAATTCATCATGCCGATGTAACATTGCATCAGGATCATGCTATCGTTGTTTACTGGATCTTGTTTATCAGTACCTCTCTGTACCTCGGATATTACAGCCACGTTGTAATACGGAGTAGGTGTAAAAAGAGTGGAGAGTTACAACATGCATGACTGGCTACTAGCTCCCAGTCCCCCTCCCCCTTCCCTTCATCTTTCATGTATATATCTCTTTGTATAATAAACCTTAGATAGTCTGATCTTATGTCAAATACACCATAACACCGCTACACCCTCAGGCAAGGGTACTGCAGCCCCTTGGACCTGATACCGGGGAGATTGGATCGTGGGTTTGCTTAATTACTTAAAGAAAATAATTTTCTATATATATTTTCCTCTTTTAGTCTTGGGCAGAGAAGTTAGAGGCTGACTTAGCCAAAACGACAGCTGAGTTGGAAGTCGCCAGGCGTGAGATTGAGAAACTGGAGCACCCACCACCGTGCTCAAAGTGTGCTGAGCTTCAGAAAAACTATGAAGAGTGCCAAGTGCACTTTAGAATATTGGTTGCAAAAAAAATGCGTGAGACGGAGGCCGCTGAAAAGGCCAGAGTTGTGGAACGAAGAAGGAATATGAACTTGAATAAGGTAATGTTGAGGAATTGTGATGCTATATATGAGCGTTTGTCTTCTAGGAGGTTCTCGAGCTGAACGAGGATCTTCATAACGTTAGGCGTCTATTTCTGTACAATGAAGAGCTTATACGCCAACCTCAAACACTACTGGAGGAGGCGCTCTTTGCGGAAAAGCTTGTATTATCTTGTTTGATTAGAGGGGAAGTGCGAGAGACTTGGTTGAAGACAATGGAATGATACGGTTCAAGTTGCCGTCATGATTTTGAACAATGATGGTGAACATATTATGCTTTCCTGTAAGTTAGAGAGAGAAGAAAAAAATTTTTTTATCAGTCATGGTAATTTATTTTATTATAGGTGTTCTACATAATGTGCATAGTGAAGAGTTCAATGTGTGTTATGGAGCGACCTGGAAGGCGGACAGGACCTTCATAATTCTACACTTCGGCGATCTGGTAATTACGCAAAATGGTGAAAAGTTGGCGCTGGACAGAGCCTTCGTGGAAACGCTTGCAAGAGGTACCACCAACTCACTTTTACTAGTTAATGTGGCCGATAATGGTTTAACTGCCCGACTTAGTGAGAAACGTAGCCGGCTTTAATTTGTACTAAAGTAATCGATGTTTGGCAATAGTTTATAATTAGTTGTAGATGTGTGAATGTATTGCTCAATAAAGGAATTTTGTAAAGGTGTATTGTTTTGATGATTGTTTTTTTAACGAAGCAGGAAATTTGTTCGTATTGAATTTGATTGCTGGTTGTGTAGAGTTTGGAAAGAAATGTGTATAGCTGGTAATTTGTCTGGAAGAGTCTGGTCATTAATTGTGAGTGGTCATCCAGATATTTTGGTGTTTACGGCCATATGTTCGGAACTTGAGCAATGCTGTTCTAATGAGTGGCAAAGCAGCTGCCCGATTATTTTGGGGATTTGTTTGCCGGTGCTTATGGTGTAATGGAAGTGGTGGCATGGCGAAATATTTTCGCCTGCTGCCACATGTGGCTCGGTGTCCGCGGAATTTTATTGCTATTGATAGTGGCGCTGAACGCGAAAAGCGGTGATTTATTCGCATAAGTATAGCGCTGCGGTGGGTTGCCGTGCTGATTTTTGGATCGGCGCGATTTTCACGTGCTACGAAATCCAAGTGATTTATTCGCATAAATAGTGCTGCGTAGAATAACGTTGCTGATAAATGAGCATAGCTCTTTCGCAACTACGTTGTGCAGTGATTTATTCGCGAAAACGATGTGAAGCAGAGAGAAACTTCCTGATATAGATTGGTGCGCTTCTATGTATCAGAACTCTCTGCTATAGTTTAGCAATTACTTTCCCGGGGTTTGCGAGCGAGGCCATAGAATGAAAAAAATTATTGTACTTGATTAAATAATGTTCAGCATTGAAAATTCAATAATTATGTTTATTATATTCTTCTATAGATGAATTTGATATCAAAAAAAATTTTTTTTTCATGGAGAAAAGAAATACGGTTGAAGTCAAACAGACTTCGAGTATGTGTAAGTTTGATAAGGGATTACTTCCATAAATAAAAATTGAAAGCGTTTATGTTACGATTTGAATTGTTTTTACGTTCTTTAACAGAGTACTCGCCCGCAGGACTTTTATATTGGCAATCTTCGGATTGCACATAATCATTGGACATGAAGTTATTAGTAAGCTATAATTTGATATGTAAAGAAACTTACGTATTTCGTTCGAACTTCGTTCGACTGATGATTTCCGGGGAAGATCGTACGTTTATCCTTTTCCGTCTAGTGGAAGGAATGAAACGGAATTGGATATCTTCTAATTTTATTTTATTTTGTTACTTTCTCACTTATTTTAGTTTTCTTATTCCTTAGTGATCAGCTAAGGAAGGAGAAGAAGACATAGGACGACATTTGAGGTGGTAGAGTGGGGGATAGGGTAAAATTTTATTCCTAGGAACGGATAAAAATGGGTTTGTCTCAAAAAAAAAATTAATTTAAAGAAAGGATTCTAAAGAAAGATCTCACCGGGACCTCCATGTCAGGATCAAGGGGTAGCTGGACCCTTGCCTGAAGGTGTAGGCGGTGTTACGGTGTGTCAAACATAGTGATTATATACAGAGTGTCCCAAAAAGATGTGCACACTGTTTGATCGTTAATAACTCTCTTGCTTTCACATCTTTTGCAGAGCTTGAGGTACAATTCTGTAGAGCGAGGATAAACTTAGATTTGCAGTATTAAGCAAAACTCGAATCTCTTTTTGCTACTGTAGGATTACGGTATGAACTTCCAACATACAGCATCACTGTGGAATAAGCCTTTTAATGAAATAATTTCATAAAAATCTAAAAAATTGTGTAGCAAGGTTTTCAGGCATGCTGATTTCACTACATAACTTTCCATCAGTTTTTTGAGCTTTCTTGACGGCGTATTCACATTTCTGCTGAACATTGGAAAATCAGTTGTTTTCCTAAATCTGAAATAACTCATGAAAGAAACAGTGTACTGACGTGCAATTTTCATATTTAGAATCGGCCACTGCGATTAACCCAGTTCAAGAGTTTCTGGCTTATTTGGTTTTTTTCTGAGGCAAAATACAGCTTTCCATTGCTCGAAATCCTCCTCGAAATCCTAACGTAATCCTACAGTAATGGAAAGCGGCTGACAAGTCCCTCTATACTGTAAATCTAAGTTTATCCTCGCTCTACAGAATGGTACCTCAAGCTCGGCAAAAGACATGAAAGCAAGAGAGTTATTAACAATCAAACAGTGCACATCTTTTTGGGACACCCTGTATGTTTATTAATGAAGATACAAAAACTAAACAATAGAGGTAGGGGGAGGGGAAGGGGTGTGTGTGTGTGTTTTAGATGGTATCCAGTCCTCTCTTATATGCAGATCCGCCTTACAACAATAACAGCGGTTAGGGCGGGGTAAGACATTGCATAACAACTGATGTGATGTTACTCAATATTACCCAATGTTATGCAATCTGATGAAATGATCTTATGACAAGAAATAAAGGCTAGTCTCACATCAGACGAAGGCGGTTGCCCATGAAGCGAGGCGTACTCGAGCACTGATAGCCCTGATGATGGAAATCGACCGCTGCGGTACCTGCTTCGCAGATCAAATTAACCTTTCGTAAGAAATAGTTACGCATATTTCTGCGTCAAGATAGGGGTAAAGTTTTTTTTTAAACTTTAGCTGCGTAACAACAATCTTGAATTTGCATCTCTTATACAGTCTTTTTCAAGCCGGAGTAGGCGAGATATTCCAGGTGGAGGCAGCGCGTCCGCACCGCCCTTGGCTCAGCAAGATAGATCAGAATGAAGAGACGCAGACCGCAAAGCGGCGCGAATCGCTGCGAAGCGGACTCCCGCCAGTCCAACTTCCGCCTAAACTGATTTGAAACTTACTGTACTTTTTTGACTTTCGTAAATCAGCGCATTTGTTGAGTGTTGCTCATCAAGTTAGTCCCGCTATCGAGAACGGGCTCCAAACAACAAGCTCGCACCTATAAAAGCTTACAGAAAACCCCTAGAATTGGATGCGTGAAGTTAAAATGCCCAAAGAATTGCAGGCTTGAAAGATGTGGTTTCCTACTGGTGTAAGCTGACGTATAGTCTGAGTTCTGAAAGCTTTTTTATTTGCCTAGACAACAAAACAATAATTTGAAGCAAAAGCGGAGATCTTCCTAATACACGTTAGAAGTTACGCAGAGTAGCAAGAATAAAACAATCAAACAAAGCAATTTTTAGACTAGAACAATATGCACTGCTATCAACAAGAATCTTGCGTAGATAGTTTACAAAAATTACCGACGCTTTGCACCACGCTTCTTCTTCATGCTTTTGCCTAAAGATAAATTTTTTGACTTTTATCGCAAGTTGTTGAAGCAATCACCTGCGCCATCTCGCTGTTCTGTAGACGTCGTAGATGGAGTCACAACGCTCGTTGGGTTCTCCTTGCTTGTCAGTCTCTTTTCCGCATTTTGTCTCATGTGAACACCATTAATTTGTCTAGCCGTAGCCAAAACCTCTGCATGGCTCCCTAAATGGCAAAAAGACAGCTGAGTAAGTTCATGATGCCAGAAAATCTACATCTCCCATAACGTGAGTTCCAAACCTTTACCACGAAATGTCGTTGCATTGAAGAGTTCGTTCTCAACGCAACATGTCTTCGCATCTAGAGCTGCGCCGTTGGCTCGCGACGGGTCTGCTCAAATAAGCTATAAGAATAGACATCTATTTCATGCTCGATGCAAACCAGCTTCTTTGTTCGATGAGATCCCATCCTGCTTTTTAGTATGCGACGGCTGAGCATAAGCATAAACTACGTTGCTCTGTAAAAGATAATAAAGTAAAAAAAAATTTGCAGGTGTTAACCATCCCAGCTGGTGTCGGTATGGAAAGCGGTAAATGCTCAAAGTAACCTTGTAATTGTCAGGAGGCAGATCATCAAGAGCTGGAGTGATCCGCATTTTTTGTACTTCAAGCAACAACTCAGCCAAGCAGTTGATCAAAACTTGAAGAGACAATGGAGGCTAAATGTAATTTCTATCGAAGCTTGACGTTCTTATTGTTAGAGCACTTACCTGAGCTACTATCCTTGTAAGCGAACAAGCGACATTGAAAAGAGCAGATAGCTGAGCGTAAACGCGCTCATCTCGGCGTATCGTAATTTGTGGAGGTGGTAGGTAATCCTCTCTGGAGTATAAGTATAATAAACTTTCAATAATCAAACCATAGTCAACTTAGGTAAAGCTTACTTAATCTCGGGAGGGAAGGGATACCGACTTCGACGTAGGTTTATTACCTGCAAGATTTGAAGCTTAACAAGCTGAAAGGTAAAACAGATAGAGTGAATTCTACCTCCTTCTCCGCATGTGCCTTCGAAAGTTCGCAGAAAGCTTGGAGGAGTTCCGAGGCTACATGGGCAGTATCAGTGATGATGTTCGCAGAAATTGGGCAGTTGTTTAGCGCTTTGTCAGAATTCTTAAATAATACACATAAAAGCCTGGTTTGGAAAAAAAGAAAGAAAATGACCTTATAATATGCTATCTGGGTCGCTGTAGCAATCAAAAGGATATGTTGAATGAGCCTTAAGCCATGAAATGTACTCTCACAGAGTGTTTCAACGAATCGAACCTCTTGAGCAGGATCAAGAATCTGTGAAAATGAAAGTTTAATATCTCGAAAGCTACAAAATTCCTGGAGCAGCATACCCGCAGTAAGTCCAGCAATAACGGTGCTAGTGAGGCAACCGGCTGCCTACTATGCGTTTGTTCCAATGATTCTACCAACGCCAACGCCATCTTCTCAACGACATTCTCGTCACGAGGATGCATCGATATGCCTGAATTGTAGAAAATAACTCAATTGCATGTACGCATAGCAAGGTCATGTTAACCTTTTTGAAGAAAATCTGATGCTAAACCGACATCAAAAATTGCTAACTCGAAGAATGACCGGAAAAAACATTCTGCAGGTGAGAACGAGAAATCTACAGAGATCTGCTCACATCGCTCCTGTTGCTCAAGCGCGAGGCTTTTGTACAAACCCGTAGGGATCTGAAAAGCATGGGTTCGCTTCTATCACATCTCAGAATACAAAAGTGACTTCCATGTGCATAGTATAGAAAGCAATTAGCATGTTGGAAAAACAAAAATTACCGTAGAGAAAGAATTGAAACAAAGTCTGGTGCCTTTCTACTTCAGGCAAAAGCTCTGTGTTTGACAAGCAAAATAAGAAAGCTAAAGCGGATGATGAAGCAGATGTAGTTTGATCTCTGCACCAACCTGTTGTTTGGGCTCTTCCAGCGTATGTGAGAACCAATTCACTATGGCGTATCGAATCCACCAATAGTATTGTCGCAGTGAAAAAAGTACGAATTCAATAGTGTCTTTTGCGAAAACAACGTCATCGTCTAAAAAATAATTGAATTTTGATTACACAAAACTTGCTTTTTAACTAACTTTTGAGTTTTTCACCGAGACACTTGAGTATGCTACGACAGATATACGAGGCTTGTTGTCGTTTCGACTCATACTCCATGAAAAGCTCCACCACCAGCAATACAAGCTCAGGTCCTTGTACGGCATCTGGCCCTGAAAATATATTCACCATCAACGATAACTATTGTATCACATATAGTTATCGTTCAGACTACGAAGGAGCTAGACAGGACCTCTTGGCCCCCAGTGTGTAAAAAAGTAGCAGACTCGATAGGATGACGATCATCACTGAATTGCAAACTACTCACTCTTCTCGCCTATGCCCGTGGTCCAATTGAAATGTATCTCTTTAGTACCGACAGACTGCATAAACCTGCGAATGAGGAATAGACGTTAAAGGTATACAATTCTCGACCGAATACCTATGTAACAATTTCAACATCAAAGTCTCTTGTGTTCTTTTCATAAGATTGGGCAGTACAAACAGTTTGAGCAACATTCCTCCATCCACCACAGATTCATCTCTTGTGCCTGTAGGGACCTGCTCAGCAGCAGCACCTGAAAAGCGAAAGATTAGTGACCATCACTGGAGACTACAGTCGAACTAAAAAGAAAAGAAAAGCTCCCAGTAATCTTTGCCAGCTACCCACCATCAGCTTTTTCTTTTGCTGTACGTCGCCGACGACATAAAGCGGTTAGAAGATACACAAGGCGATCCTGTTGTTCGGTGACTGTCCATCTAACAGAAAAATTCAGAAACAGAACATTTGCAACTGAGAATCACCTATGTGCCTCATTACTGAAGATGGACACAACCAAGTCGATAACAAGTGGGACGCGCCCGCCAGAGATATTTTCTGAGACTATCGCAGTTTCAGAGACTGCACGACAACTACGCAACGTCTGAAGACAACACATTCAGCAGTTTCGATTACCTTCACAACTAGGGCTCGGCACGAGGTGGCTTCAAAAAAAGGAAAAACGAAGTCCCCCGTAATTTTCGCAAAAATTTACGAAGTCCCCTTTGATCCTAAACCCTAAACGTTGACTCACAAAAACGTAACGTCGGCTAAAAAACGTGACCTAAGTTGCGTTCTTTTTGTCCCAAAACTATATCCAGCTTGCTCATAAGCCGCCCGCGCCGAGCCCTGTTCACGACTTAAACTAACATTTATAACTCCAGGTACTATATTTTTATCTTCCAGACTCTGAATTAACAATCTGCTGACGGTTTCCCGCGGAATCATGAGCAGATACCATAGCAGCTGGAACGTAAGAGATTGAACAACACTTACAGGGTGTTTGAAAAGTTCGTGTCCTCAAGTACTTCCAGTTCAAATTTTGACGCGCTTTTTGTTCTATTGTGCTCATTAGGCCTAGAAACCATTAATTCTGTGAAACCAGCTTTCCTTTTGGTTTTTTAGTTTTTTTTAAATTAGATTGAAACACATCAATATAGCTTTCCAAACCACTTTCCTTGAAACGCTTGTTACAAAGAAGGAAACATGATTCACAGAAAACTAAGTGTACATTCTGAAAGCTGTTTCTTTAAGGTTTCTTACATGTGATTTTAATTTTCGTAGAAGTAAGTTCGTTTTTGAAATACCGTGCCTTGAAATAAAGAGATCGAGTTTCAGGATTTTTTCGTCAACAAAGCACAGCACCGCAATTTATTTTATTTTATCTCTAAAACCTTCACAAGCGCGCAAAAATTTTGAAAACAAGTACAGCGAAGGTCAGAGAGTTGTACTTGTTTTCAAATACAAATACATGTTGAGATAAGACCTCCAAATCTCTTTAAACCAAAAAAATTTCAACGCAAACTGGTGCCGCGATTGTCTGCTGTGATTCAGCACATGAAAAAATCTTCGTTAGCAAGCTACTGAAGAACTTTTGTTATTCGAAGAGTGTAACTCTAGGAGTATTTGTAGTAAAAAAAGCCAAAAGCTGTTTTTCTTTTTCGGGGTTGAAAAATAAGAACCAATCAGATAACGCACTCTCCAAGGAAGCTGGAAAAATTGTCTACTTCGAGATTTTTTTGGGGTATCTTGAGGCAAAAAATATTTTTCTTTGTTTGATTCAGTGGTTTCTAGGTTTGGCGAACACATATAGCAAAAATCGAGTTAGCAATCGCAGTTAAAGTGCTTAAGGACACGAACTTTTCAAACACCCTGTACGTTGCAAATTATGACCCTGAACTGGCTATCAAAAAAATAGTGTTACCTTGTCCCGTGTAATTTTGAACTTTGCAGCATCATTTTGTATCTCATTATGATCTCCTATCTGGTTTATGCATTGGGTGATACCGGAAGAGTAGTCCTATAAAACACGGACTTTTTTGAGATAGGCCAGATTGGCAGACCAACCTGCAAAAATGCTCCCAAAGATGGTAGGTCATCGGTCTCAGAAACATGCTTATCGTACATGAGCTTTGTCAACATCGCCTAAACTTCAAAACTATTTACTAACTAGTTACTAGCTAGCTATTTAACAGATTAAGAGAACTTCGTAGCATTTCGGTGAAAACCGAAAGTTTTTGTTCTGATCAGTATGAGCACAAATCAAAAATAAGACATGGTTTGAGAAACTTTCATACGGCACTTGTGATAGACATAAAAACAGCGGTGATGCAAAAATGGCACCGTACCTTCGCTTCGTCCGACAGCATGTAGAAGAAGTTCTCCAATGAAGCGAAAAGTGCTTGTCCTAATTCGGGGGACCGCTCAGCTATCAGCGTAACGGAAACTATCCTGAAAAGTCCCATAAGCGATGAGGTAGGAGTAGGAGGTCTCATAAGCAAACTTCTCGCTAAGCTGTCTGGCATCTTTTGATGATATGTTCTCGTTCAACTTCAGAGTGCCCAGTTCCTTCAGAGAATCCATGTCTGTGTCTCCCACTCGCATCTTCTCCAGCTCCTAAAATAATTCAACGAAAATTAGAGGCAAAGTCTGTTAACTTGTCTTACTTTTTCAAATCGCATGATAAAAGCCTGCACAGGTGAGATATTAGCTTCATGCTCCGAAGCACTGCTCTGCTCTGTCAGATCCCTGCGAAACAGTGGCAAATTTGCATTACAAGCTTCGACCTGGAATATGAGCATTAAAATCACTTCATAGAAAGGAAGAAGCCTTAAGGGGCGGGCATACTCCACGCGATTTCAGTCGTGACGCGATTTGGCAATTCGCCAAAAGTCTTCAGATCCAATAAACATTCTGCACATGCACAGTGTGTATAACTTATAACTTACGTGGAGTGATAGAATTCCCTATCCTCTGTACATTTGAAATGTGCTTACAATGAGTTATGGACAGTTGGAATATTGCTCGCGTCGAGACTAAAACCGCTGAAGTATGCCCGGCCCTCTAGGGATGCATATAGGGTGAACATGCATACTCACATTCAAATGGGTAAGAAATGAAGCAGGCAGCTTGGATAGAACACTTTTGTCCACATCTGAAGCTTAAATCACGAATTAGTACAATCCAACAATCCTCCAAGCATATTATACCACTTTTGTGCACTAGTCGACTAATCCTATTTATTGCATCTTCCAAAGCTTCCACGTCTTCAGACTCGAGTAGGTTTTGAACTTCTCTGATCTGATACACCTCCCAGAAAAACAATAGTGACTCGAGTTCGTCGTTCTCTTTGGATAACCTGAAACAATGTCGTCTGAAACGCTGGCACAAAAAAAAAAACAACAATTGATTTGGAAACTGTACTGCAACTGGGAAGGCATTAACTCTGCAGATTGTTATGATATGCCCAAACTGGTTACTTGATCTAATTACAAGATGCCAAGCTGCTAGTAACTCAAGAGGAATCATCAGAATTCACCTATGGTTCAATGCTATGGTTCACTTCAAAAGACTCAGAATTACGTAAGCTGAGAAAACTATATTATTTAGAAGTGATAACACCTTAGCTCTTTAGTAAAGAAAGTTCACAAGCACTTGCAAAAACTTCGAATATGTACTTTGAATATTTTAGTCCTTTTTTGACTTCTGCAATGACATTATACAAAGAAGTTCAATTTGATCGGTTTTTCAGCAGTTCATTTTGGGCCATCAGCAATAGCGGAAGTCATTGTTAGACAAAAGATTCAAACAGCACTCTGCTCGAACACGAGTTTTATGAGACATAAGAAGTGCTGGAGAGCTGATATGCTATAATTATACGGAAAATGCTCTGAAGGCAAGTCATGACTTGGTAGCACTAGCTGCCTTCCACCCATCTAAAAACTTTGCGTTTTGCATGGAGCAGACCAAACTTATGACTGCAAATTTATGAGGTTGTCTTGAAAATTCCGTCGTTTCATTTTCGAAAATTTATAACTTTGCGCAATCTCAACGGATGGCTTCATTGTAATTTTATTCAAGAGTAAGTATAAGTTTATTCGCATTTGAATACTTTCTTCATGAGCTTCCAGTGCACACTGGCTGCGAAGATGAAAATGGAAAAAGAATGATTTCCGATTCTACAGAAAACGCCAAAATAGCTAATATTAGGTTGTCCCGAAAGTTTTGTCTTTTTCTTTTATCGCTCACTAAAACCCACAGAACACCAATCCATGGACGGTCTAGGTATCATTTGATTTATATTTTTATCCTCTTTCTTCCAGCTATATTTGCTCTTTGATCTACTCTGTCTTTGCGATGTTATCGTCACGGCTTTTCGAGCAGCTTTACACTCTTGTCAAATCCTTCCAGAATTTTGGAAATTTTTAATTTGCTATTTTTAAAAAGCGCTGGTAACACTTACGTAGGGAGGTGGTGCAGGAGGAACCAAAGCCCTTGACCCCTGTAACCAAGAGGGAATGGGGAAGGCAGAGGAGGCTCCGCCCATCGCTCCGCCCACGGGATGCTCCCATTGTGTGTTGAGCAAGAATGGTGGATGGACTACCAGATATTGGTCAAATTTGATGAGTTAAGAGGTTGAAAAATGAATTGGAACATGGGAAATGGACAGTAAAGATTCTAAAATAGGTTTTAAGGTACCGGGATGATAATAGAAGTAGTATCATGTCATAAACCTAATAAATTTATAGAGTAACGGTCATCTTTGTAAGATTCATATAGAACACCTTTACCATTTAACTGTTGATAATTTTGCTCAAAACCGATGTGATAATGATACAGCTTAGAAGGTGGATTACCAAAAAATTGATTTGAAGCAGGAGAACATAAGCCGAAAATGAAGTTTTAAAGTGATTTTAAAAATAACTCTAACAAAAGGAACAACTACATCTTGGATACTCAGATCCAAAAAGGACGTAAAATGCAAACGCAAATCGTTATGCCTGAGAGGAGGCTCAGTAAAGCTTCACAGCTCAGATTTGAAGTGCGAAACAAACCTGGACAACCTTCACCCCGCTGGCAGTTGTCGAGCCATAAAATTGAAGAGGGACAATATGTATTATAATTAGGGGAAAACCAATGAAAACTACTGTAACTGTTATAACAGACAAGTGTTGGTGATTTTGCCTGCTTTTTGCAGCTTTTTGGCCAAGTCTGATTTTGCAACTCGAACATTTTTGGTTAATAGTTTGGCATCTATCTACTTTCGCAAGTTTCTTTGCGAAACACGACTTTTCAACGTTTTTCTAGCAAATTTTTCCCAATCTTTCCCTCCCACCTCCGAGTAAAACATTTGATGGAGTTAATAAAAAAAAGTTTTTACTTGAGTCATGACTCTCTTGGCTCATCAGACGACTGGCTTGATCCTGCGAAGGTCAACTAATCGGCTATCGATTAGCGCAAATGCAACTAACACAGTGACTATCGTAAAATATTGAGAAAATTATCTCAGGATAAAATCAATGTTAGTAAGTTTTCGCGAAGTCATTCAGGTATTGGAGTAAAAATTAGAATGTTCGCCAAAGAGGAGTTCATGAAAAATTTGAAATCGAGCCGGGCTCTGATAAAAATTGTTCATCAATTTCCAATCTTCAAGAGAATGCTGAACTGCATTGATGTGAATTCATACAAAAGTCCATTCAAAAGATTTGCCTTTCAGAACTGGTCACAAATTTGTTTATCCCTTCTCTGTATCTCCACTCCAAGTCTTTTAGACTAGACTTTTCCTTCAACGAATTCCTGAGCAAAAACGGCAAAACCCAGACTCAGCGTGAGGGGCGGAGCTTGGAAGGTTGCCAGATCCTTCTTGGCACGCAGCCAACTCCTCCCCTTTCTATCTTGGATACAGAGGTCAAGGGCTCTGGTTCCTCCTGCACCGCCGCCCTTACGTAGAGCAAACCTTTGGCTACATCGTGTATATTTTGGATTACACGGGGCGCGTTTATCAAGTCCGTAATAATGATTTATTTGAGAAAAACCAAGGCATTTTGATTACGTTTAACACGTAAAAGTATCGAAGACTCCAAAAAGTGATTTTTCAAAGCAGATCAAACTTGGATAGGTTGCATAAATAATGTTCAATAACAAACAAGTACCAATACGCAAAAATTCTAAAAGCTTCCATGTTTTTGCTGCAGTTGCGTGTTTCATGACTTTGCTAATAATCGAGACCTTGGAAGAAATGATTTTTTAAAGCCAAAAATAGCAGATTAGGAGAATCTAAAAACATTGCCATGTAGTCCGAGAGTTGCTTTATCTGCTCCATACTTAAGCGTTTCCAAAACTTTGAAATGAAATTTGTGAAAATTAGCCGAACTTTGAGCAGATAAAAATGACGGGAGAAATCTTTTGGCAATTATCAGAAAAGAGTGCAGGATTATGGCTAGAAAATGTAACCCTAAGAAAGAGAAGGAAAAGCTGCATTGAATGCATGTTGAAACTCATTCAGGTCTTTATTGTGCGTGGTTTTATAGCGATTTGAAAAAACCGACAAAACTTTCGGGACAACCTAATATTAATTTGTTGCTAATCTAGAAAATCATAATTTTTTTACAGATACGCATAATTTTTTACAGACACGTCCAAACAGCAGAAACTTTTCACAGTCGCAAAGAGTAGGTCAAAATCCTTCTGTACCGACGATTTCGAATTTTTCTGCTGCGTTGCGGATTTTTGGCAATCTAAGTCAAAATGATTGAATCATAAGGTCTTCTCTTTCCATTTTTATCTTCGCAGCCAGTGTGCATAGAAACCTGGGAAGGAAGTATTCGAAAGCGAAAGACTTACATTTTTAAATAAAGAACAATGAAGCAAATCCGTTGAGATAGCACAAAGTTGCAAATTTTCAGAAATGAAACGACAGAACTCTCGGGACAACCTAATATTTTTTGGATAATGCCTTGCACATTTTTTACACACAAAAATACGGTCAGTGATACGCTCGAAAGCTTCTAATATTTCTACGTACTGCGAAACTCGAGCCTTTGCAAAAAAAATTACAGCAGAGATATGTGGGAAGTTCTCATTGAGAAATTTCCTTGGTAAGCACATCAGCAAGCTGGATTAATGAGAAAAGATCTCAAAAACTTTTGATTCTAATCTAGAAATTTCTAGCAGAAAAGTTGTCATTTGAGCTCATGAATGCGAGAGAAAAACGAACCACAAAATGAAACTTTCAAAACGGTATGGGAGCTTACTTTACAGCCTAATAGCATTTGATCTGATACAGTCACATGTAAGATCATAGCAGGATATTCTGATGCAATCATTCCTAATCTCTGTACGTTGTGCTTCATCGCAATCAAGAAAAAAATCAAGATTTTTCATGAAATGCAGCATACTCTTCAAAAATCACAACTTCCGGGCTTGAGAATGTCTAGTTTGCAGAAATAAGATCCAACCCTAGAACTAGGCTTACAAAATTGTCTGTCTTGAGTAAGGGATCAAATCAAGGATTAAACATGCTATGAAATGGAATGCTGTAAAGGCTCTTGCTAATCACGCAAATAACTACACTTCCAAATGCGAAACACCACCCCGTTGCTAATTCAGGTAAATGCGCTGAGTGAGATTAGCTATCAAATTATTGAAACGGCAAGATTAATATCTATAAGACACAAAAAATGCAGAGGAGATTCTCACTTCCTGTTTTCACATATAGCATCAATTGTTGCGCTGAATCAAATTTCTATACATAGCGTTCGTTGATTGACTGATGGGATGTTCAATTACATGATGAGGACAGCCGGCTTTGCAGAAAGATCAAATTAGCTAAGTAAGTCCTATGATTATGATGATTATAATGTTTACTAACCACGTGGGCGACAATGACGTAGGAATAAGAGCGCATTCAAATTTGGTTTGATGATGAAAAACTTCAAATACTGTTTTAAGGTATGCAGTGTAGAACATTATATTGCATGTCGAGTTTATTTGAAGTGCGCACGAATGAACTTTGTAGAAATGAATGTAAATGTAGAAAACAAGATTTGAAGATGAATGTGAAAGGAACGACAGAATTAAGGATTATATAAGAAAAGGAAACAGAATTCGCCGATGTGACGTCATGAGCAAAAAAAACAGGAAAACTAAGAAGTTCGGACTGAGCGATTTTGACACAATAATATGATGCAAACAAAAATGGAACCAGAAGCACTCACCCACTCTGCAAGTCTGAAGAGGTAATCGCATCCACAGCGGCACTGCAGATAATTTTGGACATTTTTCTGCATTTATCCGCGTAGTCGGGATTTGTCATACTAGAGCGAAACATCTCTGAAGTAAAAAAATTTCTGTCAGTCTGCCGATTACATCAGTATAGATCTAGTAATTTGGAAGACGATAACTAACCAGATATACTGCGTTTTCCAAACGAGTACGATAACAAACTTCGAGTAGATGGGAATAAATCTTTGCCATATGAGAGAGTCGCAACAAATTTCTCTATCTAATGTAAAGGAAATTTTCTGCGAGAAAACTATAGAAACCAGAACTGACCTTTTGAAGATCCTCCATGGCATGTGGGTCAGAATTATAGTGCTCCCGATCTGTCTCAGCGGCTTCCATGTCTAATCACCAGCGCTCTGCAACAAAGAATCGATGCGCGCACGGATAAAATGACTCCGAGTGAGCATATTCATTGCTCATCAATGAGATGTTGCTGTCACAACATAATTTATTCCGAGGAGAATGAAGAAGTATAATATAATCGTAATGAAGGTGATCACGAACGAAGACAGAACGATAGGTGTAGGTACACCAAATCAACGAAGTCGTTATTTCTAGAAACAATAGTATTTTGCTGCAAAACAGCAGAGTATGATATCTCATAATAAATATCGCTTCCATAAAGCATACAAAAACTCATATACCATCGATGGCATAAAAAAAATTTGAAGCAGCTGTCACAAAGTCAGAATCGGGTCTTGCTCAAGTGACGCAGATAAACATAGGAGGGTAAAAAAGTGAGAACTTATTCAGGATATCCCCATGTAGATTTTTTGCCACTTTCCAGTACAGAAAAGCCAAACTGGAAAGTCATCCCACAGGATCTTGGTATATATTCAGCAGTATCTTCAAGTCATGCGTGATTTCGATGATGAAGAGATGCAAACACAATTCTGCAGGAACAAGTTCACAATAAACCCTTCAACTTCTGGCAGCTTATGCGTCAGCTCATACAGTCATTCGTAGAGAATTTCGCCGCCAAACCCACCCCAGACTGTCAAGGAATTTTACAGAGCTGAATGAGTTTTCCAAACGCATAAAAAAAACTATCAAGATTCCGTCCAGAAAAACACAGGAGGAAAGATCAAAATGAGCGAATTCAGCGCTTGAAAAGAAGAAACAAAGTTTTATTTCTTGGTGTAGATGCAGACACTGTTTTCCACCACGCCTGTTTCAGAGGTTTTGAGCATCTGCAAAGTTTGCAGCTGTTTTTTTTAGTTTACGTCTGTAATATGCTGGAAAGCAAGTACACTAGGGGCTTTACCTAAGATTAGTTCAAGCTGATGGGCTACATGTTTTACACAGAGGTTTTGATGTTTGTTTGTTTGTATGTTTTTGCTATCTACATGAACTGTTTGTAAATTTCCTTCTCATCTTCTTTGTCTGCTGTTAATATGCCAACCGAAATTCGCAGTAATGGAGAAGTCAGAAAACATGAGTCTGATGGACATCTTGGCGTTTTATAGTCAGGAAATCATTTATAGAAAAAAGGGAGATACTGCACTTTATCGTTAGATCCAAAAATCCTACAGCCCTGCTTTGATCTCAGATGCGCGTGATTATATCTGAGCGAAACGTTTGTAATGTTGCTCAATTCCTCCATGAACTTTCTGGAAAGCGTCCGTTTCAAGTTGAAAGCCAAGTTGAATCGGTTTTTGAAGACGCCGAGTAATGTTTAGATATCAACTCAATTTCCCACCGTCTGTACGCCCTGTCTCTTCTAGTTTCCAGTACGCGATCTCCGAGAATGTGGTTCTAACAATGTGTCTCTAGATTTATGCGAGTTTCGGGTCTCAACTACGTCAGAGCTCGATCTTTATTGTCGTCTCTATTCAACAAATCAGCATCAACCCCTGAGAGCAATGCTACAAAACTCAGTAAGCAGCAGCAGGTAATCGTCTTTATTGCAATTTTTGACACAATTTTCTGTTCTAGAGCTTTGTTTACATTTATTTACATTTAAATTTGCCTTTCTTGGACTACCACTGATATAAGGGCCTACTTGGTCTTGGGAAGCTTTCACTGGTGCAAATTCTTTGATTATCGTGGATTCCTTTGTAAGGGCAGCGATTTTTACTTAAATGTCGTTCAGGCGGTGACTTTTGAATGCGTTTGTTCATTGTTGGGCAATGTTAATTAACACGTTGACGACCGCGCCATTTTGGACGAAACTCACACTAACGTCCTTCGCGCATTTGACCCGTGCATCCGCGCGTATGCACGAAAACATTATGTGGGAGTCTTTTTGACACTCATTTAGAAAACATGCAAACTATGTTCAGAGAAACATGTAAATCACAAAGTTTTACTAGGACTTACACAAATCAAGGTTTTTGCGTGGATTTTCCCTCCCAATAACCGCGCAATCGCCATATTGGAGGAATTTCTTTTCAAAAAAAAAACGCTGTAATACCAGGTATTTTTTGCTTGATTCATCCTATTTTGCTTTCAAAACAGCTTTACAGAGTTTTAACCTTCTCGGAAAAACGTAATTAGCATGTGTTTACCTTACCAAAAACCGACTGATTATTTTTGCGGCCCAAACTTCTGAACAGCTGCCGCGATGCCCTGTGTTCTGTAAGACTATCAGGCTACCAGTAGTATTACTGCATAGAAGTTACCTTGAAACTTTTCGTTTACACCTAGAAAACTAGCGTGCATATGCGCGGATGCACGAAAATGCTAAACGGGAGTTAGGGCGTGCATACGCGCGGATGCATACGGTCGTCAACGTGTTAAGGAGTAGTCATTCAGTGAGCTATGCAAGTATTAACACATATGTGCTAATGAAAATATCCACGCTAGAGCAGAAATTTACTTATCGAAATTTGTTGTGGTTTGAAAACGCCTCAAAGTCAGTTTCTTTCGTTAGATTGAACTCATTACAATTTGGTTTTCAACGATAGCACTTTGAGGAGAAGTTGAGAGATGTTCTTTCGGGCTTGAGGACAGATTCACCGAGATCTAAGCCTCGAGGAGAAGTCTCAAGCGATGTGGCTGATGACATATTGGACTATCAAATCGACATCGACTCGATTCGCGCTCGAGGGTTGGTTACATTTTCGCTTTCAGATGAAAAATCTCTTTTCATTTTCAGCTTCTTAAAATATCGCTATAATTATAAACCAGCTGCTAATGTGCGAGATACTGTTCTGGAGACGGCAAAAAAGCTGTTACCTGTGAAAGAAGAGGGAAGTTCTGACATAACAAAAACATGTTTATCCGACAACACTCTCAAAGCCAAGGTATCCTGTCGATTCCAATTTCTAAACAATGCAAATATTGATGTTTATAGATTATAATGACACTTTCTGGAAAGATAAATCATTGGCCAACGAATGCTCGACTCATGCATATCAAAACAGTTCAAGATCTAATAGATTTTTATGAAGAACCAGTAGAAAATATAACCGCTTATACCAAGTTCGTTCTGTTTCACGACAGATTTTTGCAACTCATATCCGTTTTTAGGCTTGTAAGACAGGAAACAAAGCCGCCAAATATCCATATGTTAGAGCACGCTAGACGATTCCACCCGGAGGATAATGAAGCTTGGCATGGAGGTATCATCATTCCTGTCGACTCATTTTTCTCATTGTTTTCTCTCATCTCCATGTTAACCAAAGGTCAGATTTGAGGCATTACTGCTTTCCCTGGGAGTGGCGGACAAGTTATAAGTTTGCGTAATAAGCGTCTTCTTCGCCAATTCAAGCCGAAATCGAATTGGTTCGATTATGAAGATCAAGTACGCAACTCCTTGTTTTCCTTTCTCTCTCTTTCACTCCTTTTCATCCTTTACAATGGGGGAAATACGTTTTTCCTGTTCTTTTCAACTTCCCATTTGATTATGTTTTAAGAGTTTCGACTACACCCGACCCGACAAGGATATGCCATGGGATAGCGAGATTGCAAAGCGTATGGATAGGTCAGTAATTTTTACATCAAAATGCGTGTTCGTAACGGCTAGTGTTTACTCATTATTATTTTCAGCCATCCAGAAAAACGATATGATTTGAAAACCAAGCAGTTCATAAGATCCAAATGACAAATCAACGCAGAGACTGCGAATGCCGTTTATTTGACTTGTTATAAATTTCTGAATTGTTAGTAGTACATAAAGTATGGCAATTTATGTGCTCAACAGTTCTACGCAGTGACGGAACTTCGTTTTCTCACACCGTTACCACTTCTAAAGAATTTCAGACCTACAGATATAAGGTTTAAAGGCAGTGTCTCGGCAGAATTTTGCTTGCCAGTTTTTCACCTTCACCGAGCCTTCCCGCCATAAGGACCCCATATCTGGGCTTTCCAGCACATGAAAATGGCAAAATGAGGTTTTTTCGAAGCTCTCCAGGTCCGGTCCAGTGTAGAATACGTGTAAGTGGGCGGAACTCGGAACGAGGGAGGCGGGGTGCGAAAGGCTTCCGGCGTATCTTCACTGAATGCGAACTTGGGAAGCTGGAAAAATTTTGGAATTTTGGGGAAAAAGCTCATTTTCGCCATTTTCATGCTTGAAAAGTCCAGATATAGATTCCTCATTACGAGAAGGCTCCGAAAAGGTGAAAAACTGGTAAGCGAAATTCTGCCGAGGCAAAGAGACGATTTTAAGTTTTGTGGTTACCCGTGCCTATTCGCTATTCTAAATCCGAAAATTACATTGGAGAACGAGAAAACGGCGAAAGGGCTCTAACACAGGAGGGAAATCAGAGTCAGAGGTAAGCGGGGTCTTTCCCACTGCGAATTCACGCTCTCAGCTTCCGGAGCGATCTTCTCGGTTCCGATTTTAAGTTAAAGGCAGCGTCCAGGCAGATCTGGACCTATGGGGCTTTTACGTGGAAAGTACTTTTGGGGCCCTAACTAAGACATTGCCCAAGCGGCAGCTCAGGTAATGCTGTAGTAGCTGAGATATTCCCCTCGAAACTGGACCCCGCGACCGTGTTCCGCATGGATTCCTGGCGCAAAGCGTGGATCCTGGCGCGAAACTGCCATGAATCCATGCGAATACGTTCGCGGGGGCCAGTTTCGAGGGGAATATCTCAGCTATTACAGCATTACCTGAGCTGCCGCTTGGGCAATGTCTTAGTTAGGGCCCCAAAAGTACTTTCCACGTAAAAGCCCCATAGGTCCAGATCTGCCTGGACGCTGCCTTTAAAGGCAGTGTCCGGGCAAAAACTCGATTTTGAGATTTTGTGCTAATACAGTCCTATTCGCCATGCTGAATCCGAAAATCCACACTGCAAAGCGCGAAAACGACAAAAAAGGGCTCTAGCGCATGAGGGAAATAGCAAGTGGGCGGGGCCCTCCCCACTGTGGTTTACGCTCCCAGCTTCCGGAGCGGTCTTCTCGATTCCGCTATCCGTCCTAACATCGCTACCGGCCAGGTGCGAATGACTGACTTGAAACCGGGAGCGAAAAGATGGCTCCGGAAGCTGAGTTCGTGAATTCACAATGGGGAGGGCCCCGCCCACCTGCTGATTTCCGTCCTGTGTTAGAGCCGTTTTTCGCCGTTTTCGCGTTCTCCAATGTGCATTTTCGGATTCAGCGTAGCGAATAGGCCCGGGTAAGCACAAAATCTCAAGATCGAGTTTTTGCCCGGACGCTGCCTTTAAAGGCACCGTCCACCTAAGTTGAGGGTCTTGAGCTTTTGGCAGCATATGATAGTAGGGCCCCCCTATCAAGCCAGTGCCCAACTCGCGGCGCAAAATGTCGCTTCGGAAGCGAGAAAATCGCTCCGTAATAACGAAGATGACGAGGACCCCCAGACGGCGCTGCCCCCCCCCCCCCTATCCATGCCCTCCCGTCCGTGCGCGCCCATCCAACCACCGTTCTGGAAAACCGGCCTGTGTTCTCCGGAACGGATTTTCGGGGTTTTCGCGTATTCTCTACTTCATATTCGGAATCGGGGACATGAGAACGCCCTGAAACGTGGAAGTCGAAATCCTGGGTGGACGGTGCCTCTGACACATTGACGTTCACTAAAAGTGTCGGGATTCGACCGTGTATATCATTCGTTCGTATCGTATATTTTAAATAAACGAGGAAACCGACTTGACGCTTTTCTAAGCATATGGCTGGATTGGAACCCACTACCGCATTAAGTACAGTCGGTTTCATCCCGGATTAGGCGAGACATTCTACATGGAGCAGCGCATGCGCTTTGCTGGAGGCTTCGCGAGCGCCTAGCGCTGGCATTTTGCCAAGCAAAGACTAAGGAGATCGAAGAGACGCAGACATGGGTTCTCAGCACGATAGGGTATACTGTAACTGCGAAGCGGCGCGAGCTGTTGCGAGGCGGACTCCCGCCAATCCAATTTCCGCCTAAAGCGGGTCGAAACTTACTGTATTTGCATAAATCGTGGATACGTCGCGCAGTCGAAAAATGCGAGTTTACCTTCGGGACGGTCCAATAAGAGCTGCCGTTCGGCAATGGCTTACTCAATAACGCTTTACTAGGAATCCAGGTGCTTTAATTTGCTTGGTTTTGCTTCCGATAGCTAAGCAGCTTTGACTTCAGGAAAATCTAAATTCGTTTTCCTCATCATCTAGCAAATCGGCACATAATTCGCGCACTTGCACAATTGTGACTAGGCGAAGGTCGAGAGTAATTAGTAATTGTTTGATAGCGGAGTAACTGAGTTGTGGTATATTAACACGTTGACGACCAAGCCATGGGCGAAACTCCTACTAGCGTTTTGCATTTGGCCCGTGTATACTATACTTGGGTTCGAGTTGAATAGAACTTCGATTATTCGAATAAAACATTCAAATATTAGGTTGATTCATAAGTAATGCACGTTTTTCTCACCTCTTCTTCGAAGCTGGTATTTGATATGTAACTTCCTCAAAAACTTTTTACGCTATCTGAAAGAGCGTTTTTTCTAGTTTCTTACGTATGCCTTCTCTTTCGTACATCTCCTTTCGTTCCAAAGTTTTAAGCCTTCAAATAAAAGAGACTGAATCCCAATTTTTGCTTTTCACTCTTTTTACCCTAAATTCATGAGGAATAGCTGGATTAATTTCAAAAAATATGCTTAAGGATTAGGAAACTTTGTGCTACAAGATGCTACTTGAACAAAATATTTCATGGATTCTAAGCTGAGAAATTCAATTGCAAACTTGAGTGATCGTCGCGGCGCTTCCGTGCCTCATAAAACTTCAAAGCAATAAGCGCAGATCTTTTGCACTACTCAGCAAGGGTAGATCTAGTTTATTTGATGGTAGAAAAGTGCTAGGTTTTTCTCACTTTCCAGTGGAGAAAAATGAAATAATTTCGAAAATGAGCGATTTTTGAACTCGCTGAGATGCCAGAAAAAAAGTGAGTACTTTCGACTTTTTCAAAATGTTTTCTATTAAAAATTTTCTGTAATGTCCAAGCTTGGCACCACTATTCAAAATACCCTTGGTTACACGAAGAGTGAAATCTGCTTTATCCTACTTCATTTCAACATAAGTTATGCTCTCTCAAAATAGAGGCTTCCGAAGAAAGTTGTTGGCAATCTTCAGGCCAGAAAATCTTTATGATAGATACAGTTACGCAAAACTATCTGTTGTATAGCCGTTGATTAGATGGTTACAATAGTTTTCATTGCGCCCAGAAATGTCCTCTCAAGAAAAAAATTGTCTTAGTTCAAAATTGAAGTATAGAAAACGTGCATTAATTATGAAAACCTAATATATTCGCATTCAAAATTCGATATTCGTCGATTGTCCATTTTCAAATAGAATTCAAAACTCGAATAAAAACGGGGTTTCGTATAAAAATCGAAAACTTGAATAATCAAAAACGGGGGAATGGATTTTATTCGAATGTTTCATTGAATGAAATCCGTATCCTAACTAGTCAATTTTGTTGCAGGACCAGCTGCTGAGTTTCAAGCTCGCTTTGTCTGCGTTTTTTTCTGCAAAACTCGATAGTGCATCTTTTTGCAGCCGTATCAGCTTTGCTGTATGAAAACTCGAATTCTTCGAACTGCTTGCGATAGTAAAAAATGGATGAAGATTTGATTAATTGCTTCTCCGTTCAATGAGATAGTTCGCAGTGCTATTGGCACCAAATCTTAGAAAGAAAGGACTGAATTCAAGCTCGTGGTTCATATACTGAAAGTATGCTCCGAGTGTTGACATACATGTTTCTCTTTCTTTGCGTTGATCATGTTTTTGGTAGTAAACCCCTACATCAGTGAGCACTCTTGCTTGTGAAACTCATCTTGCACAACTGCTTCAATTCTCTATCCTAGAGATTTTTTGCAAAAGAGATGTGTTTTGAGTAGAGGACGTTGCAGCTGTAGTGCAGTATTAGACGGTTGATGAATTTTGCAGTTACCTTGGAATAAAGTTTCGCTCAGTAGATAGCACATGTTTGTTATCACAGTGCAGCCAAATGCGAATACGATAAGATGGGAACAAATTGACTGTTTCCAAACCACGTCGTTACTGAAACCGCCTGAATTATGCTCGCGGCTACAGGGGCATTCGTGCTCGATTCGCGGAATAAATTACAAGCCTTTGTCTATAACTAGCTTATACTAGACAAGACGAAAGTCCCTGACAGCAGACAGCGTATCGTAGCATTTACATATAAGTATGTATAAGTGGCCACTGGTACTGCTCCAGGAATGATCGCACACTTAGCGCTACAAATTCGAACAGCTTCTTCATTTGAAATACTTAGATGCTTTTGGAAAATCTTGAGCTATGAAGCTGGGAAAATGAGGATGCTGATTATGAATGAAACTACTTCATCGATTTTATCGATTATTTGAGAATTCTGAGCTACGAGAGTGAGAATTGGTACAGAGGGTAAGTGAGGGTGCTGATCATGAGCACAGATCCACTTTATTGATCTTATCGATTATTGGAAAATGTTGAGCTCTAAGAATGGGAGTTACAAGTCGGCTTTAGCCGGGTATGTCAGCAAGTTTTAGAGTAAATCATTTGAATAATTCGAAATTCGACTCCCAATGTTCGAATAATCAATATTCATTGATGCGATAATTTTTTTCAATTTTATTCGAGATTCATTTATTCGAAAATTTTGAAATCTTGAATTTATTCGATATTCGTTCACTCAAGGTTTTTTATTTTCGAGTTTATTTAATATTCGTTTATTCGAAATTTTTTCATTTCCGAATTTATTC